GTGATCTCACAAGCATTGGTACAACTGAGTTCAGCACCGTGTTAACAGTGTAAGCCCTAAGAGCCGCTCCACTGGTTACCAGGTTACTTTTGATACGGACCAGTTAATTTTTTCACTGGGTATGGGAAAATAACATTGCAACTGCTCTGTAATGCTGGTTTGACTGACATGTTTCAGATCCTTAGGGCCTACACTGCTTGTTAACTGAAAATATGAATATTACATGCTACCCTACGAAAGGTCTACTTGCAAGCTGCAGTGAAGAACGAGTGTCCAAAGATGGCTGTCAAAGGCGTGGAATATTTTAACAAATACAAGTAAAAATTAGGATTTAGCAAGCACCCTGTCTTGCTTCAAGTATCTTGACACTTCCATCTTATCAACTTAACATTACATGTGAAGAGATTTGTAGTTAGGGGGGGGGGCTCATCAGGGCTAAAGCAAGACTAAACAAAAAAGTGAGACGCCAGCCAACCGCTGTCTACCGCCCGCTAAACTGATGACAATATCTTACCCTTTTTAGGTACGATAAAAGTAAATCATAGGGAGATCACTACCAATGCATATCAGCCATGCTACAAAGATTGATATGCCGTGAACAGTGACAGATGAGGCTATTATCATAATTATTCTTGAAACATAATTGGAAAGTACTTTCTAGATATAAATACACATATGTATATATCATCAAAAAACAATTTTTTGTTTCATTTTTCAATGAGTCAATGCACTTTGAAGATAAGCTTTTCTGAAATATGTCTGACCTTGTTTCATAAGATAAGATATCAATAACTTAAAATCAGATGAATGAAATATTCATTAATAAAAATATAATTAAGGTCAATATCAAGTTAATGACTTCAAAAGATTACTTTTACGTGCTTATGGTGTTAAGAAATCTCAATGCCTTGGTTTAATATTAATGCAATGGAATGTTTTTTTCACAAAGATAAAGAATTAGAAAAACAAATAAATAAAAGTTCATATATTATATTAGGTATCATCATTAAAGCGCAGATTAAAAAACTACCCTACTGCAACACTACTATAACATCAATATGTGTCTATATCAGAATAATGACAGAAATACAACTTTGATTACATAATGCAGAAAGAATCATAAAATTAGTTACTGTTATACATCCCATGTAACTCCCACTATCAAAAATTATTTCCTGTGCAAATAATGTGTCCTTACACAAAGGAAGATTCAATAGCAAGTTGTTTTTAACTCTACTTGACATAATAATTTTTGAGATATTCATATATCCTGTTTTTACAGTATATTTTTTTAATATAAAAACTAGGCCCTGGGTTTGATGCAAGTTTAGACTATATCACGTTGTGAGCTGGACTAAGATGCATAAACATTTCATTATTGTGTGGTACTGCATATAAATATAATAGTGGCATTGAATAAAAATTATAACAATGGTATTGCATAAACATTTCTCAGGAATATAAACCAGCAAACAATAGGGAACATTTCATTTTACAATATTAATCAATTTTTAGAAAATTAAAAAATAATGGTTAATGAATATATCTATTGATCGCAGCCTTTCAAGAATTTGGCCAGAGCCCAAAACCTTGAATTTTATGTATGAACATACACAATATATGCCGGTCTTACAGCTAATCTGTTCAACACCATCGAGATATATAATCATTTTTATCCATTTTAAAGTGTCCTGATAAATTAACATCGAAAACAATTCAACATTATCATTATTCAATATCTCCAGACTTGTTACAATTTGTGACGCAAAGCCCCATCTATTAGCTAATTTTCCAAATCAATTATGTCTAAGCTTGTTTTATTTTATTGGATTTACTGTTATTCTGAACAACATGTTGCTTGGTTCATAACAGGTCAAATATTTCATCAGGGGGTAATATGGTAGAGAAATCTGACACTAAGCCCAAAAAAATTGGATTGTTTTTTTTCTTCAGGTGTGAACCAAACTTTATGACATAAAGCGATGCCTTGAACAGTTGAATTATCAGAGATAGATTATCTGATTATGCATATGACACTTATCTTCATTTTCTTCTCAATAACTTAAGTGTATCTCATTAAGTTCTTCCGCTTGACTAAATGTTATAATATAAGAACCAATAACACATTACGTTTCAAGAATTTTGCAGATATTAATTTAATAACTAGCTGATTTATGACAACTTTTAGTATTGTTATATCCAAGACACATTTAATTAAAAGACAACGCAGTGTTTTAGCATAAGCAAAAAGGGGCAGATTTTGACAATCTTTTTGCAACTTACTGAGAAAAAAGCCTTATACTGTGTATATCATGTTAAAAATTTACCACTTCATTGAAATTCATTGAAAATCAAACAAACCCGAGGCATTAACATGCAAATTGTCACAACCTGCCATTTGTTACAGACACCGACTACCAACAGCCAAACACCATCCACAAAAAAGTTGGAGACTATAACAATATGTCAACACTTCTGGTGGTCACATAAAAAGTCAGAAACATAGCTTAAAAATATGGCTTAAAACTCTTTAAGAAGGTATGTCTTAAAACAGTTGAACGTGAGGTATAAGAATTGAGAGACCTAAGATATTTGTTTGATTTTTTTCAAATACTGCTGTTGTTCTACTCTGATACTTTGCCAGAATCATTTTGGTATTGTATTTGACAACCATCATCATGACAACAAGAATCTCTAGCATATTTTACATCATGTTATGTCATTCAGGCTAGCAAATATATTAATTTTAAATTCAGCAAATTAGCACCTTGATATTTGAGACTGAGTCTGATAGTTGGCTAGTGGCCCAGGATGTATAGATAATTAAACATGATTCTCAACTCCCGCTGAAATATAATTAAATGTTGTTTCGCCATTAGACTTGTCATACCTAAAACTGAGGCAAAGGGCAAACATGTAATTTACCCAGTATCCTCAGATCTTGGCACTATAGGTCTGTTCTTACATCTGTAAGTTTCAAGTTGAACGGATCAACAGTTTTCCTGGTATTTTGATGATAAGAATCATGTGGCCCCCTACGTCACCCCCCCCCCCCCCCCAGCAGCATCAGACGATGACAATATTGCACTTTTATTAAAAAGTTGATGCGATAAAAATCGCTCTCGGTGCCTAGGTAACAGAGAGATTACTTCCTCAGTGAATAACACTGCCTGCAATTTTAGAATATACTGTACTTCAAGTCATTCTAATACGCAAGAAAAGCCAATGTAATATCAAAGTAGACTATAACATATACAGAGTAACTTACCTTGTAAGTTCTTCGTTCCAGTTGCAGAAATTTTCTAAGTGAAAGATTTGGGGGTTGAAAAGTTTAGAAAAACTTTCTGAAGTTGTTGTCAATCCAACACCTGCAAGAAAAGTCAGAGTCTTAATACAAATAACTGATAATGCAGTTTATTGACATTATTCGAGGACTAAACATTTGAAAGAAAAGTCAACATATACTCGTAAAATAATTTACTTTCTTGACTTGACCTTCGAAATGCCTTCCTCTGAAACTTACCACCATTTTTACTCGTAAATGTCCACTAAAATTGCAAAATGAATGTATCATTTACACATACAATCCTTCCGTTCTTCTACAATAGTATTGTATTATTTGAATTTCGAACCAAAATCAGATCATCAATTGAATAAAAATAACTCTATAGTTTCTATTTTTACTGACCAGTAAGAACTTGCTTGGCAAAAATGAGGATGATGTTCTATTTTTGGTCTTGGGAAAGACTGTGTATCGACCGTCTCACCACTGCGCTATATCAATCCGCCCTCCAATTAGTAAATGATATTCAGGAATATACTTGAAAAATTAGACGCTCTAAGTATTTAGATTACAATAAATATATCGTATATTTTTTACTATTTTGCGTCATTTAAGATGATTACTCTAGATATTCATGTGTCGAAAGGAGGATTATTTTACTAGCTCAAGAATCAATCTGAACTTCCTGAATCAATCAAATATGTTAATGAGCAATTGACGTCATCAATCTAAACATTGGAAAAAACACGTTTTTCGGATCAAAAATGAATATGTTTGTGCTAAAACACAGATAAGGAGCAGCACATAAAACCGTGTTATACATATAACGCAAAATTGACAATTGGCAAACCATGTGTATAAGGAATTATACTGGAATTCCACGATGATTCAAATTGACGTCATTCCAGAAGACCTCTTGTGGTAAAACTTTGTACTATAAATCATAACAATCAAATTTCAACTAACTTGCTAACATGCCATCTATAAATTATACCCTTTACAAATTGATCTTGTCGACGTGTGGATTTTGATTAACATGATCCTTATAAGAGTAAATGCATCCTTGGCCCAAGAGTAATTCATTGCCATAGGTTCTGGGCCGATATAAAGATGGTAGCACCAGAAAGAACCCAGAATTATCTTTTTCTCTGGTAATAAACTCATATCCAATACCCTAAATCCAAGTGTACAAGGTGAACAAGGGAGAATACTGACTACGGAATGTTTAAAAATAATGGATTGTTAGTTCTTTACTTGTTACTGTCCTTTCAGATATAAAAATCAACACTTCTGGAACAGTTCTGGAATAAATCACTTACTTTAATTTTCAAACATTCTTTGGAAAATATATGTGAAACATAGATAAACCCAGATCGATTACCATGTCATCTTTATTTCAATTTCTATCGACCTTAGCCTATGTTCATTGAGAGCAGTGAAGAACCGTTCTTGAAGGATGGAGTATATGGACTTTCAAAGGTTTCCAAGCATTGTGTTAATTTGGATTTAGCCGGATCTTCTTCAGAAATCGTTGATGAAAAAAATGGTAAATTGCTGAATTGGTATTTCAGTAGAGGGACCGTGCATTTAGATGACCCAAACCTTTCCAAAGTGGTGAGCATAATAAAACGATGGATACATATGGACTACGAATGGGAATATTTTAGCTGGAGTATAATTCAAATAGCTTATATGACAAAAAACATCAACAAGTTAGGCTATTCAAAAACAGTCATCTGTTTATTCATTTCATTTTTGTATTAAAAGTACAATTTATTTGTCCAACCTACTCATTGTCCGATGTTTACGGAATATGGAATATCTGAATGTAAGACCAGCAGATGTAATAATAATTTTACATCAAATTGAAGCACTCGTTGTGTTATAGCCATTCGATTCGTCTGGAATATACTTCCAAGTTGACCAAAATATATACATTCCAGTGCCGAGAGCAAGAATGACAATAAGTCCGAAATTCAGACAATATTTCGCCATTTTGTCTTGCTTGAGACTTGTGATTATAAGTATTCTTTGCTTCTCTTTGGTTTGTGATTCTTCCCCGATGGAATCAAACCCACACAGCCAGTCCTTCAAGGACATTGGGCACCATTTCTGTTTATCCCCATCACCACCTGCAAAAACATCGTTATACTGGACTTAAAATTAAATTGACGTAACTAGTACCCATTCACGAGTGCGTCATCTCCAGCGTAGTGATTGAAGGAAAAGAATTGCAGATACAAATCGACGGAGGATACCAATCATATCATCAATAGAAAACATCTGGCAAGAGTGAAAATTATAAAATAAGTGTAAAATTTTGTTCCAAATGTCAAGCGCCAAACACCGAACACTGGTTTCAGAAACGAGGGCTATAAAATGTGACAAAATATAGGATGTTCATTGGCATTTTGTTCTGTTTATCAAAGCGGCCTCAGAAAATCTCATGATCAATCGCATGCTTAGGTGAATAATCAACTTAACATAACAATTTGTATACAGTTGGGAAATAATCATCGGGCTCATATGACATCACTCAAATGACATCATATTACATGACATTACTCCGTGCATATTATATCCCACATATTTAATCCATTCTAGGAAATAATCAATTCAGTTAATCAAAACACAGAAATGAAATCTTTTAACGTTTTAACCAACAACTTAGGTCTTGCTTCAAGGTCCCTGAACCCCCTCCCACCCAACAACAGGTTTCTGAAGTTAATAAGGGGGTCCAGAGTCTTGAATCATACTAATAATAACTACATCAGGTGAGTATTAATATCTATCTGGTCGGTGAAACAATGAGCTCATTCTACCTTGTGTTGGTTGTTCCTCAACATCTTCACTTGGAGTTGTCCACACCTTTTTCCCATTTTCCTAAAATACAATATCACATCTGATTTTTCATTTTAGCATAATAGTTACTTTACAATACTCTAGTACTTTATCAAACATTTAAACTAATAAATAACGTTTGTTCATGTGTTTATTATAAAGCATAATCCGCACTCTATAATCGTTGGAGTATAGTGCTGTACAGTTCCGTACACCCGGGGTCGTGCGGTACCGTACAGAACCGTACAATACCATTTCCAAAACGGTACCGTATGGTGCTGTTGCAGATTTGCTGTGTAGTCATTTTCCGATTGAAATACCTTTAGTTCAACGTCATCCACACTTAAAGTTGGGTTATCAATCCCTCTGGTGTCATTGGCGTCATCTCCTTGGCTTTCTTTAAGCTGATCCAGTGTAACTCCAGCTCTTACTTGCTGCAGAGTTCTAGGATCATGGCGACTCCAGAATGTCGTTTTCCATGTCTGGATATTCCAAAATAGATGTAAATACGATTATAACAATTTTAACAAACAACCAGATACCATTAAATGTTGACTTCTGTACAGAATGAACATACAGAATGAAGGAAAATGACGGTGAACCTGACCAGTGCTAAGAGGTTCGAGGGGCATTCCTTTGAGACTGTCTGCTTCTGTTAAAGGCCCCATATAAAGTTTAAGTGAATGATAAAAACATATTTTCAAACTGCATGGCGCCTTTAAGACGTTTTTATATGTTACATCCAGTAAAGCTATGCATACCTTCTCTGGTGGAAGTGGGGCAGTAAGGACGCTGATGACAACACATACGATGGTCGTAATCCAGTAAAGTAGCATTGCAAAGTACATATAATGAAAATCTTTCAATATGGCTGGCCTCGTATCTTCCTCCCCACATTGACCCGGCGGTCGAAAAATGAATATGAGGATCAATCGTGCCAGTCCCGTCACAAACCCAGCCATTAGCCCCCAAAATGCTCCCTAAAAGAACAAAACAGTTTAGTATAGTTAAAAAGTATGGACGGATCACTCATTAGAGGTTCAATCGATTTAGGCTTCGTTTGCTTTGTTTGTATTTTACCTGTTCATTAGCCCTTGGCCAGATGACCCCAATGACAAAGACAGCTGCAATAGGTGGAGCAAAATAATTTGTAATCTCTTGAATATAGATAAATACTTGTCCACCTTGTGTTTCCTTGACAACGGGAACCCAAGCAATAGCCACGCCCATCATCACCAATATAAACACCCTGAAATAATGTGTATCTTCTATCATCACCATGATTTTGATAAAAATAATATTTCAAAAATTTATATCATCAGGAATATTATGGGTCTAAATCACCGTGATGTTTTTAGAATCGCGATCAATTTCCCGCTGAAATCGCAAGCAAAATAAAGAAGAGTATAACCCCGCAGCTTAGAAAATCTTAACATTCACCAAAATTGAAAAAGTCAGCAAAAAGTCTTTTTTCATATGTTGAAAGAATTAAAGTTCATAAGCTGGTCGGAATTGATACGGGTACTATCTTTCAACCGACTCCCTCGGTCAGATATTATAAGAACCATACAATCCCTCCCTATGGATACGTAACCTTTCCTTGTTAACTTTTCTCACCTTCCAACAATCATTTGTTCTTTTGTCCCAGCCTTCTTCCTTATTTTCTTCCAAATGTCAATCGTGAACAACGTACTTGCACTGTTGAAGATGGAATCCAAATCACTCATCAACGCTGCGATCATTACTGCCATCATGAGACCTTTTAGACCTGGACATAACATAGACTTCAAGAGATAGAGTATTCATAAAATATGGCAGTGTAGCACACCTGATTATACATCTTCCTCACCAACATCTTTATACAAGGCATTAACATGCAAAATGTCACCACCTGCCATTGGTTAGACGCCGACCGCCGAACTCAAACCGCCGAACACAAATCGTCAACCGCCGAACACGGTCACACAAAATTGAAGACTATAACAAGATGTAACCGATTCTGGTGGTGGCATAAAAAGCCTAAAACATATGGTGAGAATGCTCGTACAAATGACAGTCGATTGAGATGAATCTCAATGGTACAATGCAAAGGGTAGAGCATGGGATGTATAGGTACAATCAGTCGGTACAAATCACATAGCTAGTCAAGTACAACTGTACAAACTGTTAAAATGATAACTCCAAAAATCTCCAGAGCAATGGATACAGAACCAACTAAACTTGTTTCTACCTGTGGGCATTAGTCCAAGAACAAGTCTTGGGTATGCGATGTTTGTGCAACCTGCATAGCTCTGGCAGTATTTGTAGCATTCATCAGGGTCGACACAAGCTACTTCGTCTGAAATATAAGAGAAAATGAAGTTAAGATGAATGGGTCAAATTGATTATGATACTATATTTCTTCGTTGATTCGTCTGCACTCAGTTTTTGAGATAAATGTACACGTGTTCTAAAGGCTCGGATTGACACTGCTCTCCAAAAGTTTGGCATGGCAACGCCGAATTTACAATTGAAGCCAGTCTGCAAATAACGAGCCAGAGCGGGGAGTATGCTATATATACAGTATTGTACCCCCATGGGCACCGACTCACTTGGGTATTTGATTCTGCTAATCATTCCTGGCATCACCATAATGAAGAGAGGCAGAACTTTAATGAAGCCTGCCATAAGCGTCGCACCCTGAGCATGGGATAGACTTTTGGCTGCAAGAGCACGCTGGACAATCACCTGAGGAAATTGAAAATACGTTTTATTTGTACAATTTACTGAATAACCTTCATTCCTTTTATGAAATAGAAAAGGCAATGAAAAGTATTAATATGACAATGCCCAAGGAAAAGAAGACAACGATGCAATGAGAATGTGACAATGAGTCAAGGAAAAGAAGACATGCAATGAGAATGTGACAATGAGTCAAGGAAAAGAAGGCAACGATGAAATGAGAATGTGACAATGAGTCAAGGAAAAGAAGACAATGATGCCATGAGAATGTGACAATGAGTCAAGGAAAAGAAGACAATGATGCCATGAGAATGTGACAATGAGTCAAGGAAAAGAAGACAATGATGCCATGAGAATGTGACAATGAGTCAAGGAAAAGAAGACAATGATGCCATGAGAATGTGTGACAATGAGTCAAGGAAAAGAAGACAATGATGCAATGAGATTGTGACAATGAGTCAAGGAAAAGAAGACAATGATGCAATGAGAATGTGACAATGAGTCAAGGAAAAGAAGACAATGATGCCATGAGAATGTGACAATGAGTCAAGGAAAAGAAGACAATGATGCCATGAGAATGTGACAATGAGTCAAGGAAAAGAAGACAATGATGCCATGAGAATGTGTGACAATGAGTCAAGGAAAAGAAGACAATGATGCAATGAGATTGTGACAATGAGTCAAGGAAAAGAAGACAATGATGCAATGAGATTGTGACAATGAGTCAAGGAAAAGAAGACAATGATGCAATGAGAATGTGACAATGAGTCAAGGAAAAGAAGACAATGATGCAATGAGAATGGGACAATGAGTCGAGGAAAAGAAGACAATGATGCAATGAGAATGTGTGACAATGAGTCAAGGAAAAGAAGACAATGATGCAATGAGAATGTGACAATGAGTCAAGGAAAAGAAGACAATGATGCAATGAGAATGTGACAATCAGTAACGGTTAAAGACAATGATGTATTCAGAATATGGCGATGAAAGGAAAATATGATTATGAGGGAAGGGAAAGTCGACAATGAGAGGAAGGGAAAGATGACGCCAATGATGAGAAGACATATGAAAACACGACAATGAGAAAAGGAGAAAACACCAATGAAGAAATAAGAATACGACAATAAGAAAAGAGGATGACGGAAATGAAGGAATAAGACAATAAGAGGATACAATTATAAAGTAAGAAGACGATAATGAAGGAAAAGAAAATAAGGTAAAGATGGTTGACACAAGACGTGCAACTACTTTTAATAAGCGCGATATTTATAATTTATTTTTTTAATTTTGTTTTTGACTACATATTCTTATAATTCAAAGAGTGCAGATAAGGTCAAGATCTTGCAAAGTGTACCTGGTCAGCACACCAGTACCATATAGAACCCGGTGTTTGCCCCAACAGGAACCCTGGCCAGGGCATATCAGGATCAGCAGGACCTCTCAACATTTTGAATGCATTCTCAGATGGCTTGTGACAGTCTTGTCCAGGTACAGTGACATTGGTCATTGCGAGTGGATACTTTCGGACCAATCCGTCGTACCCTCCGATATCAATGAAACCTAAAAGGATGCCAGTAACAAAACAAGGTGTTCATTTACGGATAATTATGCTTTAGAACTCCATTTCATGGCAAAACAATTGCTATACATTGAAACCTGTAAAGTGGAACTCCTCCAGAAGTGAAACACCTCTGTTAGTTGAACACTTTTCAGAGTCCCAATTGACTAATTGTCACATGGGCATCTCTAAGTGAAATACTTTTTAGAAGTACCAAAGGTGTTCCACTTAGACAGGTTTTACTGTACGACGAGGACAAGTCATTTAGAAATGTTATAAATATATTTATTCTCAATATAAGAATATACTCTGTAGTACTATATATTCTTGGATAACAAACAAGAATATTGTATCAATTCCATCCTATGTCATTCTCACCCATTATCATTAGGACAATAGCACCACCAACCATCAGGAAAGCCTGTAGAGTATCCGTGTATATGACTGCTGTTAGTCCACCTGATGAGTAAAAACATATTATCAACTATTCTGAAACTACATGATATTTTATAGAAAGGGCCGATCACGACCAAAACGCGAAAATTAAATAAATCCAATTAGCTTTGCAGAAATTTTGATCATCGAATTTTCTACTCTGTAAGTCTATAGACCTTTACCTGTAATTGTCAAAACTGCTGTGATGGCGATTAGAATGAAAATGGATAAGTAGAGATCCCACCCAAGGGACTGTTGTATGAACAATGCACCTGTGTACAGATCCACCTACAATATTAGAGACCTTAGCTGGTATTTTTTACAACGTGAACAGAAAGACTTAGTGTATTTGTACCACATAAATCATAATATAATATTGCTGATTGAATTCTCAAAATTCAAATTTAGTTATACAGGCCATCGTATTTCGATCAACAGAGCGATCCTTGGCATTCAAGATAAACGTATGTACAATGCCAAACAAGATTAAACTATAAATAACATATATAAACTGATTTAATAAATGTATAGAAATTCCAACAGGAAAATGATGTTAAGAGTCTCTCGAATTCCAACACGTTTTAGATACAGTTTTGTGTCAAGTTAGAAACCTTACCGAGCATTTCGTAAATATGTACAAGACAAGCGAAAGTAGGGCAAAATACACCCTCAGTCGCGAACCGCCAAACCGTTTAGACAGATACTCAGGCATTGTGTATGTCTGGAAATAAAAGTACTCAAGATGAATTAGATGCATATGGTCATACCACATACAGGAATGTACATATTGAGTTATGCAAATGTACATAGTTTCAACGAGTTAAATGTTCTTAACTATTTTTATTTCTGTTTGTTGTTCTTTTAAAAAGATCTAAATTCTTTAACAACTTACAGCACACGCGATGTAGACAGGAATAAATACCCAGCCCAGCAACTGAAGTAAAAGGATGGCCTATAAAATATAAAATAGCATTATCACTTACATGAGCCATGGTAGATTTCGTTAAAATAATCGATGACCTACGACTTATATTCTACTCATAACAATTCGATTTAATAATATTGGTGTAGGAAACTAGATTATTAGTATAGTAAGATGTTATTATTATCAGGGAAGCCACACGCATTTCAAGACAACTTATACGTGAACGTGCAGAATTGAATAATAGTTAAACGATTGGTTCTCCCCTTTCGATTTGTATTATTCATTTTCCAGATTGAGAATAGATAGGAAAAAGTTATAGGAAAATAAAAGATCCTTGGGACAATTGATAGAGGGACTGTAATTCCTGGGTGTCATGACACGTCCACGTACACTTTATCTTTAAAACGCGCATTTTAACCTCCCAATAACCTCTGTATTGTCTATACTCACATTGAACTCCCAAGCTCCTACTCCTATTCCCCCGGCTGCCCCCGAACCAGACAGCCCTATGAAGTGCTCACTGCCAATGTTGCTGACAAACAGGGAAGCCCCAACCTAGAAACATAGAAATCATCTTTGTAAATAATAAACTTAAGAATGCGGTTCGTTCTTTGCATTGTTACAGATTTTGTCAACAAAGAACCAAAAACGGAGTCATAGGTTTTGGGTCATCTTCGCACGCTCGGTCTTCACTGCGTTTATCATCGACCGACGGGAGCCGAGTGAACGAAGATGTTCTGGGTCGATATAAAGATGGTAGCACATTAAAAAGAATATTTCTATCCTTTTATTTAGCCTAAGTAGAGTATGGATGTAGTGCGCTGCGAGAAGATTCAAAGAAAATGTAATTTTACAATACTTTTAGGATTGGGAGGAAAACGTTGTTGTAATCTGAAAAACTTGCTCCCAGCATTTTACGCCCTGTTTAGTTAGAGTAAATAGTCCAGGGTCTTGAAGCAAGACTAATTCATTCATTAATTCTCAATTTGTGCATTTTGCATTTTGACCCGATTATGTCTGAAATTTTCTATTGGATTGTGTGGCACTAATTCCATATTTTTACATTAGTTTGATTTTTACTCAACAAAGAGACTCTTTTACAGAACAAATTATATCAGAAAAATATCTAAAAAGGAAACTTACCGTAACCCATACCATATTCCTTCCGGCGAGAAAGTAGCCACTCAGTGTCCCTCTGCTTGCGCGACATGATGCCTGCAATATATATTCCTAATTTTACAAATCAACAGGAGGCATGACACCACAGTGTACTTATACTACATCGTAGTCTGCTACTGGCAGATCCTCTCCAAGAAAAAACTCTTGGAAGCTATTGGGGACGTAGAGTGGATTGGTTGCTTACGTCCAGGGGACAAGGAGAGATATATAAAGATGTCTCTGGGACAAGTTAGTAAACAAATCCATGGGACAAGTAAACGATACAAGTAATCCAAGTAAATAAACTGGAAAGGGAGAACTAATCCCCAGAGGACCACATTTCTACTGGTTAACGTAAGTTCTCTTAAAAGCGTAGCTTAATCTCCCTATTGAAGAATCGTACGCACTCATTCTGATACTCAGACCATCTCTGCTATGCACAAGAATGCATTCTAGAAGGAAACTGAGAGAAGGCTGTGATATCTCACGATGGTACGCACTATGTTAAAAGAAATCATCAAGATTTTAGTTAGAGTTTTGAGGGGAGGGAGAAATGATTTTTTGATACATTCAACAACAAACTACCGATCTTGTTCCTGAGAGACACTTTCTTCCTTGATTAATAATTTGTATTTTGTTTTGATTGCAGTTAAAATGATTGCCATAATTTAATGGTTTGCTCAAGATGCTCTATTATAGAGTGAAACATATTTATCAACTCCTACACACCCATTGGAACAGATTTATGAGTATACTAGTAAACAGCCGAATCACAATGTCACCTGGTCACATAAAAAAACTCAAGTGAACTTATAATATTATTTTATGTAGTAAACAAACGTAAGTACAAAATGTCATCGACTGTATATTCAATGTACTGGGAACTGTTTGTGTTTTAATGCTCGGAGCTCTAAATAAATTCATGTTGACTATATAATGCCTTGGTCACATAGGCTCCGATTTTCACTACGGCGCCCGGCCGATGAGTATTTTGTTCAAAATCGGCCGGCGAGCCCGGGCATCGTACGGGCGCCGGGCGATGATCGCCACTCATCGGCCGATTTTTAGACATCGTACGGGCGCCGGCAGAGTTTTATCGCGGAGATAAAAGTTGCCGATGTCTTGGCGATTTTTTCTCAACCAAAGTCATCGGTACCTACCCGGCCGTGTCCCGTCCGGTCATCGTACGATTATCTTACGGCGCCCGGTGGCATCGCACGGTCATCTTGGGATTTTGCGTGCTGATAATAATGATTACTTATTAATTAAGTGATATAAAGGTTTTAAAATTAATGAGGTAAGGAATTATAATTACTACACACTGTCAGAGATTTTTTATAAAACATAAATGGAACGATTAGGCTAAAAATTTGAATGGCTGGATGGGTGGGTTGGTTGATCTAGTCGTTCTTATATTGACATTAATCGTGTATGTCTGCCATACGCATTGAATAGAGTGATACATTTTTATGCGCATATTCACTCATGCATATACCATTACAAATCATTTATTTTAAAAATCTTCTGAATGTTTTTGTGAGTACAGTATTTTCAAGGGTCACAATTTTAATACGAAAGTTCACTGTCTCAATTACAGTTAATATGCCAAAGGCTAAGGATAGAGGGGATAAGGCCAATGGGCCATATAATTTCATTTATTTATTGTACCAATAATCCCTTAAGGGCAAATGTATATGATATAAATATGAGGAAGGCCTTGGGAAGACAGGTGGAAAAAGAAAATAACAATGCTAGTGAGCTGGTGGATTATGAAGATTTAGGTCCACTTGAAATAGAAGAAAAAATGCCAATTTCTTTGAAGATAGGCCATATTTTTATGACCAAACAAATTCTCCTTACGAGAACAGACAAAAGAAAGATGCAGAAATATGGAATTTTGCTTATGGCATCGGATGGACAGGTAGACATAGTATTTGTTTATATGAAAGATCTAAAAATTAATTAAGGTCAGGGTGCACTTTGATGAAAAGACCACGTCCAGTATGGCAAGTGATTTTAGACGGTCATATCTTTCACCATGAGTACTTTCTGGGCATAAATACAGTGTTTTTATTAAAACAAGATGTTTTCTTTCAATTGAAGTACCCATGATAGTAAAAATATCAATCAAACAATTTGAAAAATTATGAATAGGGACCCAATGTCAGCATTTTTTTCTAAATATTGAACCTATTTACTCAAAAGAGGATCTTCTTTTTCTGATTTTTATTGCATGGAAACATTATTATCCTGGAAGTCCTGTCTATCGAAGTATTTCGTTTTCAAATCTTGCATTCACGCCATGTGGAACAGTCATACTGGGTCATACAAGAATTTAGTATAAATCTAGAGGCCTGTAGATCGACCGATGTCCTGGCGGGTGCCGTACGGCCATCGGCAGATAGCCTTGCGATACCCGTGCGATGTCTTTCAGATTATATTGATTGCGGGCGCCGTACGATGCCTGTACTAATGTGACCATACTCACGATTAGATCAAGACATCGGTGAAAAGTCACCGGCGCCCGGTCGATTTAGAAATCGGCCGATGACTACTCATCGGCCGGCGCCCGGCGGCTATGTGACCTAGGCATTAGGTATCGTCAACTGTACGTACCGTTATTCCTATGCCAATGACGAGGACAAAGTAAACTATTACGACGACAAGGTCCCAGGTTTCCAATCGTTGCTCATTCATACTCAAATCAAATCTCGCGATGCTCCTCCAGACAACCAGCTCTGGATCGCTCTGCAACTTGCACCTCTCGGATCTCGCTTAGTTCTACTTCATGTGGATGTTACTCCAAATCTACCTCAAGGGTTTGATGTTTGATTCGCACTATGCTAATGGTATACAAGGATGGTGTTAACGATGGTGGTTTACCTGCATAATTCAGCGCGTGAATCTCTTCGAGAATGTTCAAGGCGAAATGCTGCTAGTTGTATTTGTCAATACTCAGTTTCGTAGTGTCATTTATTCAGGTTAAACCTACATAAATGCATATTGATCAAATAAAGCCTAATATTACAGTTTTTTGTACCTTGTCTTCCCAACTATAATATCTGAACTTCCCAATTATGATATCAGGATTTATGAGACATTGAGAGAAAAGATGTTCTCATAATTTTGCAATTGTTTACAGTGCTCATTTCGTTCTCATGCCTATTTTGAAAATCTTTTTTTAATCCAGGTTATGGTTTTAAGATAACTTAAAGATCCTGAACATACAAACTTTTTTTTTAATTTTAGTGAATTTGAATTTCTTTTATTCTGCTAATGTTTCATTTAACTTCAATTCCTTCCATAACATACACGGACATATATTTTGAATTTTTAGATAATTGGATTTTGTAGGGGACGCATTAGCACTTTTTATTGTTAAGACTATCAAGTCCTACACTTGTTCACTCTTAAAATATTTAATCATGCAGCACGTATATTTTCGAGTGTTTGCCGTTTTTATTTATTTTTTTATGTTTTTATGTTATAATTGCGGTATGTTCACTTTCTCTCATATTGGCAAAAAATATTTTTAAAAATCCAAATACTTATTGAACGATTCGCATAATTGATATGCTTCTATTAACTGATATTCTAAGACAGATCTGGGCGACCTCTATTTTAGCAAAACATTGATTCTCTCAATAATAACTTGATAGATCTTAAAAGTAAAAGACACTCCAGAGAATCATATGATCAGTGCTGACTTTTGACCTAAACAAACAGATAACATTGTTGTATATTATGTTGTCAAAATCTCACGTGTATAACAGATAATGACACTCGCAAAATGAAGCACTGCAAAGTTAAACAAATATGTGCATTTTTGACATTTATATATTTCTTGGGAGTCGGGGGACAACATGGTGAAATAGCGGTTCCCTCTGATGGACCGATCATCTCTATATGTGGTATCCCAGGATATGACGTCAGTAATCTCACGAGGTACGTAGGCTATTTGACGTTTAGTAAAGTTTATGTTCTTTTTGTAAAACTTATGTAGTAAAATTCGATTGAACTGAAAGTTCAGTGCTGGCATCCCCTTCCCCACCACCCCATTTTCAATTTGTCCCTGGGATACTTGATATGATGGGATTTTGACGGGATTATGGACCGAGGCTTGATCCAAAACCTATAACCTCCTGGTGGTGGCATGACCATTACAAATTGGAGACATACGCGTTACAGTCTCCGACGTCCAATCTTGGTGGTGACATAAAACGCATCTACTCATTCATTTCCAGGGCAGATTTCTGGGTATTTGCTCAGAGCGGTGTTTGCCTAGGGGGCAATGCAACGGACTATTGTGCCTTCTACTTGGCCTTTTGTAAGCCATTGCTCTTGGACACAAATTGTTCTGGAGAGAGTGCTTGTCAGCAAAACTCAAGTGGGGCATTCAGCATTGGAGGCTACGATGTAACGGGCCCATTCAAGGAAAGTAATGGTGAGCTTATTTAGTTCAGTGCAAAATGTTTTACTGTCCCCGGGGATAACTGTCCATCCAACTCGTATGAGCTGTGCATGAGGTTCAAATTGATCATGATGATCTGCCTTAATTCCTTTCAAATAAAATGCCAAATCATGAAAAATCTTTTTTTCAGATTATGAGGGCTTCTACACAAAATTCACAAATGGTGCACCTACGCACAACAGCAACCATGAACCCTGCAACGTCTCGAGTACAATACAATTTTCATGTAATAGGGATGTAGGGTGGCTGCCCATTGAGAGACCTGGACCTAACCCAGTGCCCTCCCAAGTACCTGGGCAGATCTACGTGTATTATAACCACGAAACGTGCAATGTAAGTTCAATAGAGGCTTTGCTATAAAGATTTGAAATCTCGTTGTAGTCTCACTTTTATTTAGATTTTATGAAATTTGCATATTGTATATGATTCACACGGGCGTAGCCAACTTTCAGTCAGGGGGGGGGGTGCGATCGGCAAAAATGTTGGTTTTCAGTCGATTTTGGCATTAACAAGAGATTTGTTTTGAATTGATGCAACTTCCTTCAAAGTAGAGCTAGAAGCTTCAAGTAAAAAGCATTTTAAAGCTCTTTTCTTCTTCTATCTCATGGCTATGCGTCATAAACTGTCCATTGAATGCCATGTACGTAGTTATGTCAGGCTATACATTTTTCAAGAGTTTGTTTTGCTCTTATAAAGAGTCGTCTTTATCCTAATCTACGAGACTCTGACCCTCATTTAGTCAGGCTATACAATTAAGTTGAAATATGAAAAGGGAACACATAACTTTAATATCAATCAGTCAATCAATTATAAACAGTTCTTAACAAATATTTTGGGAACTTATTTTGGGTTCTATAATCGTTTATCATTTTGCCCAATGTTATTTCTTGGGTCCTATATGTGATTGTCGTCCTCTGCTCTTAGGAGTTAATTCATTATTAATTATTTCAAAGTATTTTTGTTTTAGTATTTAATGACATTTGAGTTTGCTGGGGCATGCTCTCTAGTACCTTTGCCCGTCAGGTTTCTGAGCATTGGGTCCATGCTTATCCTCATGTAAGTATTTCTCAACATTAACGGATGGTGCTGCAACTTTTGGATATAATAGATACCACTTTAATTGCAATATATACACAATTTCAGCTGATTTGAAGAATATTATATCTATAAACTTAGAGCATATAGTGCATTGCTTCTCGGACAACCCTCGTATATGTGTTTGTATGGGGTATTGGGATAATAGCTTCCAAAACATAAGGTATAAATTCTCAAAAACCTAAGGTAGAAGGTATAAAGATTTTTCAAAACAAATTCATGTATAGTTTGTGAAAGCTCATATGTTTGTAGATTTAAGACATTACAAACGTCTCTCTCTCTCTCTATGTTGTTTCGTTACAGGTTTTGTACCTTGTAGTTATTCTCGAAATAGCCTTACGTTGGAGGGAGGGGGTGAAACGCAAGAAATTAATGCGTGACTACTAAAACAACATTTTAAAACATTTTTCAATGTCATTATCATCCATATTCATGCGATTTGTGTGAATGTCCAACTTAAAAAATGTTTAACATGCTAAACTGTTGAAATGGCGTGTGATAATCTGTTTTATTTGTATGTGCTTCTAGCTGTCTTGCAAGTTTTATATTATACTTCTCACTTGGAGCTCTGTATAACTCACTCCGAGGAAAAACAGGAAGAGACGTTCCGCCCAATGCTGCTTTTTGGGACGACCTTCCATATTTGGTTTGGGTAAGTTGCCTTGATCCTCTTTGTAAAACTTTAATGGATTCTATTAAAATATTTTTGATGCACCCCCTTTCTAACGAAAGAAAGTAGTTTTTGAATTTCACACAATCCTTATTTATTCGCAATTTCAATGGACTTGCTAATAATATTTTGTTTTCCATTTCAGGATGGGGTGAAGTTCTCATATAGTTCTATCAGAAACATTGGGAACCACAAGGAACAAACAAAATATGAACCGATAGAGGGAGACTGATGTAGCATTAGCAGTTGAAAGCCATGCTCAAGTTCTCAAGTACAATCCAAATGTAACATTCGAACCCTTAAATGAACAATTCGAGTGAGTTATGCAGTATATAGAGTACATCATGTAGTATTTCATATCTCGGACACTAAACCATTTTCAGGATTCTACGAAATTATGTAAATATGTATTATAGTTCTTTTTTGTAATAATGTTAATATTTCAAATAGAGGTTGTTTAACGAATAAAAATTATTGTGGATCTTATTTAGAGGTTAAATATTATACAGGGTGGTCAAAAACTGCAGCCCTGCATTTGTCCTGATATCTTTGTCATTTTGCTATTTGGCACATTCGTATCTCATTTAGTTTGAAATTGTATTTAGGGAATACACTTCATTGTAAATGTTATGGTCATGGAATATGTAGGATGGTAGGTTAACTGAATGATGTACAAATGTACCAAATATTTTTGAGTAATTTCCTAAGTTGATAAAGATATTCGAGTTTCTTGTCCACCCTGTATTACAGAAGAAACGCCATCATATCGACCAAGGATTTAGACCGATTGTCAATTTGATTGAGGATTCGGAAATGGATATGATACGGTATTAATTACAAGTTTTGGTAAAACCAGAATTGAATCAATCGAACATTTTCTTTGTCATTGTGAGTTGTATGTTGAAGAAAGGTTAGCACTAAACGAAATCTATGAATATAACGATACAAGTAGTGTTAAAGATCTGATCTTAAATTGTACAAACAACGATCTTGCATTGCAAACTGTCTTAATAATTCATTCAATGTATATCAAGAGACAAGCAACGCTCACAACTTCGCTCATTTCATAAACATGAGCAAATAATTTATCTATTTTCATATTTATGTATTAACTCCCAATTAATGTACAATTGTTACTCTCTTATATAAGAGGTAAATAAAGAATACAATACAATACAATACAAGAATTTTAAAATGTTGATTTTATTCGTATTTCCCAGGGAAAAGTCGTATTCATACAATCACCCTTCTCTCGAGGTCAAATAATTGTATTTTCCTCGACAAAGGGTAATGTTATGTTCCTCACTTAACGCATATCACTGTGTTTCAGAAAATTCCATATACACTCTAAAAAAGCATCCTTCGAACTCAGGGATCTAGACGTCATCCATTCTGTTACTCCCCTCTTAGAACAGAGTGGATGATCTCCCCGCGATCGGAGAATGGAAAAACTGTTTTTTCTGTATGAGGAAATTATACGTTTTCGCATATTCTTATGATACTTAATCCTGATTGGCCGTTTCCTTGCCAACCTAGTTGCAATTGTTTGTTTTTGCACTTCAGCAAACCGACCGGACTTGATAATCACGATTGTTTCTCAAATTAGAATCCCAATCGTCTTTATCAAATAATTATCCAACGGGACTTCAGATACGTTTGTCATGAAGAGTGTGTGCCAGGTTCCGGAATAGACTTGTTAAAGGGGTTTTCTCATGAAATATGAACGTTGGAGTAATTTTTACAAGGATAAGGAATTTACCTTATGCCGTCTCTAGACCCCCTCCTCTCTTAAACGAGGCTGTATTTAAAAATGGCTAAGGATACTTTCAATAAAACATATTCGACATAAATAACATGATAAGTTCTTGCCTATGCATGACATATACAAAATATACAAACGAGATTTTGAAACGTTCCCCGTATGGTGACAAAATGTATAGAATTATACAACTAAAGTTGAGCACCTGGCCTGGAACTTATCATGTGTTACATTATACCGATATGATTCTTTATCATCGTTTATCACAATTATTGCATCTACTGCTAGATCAGACCAAACTAATCATCGAGACAAGAACATCTAGTCTTTGACGCTCCAATTCAACATTAGGGCAGCGTTTCAAGAAGCTGGAAGGTAAGATATTTTATAGTCATCGTCTTTAGCTAAAAGTCTTTTAAATGATTGAAGAAACACATTTTTGATGGAGGCCTATGACAGATGGTGCAAACAATTTTAGGCAGTCATATTTTTGTCAGTGTATATCTTGTGACCATACATTCTCTTCGAGAAAGGTAATGAAATTATTTCGAAACGTAAATTAAACCCAAGATTATACAATACATAGATAACATATCTACTTTTTCCAAAATGTCGTATCTATTTTCTGGAAAACTCTGGAAAACAAATTTTTCCAATTGATATTCAAAATGTTTTAGAAATGATAATTAGTAAATCTTGGTATAATAACAAAGCGGACTATCCATGTATTATTTAGACATAAAAGTTAAATGCTGATTCAAAGTATTGATAACAATAACAATCAAAATTAAATTGTTGTAAATGCAAAATGACGTAAAATATGGGCCTTGTAAGAAAGACCTTTTCAGAGGTTGTGCCAATTTAATACATAAAATACAATAAATAACATTGAAAACGAAACATCGATTGGGGAGACACAGTCCATGGTAATTTCGGTATGGTTATACATGTACAGTCAGTTTTTGCTTTTGATTATTTAAAATTCACACAGTGATTACATCACGACTACAATAAGTTTGTTACAATTAATATGGATGGAAGATAGCATCGGGGTAATGTAATGGGCTCAATGTTTTGAACGCAATATAATTAATAATTTTTCTGATATTTTGCATGTTACGTTATATTCTCCTCATTTTCATATTTGATTCTTGAACTCGTTAACACGGTGGTTAAGGAGAATGCATTTTAAATGTTATAGGGAGCCAGGGCGAATCATAAATAATTCGTTTTTTCCCATACTGAGCGTCTGTAGTTGACTGTGAAACGCACTTGACGACTTAGCCTTATCTCATATGTTCTAACACCTAATCATGGAGACGAGATTAATTCTAAATTCGGTGTCCTACTGTTTGTTCTCCCATTGATTGAATAACAATGTAAGCAACACTTTGTAATCAAGAGATAACCAACTGACGATGTGTGGATCACTTCAGGCCCACCCTGTCGCACAGCTTCAAGAAATGCTCCAATTTTAGGCGACTCCTCAATTCATTTTGATAGGCCGACTCGCTTATTGCATCCACCAAGAAATTTTGAAGCTTTGCGTATAATTGTTTTTGCTATTTATTCTTATAACCTCATGCATTTCCTAAAGTTGCCTAAAATTCGGATCTTATTTTGAGACCAGCGTTTGGAACCTCTGCACAAAACAATAGTAAATAGCATAATACTGATTTTTCTCAATTTTATTTTGTGCAGGTGTTCCAAGCAACGGTTACTATGGCAACAAAATGCGTAGTCATTGGAGATGGTCTTCCTTTGTTGGACTGTATCCGGATTATCCATACGAGTGGTTTAAAAGTACTCGCAACATTCAGCAATTCAACTGATGTCCAGAACTGGTGTCAACAGCAAGGAATCAATGTTTTCTTACGGGATGCTGACCTGTTCGAAAACCTCAAGAACGAGAGATTTGATTACTTATTCAGCGTGTTTAATCAGCGAATTTTGACCGAGGATGAACTCCAGCTTCCGGCTAAATACGCCATCAATTACACCAATGCGCCATTGCCGAAATATGCCGGGGTCCATGCTAGCTCTTGGGCCATTCTTAATAATGAGGTCACCCATGGCGTAACTTGGCACCTCATGGACAAATCAATCAATACTGGAGATATTGTGATTCAGGAAACTGTCCAAATATCAGAAGATGATACGGCATTTAGTCTCAATATCAAATGCCAGGGTGCCATGAGGTCCTCACTCCAAGCTCTCCTCATAGATATCAAGGCCGATCATTTGAAGTGCACTCCCCAAAACTTAGCGAAAAGGTCATACCATTCATTTCGAGACTCACCAATAAATGCGGCAGTTATCGATTTCAAAACTACATCAGAAACTATCCACCGATTAACCAGAGGATTGGATTATGGCCAAGGAGAAAATGACTTTACAAATCCAAAGATTGTGACACCAAACGGACACGTTTTGATAGTTTTGTCTTGTGCATTGCTCAGTGGTGATAAAGGCGAGTCAAAACCTGGTGTTGTACGATCTATCGAAGGAGATTGTATTGTTGTTTCCACCCAGGATTCACATATCGAGCTGACATTGGGAGAGCCAGATGGTAGGCCCATCAAGACAGATGGTATCAAAGTGTATGGCGTCCATGTTGGTACTGAAATGCCCTCACCGAACATCTCAAAACTGGATGAACTTGGTTTACTGCAAACTACTGAACCGTACTGGAGATCGATTCTTGATACCTATCAACCAACCGAGTTCTTTCGACAGCAATACGTAGACCACACGGAATTTAAAGATGCCGATATGTACACGGAGACAATTTCTACATCAAATGAAGCGATGGAACTCTGTAGGAAACTTAAAGTATTAGACAGTAGTGACGCCATAAAGGGGGCGCTTGTGACATACATTGGCCGTGTGTGTGGTAAACATGATATTAATATTGGCTTAGGGTCAATGGACAGACAAGTTGATGTTGATTCTAGTATCAAGACGCTCTACGCAGAAATAGTTCCTTTTTTGTTCTCTGTGGAGAATTGTTCCGAGAAGACAATCGTTGATGCAATCAGTGACGTAAGCATCAAGATAAACAATGCTTTGAAACAAGGATCGTACGCACTTGATGTCTACAAGCGCTTTCCGAGGCTAAAATACAAAGATCGAATCCCAAGACATAATATTGTGTTAGCAACATCAACTGATGAAGTCAAAGCACAAAAGCAGGCCAAGAATTTACTCAAATATTCAAGGCTAGTGCTTACTATCTTGCCTGGCGGTGATATCGTTGTTAACATCAACAACACTATACTCCAAAGTAACCCATTCATCATTGAGCATATGAGACGGTTTAGATTCTACATACAGAATATCATGGCCCTTGACAACGATGCAAAACTCCCGGATGTACACCTTCTGAATGCAAAGGAGCTCAATGAGTATCTGACCAATGTAGCAATGGACCCTCCCCAAGAAGCGATAGATCAAACTCTCGATAACATGTTCCTCGAACAGTGTGAGAAAACTCCAAATGCAACAGCTGTTGTATCGAACGAAAAAATGGCAACGTATGCCCAGTTGCGAGATGCTTCAAAACCCTTATCAAAGTTCATACAGCCGATATTTGGAGACACTTCTAAGGAACGCTCAGTTATAGGACTGTATATTCCAAACTCATGCGAATACGTTGCTGTCCAGCTCGCTGTTCTAATGAGTGGCCATGCGTTTCTGCCTCTTCCTGTAGAATATCCCCAGGAGAGAACTGAATTCACAATCAATGATGCCAAAGTGAAGCATGTCATTACCCTGCGGAATTTATACACTGACGTCATCTCTAATTTCAAATCATGTCATGGAAAAATGACCGTTGTACCAAATTTCGGCATATGCGAGGACTTTGTTATTCTTACACGTGATAACGTCGACAGGGAAACAGAGGAGCTCTGCCAAGCCAGAGTGAACCAAAAGTTAGCATATGTGATTTATACTTCTGGGTCGACCGGCGTCCCTAAAGGTATCCAGATATGTCATTCTGGTGTCTGCAACGCCATTGATTCATGCATTCGGGTCTTTGGCATGAGCTCTAGTGACACAGTAGCTCAGTATGGCTCGATCGGTTTTGATGCTTCCATAGTGGAGATCTATATAGCTTTGGGAGCAGGGGGAAAGATTGCTATCTTCAATGATCAACAACGAATAGGAAATGGCTTTATTGAAGCAATGAAAATATTTCAAATCACGACAATTGCCATGACTCCTTCTACTTTGAAACTCTATGATCCCTCGGATTTTCCAGACTTGAGGGTGATAATATCGTCGGGGGAAGCATGTGACAGGCAGACAGGGGAAGTGTGGTCTGGACCAAATAGAACACTCTATAACGGCTATGGACCAACAGAAGTATCAATTGGAGCAACCCTATATGGGTACAACCCCGAGACATCAGCTGAGTACAACGATCTACCCATTGGGAAACCCTTCTCAAATGTTTCTATTTTCCTGCTAGACGATTGCCATAAACCAGTACCCGAGTATGTTCCTGGTGAACTACTTGTTGGCGGAATAGGAGTGAGTCTTGGATATCTAGGTCACGCTACTGATAGAAACAAAGACGTCTTTGTCCCCAATGTCCTAGGACCAAAACCCAAATATTTGTACAGGACTAACGACGTAGTATTTCAAGATAAATATGGCGATGTACTTTATGTTGGCAGGAGGGACAAGATGATCATGTTTAGAGGTCAACGAATTGAACTGGGAGATATTGAAAGAGTCTTTATGCAGCAGACAGAAGTCGAGTCAGCTGTTATAGTTCTTCATGATGGAAAACAACAGGGGGACGAACCGTTCTTAGCTGCATTTGTGTCACCAAGTCACGTGAATATAGCTAAACTGAAACTATCTGTGTCCCAAACATTACCACCAGACACTCGCCCGACCGTCATCAGACCAATTAATGTGAACGAACTGCCCAAAACTGTGAATGGAAAGATTGATAGAGATATGTTGGCCAAAGATGGGAGTGTTTACAACTTTGTGAATGCAGCTGATGACGCTGAGAAAGATAACATGGGAGAGACGGAAGAGGGAATTGCTAAGATATGGAGCAAACTCCTGAAACTACAACCTGAAGATGCTGCTGGTATTAATAAAGACAGTAGTTTCAGAGAGTTGGGTGGAAACTCGTTGTCTCTCATTCTCTTACAAAAAGCTATCAAGAAGGAATTGGAAACTGATTTATCATACTTCGAACTGATAAGCTCGGACATTCTTGGAGCACTTGCGACTAAAATCAAGGAAAAACGAATTGAAAAACCGAGCGAATCTGATGACCTTCAAAACATGCCAGTCGAATTGAAGAAAGAGCTTCTGACACTGCGTCAAATGTGAAATTCCAAGCAATTTCTAGACGTGCAAAGATAGTCTAGGAACTCCGCGTATCTAGAGATTCCAAGACGTGTCAAGAGGTGCAAAGACCTCGCGTGTAAAGAGCGTGTCGAGAGTTTTGATATCTCTTTGCACAGTCTTATCAAAACAAACAGTATAATTAGACCGGCCACATGTTGTTATGCCCTATAGTCGCGCTTAATTATACTTTACTAGGATTGGAATATAACAATCATTTTAATTTCGTGTTAATAATAATTTGTGTTTTTTAAATCATTATCAAAATAAAATTAATTTAAAAGTATGCGTGTGCGTGTAAGTATAGGCAATAGCTTAGTCGAAATGAGTAGATGTGTGCAGATAGAGATCGCCTATGTATTTTGCTAAATCTGACATTTTTACAGGATCATGTTAAAGATCAAATGAAAACAAGAAATGTGTTTTTCTTAGGTTTATCTACCCTGATTTCGAGTGATTTTAACTTGGACGCATATTCCTAGATATTAAAACAGTTTGAATAATTAACAAAGTCCACTTTGAACCGTGTCAATCAAATTGTCAAATATGTAGATAGCACATGCAGGCCCGAATACAGGGGGGATAGATTGGTTCTAGCGACCCCCCCCCCCCTCCGTGACCAAAATTGCATTTTTTACCCCATACTGAGCACCTTTTAAATTATTTTGCTCATTTTTGAACTAACATTGCCAAAAGTAAACTCCCCCTGGAATTTCTTAAAAAAGTAACACACCCCTTGGCAAATCCTGGCTATGGGTCTGAAACGCCTGAAACATGCTCTGATATAATGAGGCATATTCTGTGATCTGAGCATATCAGATGGGAAGAGTTATGAATGTCAATAAGTGTGATTGTTATCATGTAATCATCTACCTTAATGTCAATACATTACATAATGTAGTAAGGCATTGTACATGTATTTAACAACAGGCACATCCTTCTTCAAAGGACTTCATTTATACTTGTAAAATACCCTTCCAGTGAGGATGCAACAGGCACAGTTACACAAGTTTTATGACCCCAATTAGATGAAATATGAGCTGGGATGAAAGATCTCAAAAATCAAGGGCTGGGAAGATTTGAGATGTCATGGTTTACTATCATGACGCTGAAACATGTGTCGCTTATTGTCACCTGTATTGATCATGATGGGGCGACGGCAGTGCCCCGAGTCTTTTTGATCTGTTTAATCTTATTAGTTACTATTTAAAATTGAATAATTTAGGACCCCGGAAGCAAAACAACTCTTTGTTATGAAAGGAATACACCACCCGGACAGAACCCCTCATGTAAACCATCTATAAATACCTTTGAAATCAATTTGATTTTCGATCTACATCTGAATCTCAGATGGAGAGTACTCTTTGACAAGATCAACATTTAAAAGTGTAGGAAAGTTTTGATAAAGATGTTTAATAGCTAATTATTCAGACATATTGTTCTTTCATGTTGACGATGATGATATTTGCAATTTTGAATTTTGAATTATTTTGAATGCAAATGTACTCAAGTCCCGGGACTCAAGTACTATATCCTGAGTTCTGCCCGGATCCCCGAAAACGTTTAAAATCAAACTCGATTATTTAGCTAGACTTCAAAATAAGGGATTCAATAGAAACATGAAATCCATATCACTGTATAGATTGTGGAATTTCTAGTAATTTTTAGACGTGCTTAGCCGGTCTAGAAACTCTGCGTATCTAGAGATAGAGGAGGGGAGAGAGGGCTAATTTTATAGCTGAAATTAAAAATAGCTTATGATCTATAAATATAATATATGGTTGTTCTTATAATGAACAACTATTGGTTTAATATCTGATATGTGGACGGATATTTCTTGATTTGGTTTAAAAAGAAACTGAATGTAGGGTTGCAAAAATGAGGGAGACAAAGACGTTCGAAGGGTGGGGGTAAAATTTAATTAAAATCAAGCTAAGATAGAATGAGAATAAACATATCTGTTAGTTGCTCATGTAAACGAAAACAAATTAGAGGGTTCATTAGCACCGCAGACCAGATTTGCAAAATTGGGGGAGTGCATTTTCCCAGGATTTCAAACAATACTATATCTAAAATGTTGCCCCTCATATGCCTGGGTCATATTTGCTCCGATTCATCGGCCGGGGGCCGGCCGATTGAGTGTTTTTTCAAACATGAAAACAATTTTAAACAAAATACTCAATCGGCCGGAGGCCGGACGATGAATTTGAGCAAATGTGAACCAGACATTGCAAATTCCTTCAAAATTGAACTAGAAGTTTCAAATGAAAGCCATTCAAAGCTCCTTTCTTCTTCCTTCTCTATTGGTTAAGCAGGGGGGGTGCGATCATTCACGAATCGCACCCCCCCCCCCCCTGGTTACGCCTATGTGTTAAAACTTTACACAATATCAATATTTAAAACTGTATCTTGTAAGTGGCTTATTAAGCATCAGATCAATCACTAAGAACCCCTCTTATCTGCCGTTTGCGTTTGGAAGGATAAAGACAAAGGGGACGCGGCTACATGTATATCGCGATAACGTGAAATCTTTATGACATATCCCTTCACCCTCTACACCAATATTCTTAACACCACTTATTAAAGGATGTATGCATCAAGGGGTAGACATCATTCAAAAGACATAAACATGACCGGGTCGGTCAGGGGAAGGTTTGCATACGATGCAATTTGTACATGCAAGCTCATTTTTCACATATAAATTAATAAAGTCGATTCCTTGGGAATACGTTATTGGGTTTATTAGCGTAACGAGGAGAAGCGGTGGGTTCGCACCCTCTCCTACAAGCAATAAAAGGTACCATAAGGTAGAGGAAGAAAAGAGCATTAAATTGATTTTTTGTTTGAAGCTTCTAGCTCAGGTTTGAAGGAAGTTGCATCATTTTCGTAAAAATTCAAAACGACTGAAAACCTAAAATATTTTGGTGATTGCATCACCCCTCCACCCGACTGAAAGCTGGCTGCGGCCCTGGGGTTTTATCGAAAACTATATCGTCAACATTTTATCATTATGCGGAAAGTCCAATATGAAATCTTAAATGGTAAATATGTTGCATTTATGGAGGGAATTCCACTGTAAACTATAATGTGAATGTTTGATATGAATACTTCCATACAACCATCAATATCCATTCTTTTGAAATAAGATGTTACAACAAAGGGAATATTGAAAACTACAGTGGTAAGAGCATCTTTCTGACTGCTAATTATGTGTATCAACATTTTGATTGCACCTCAGCTGGAGATTAAATCTTATAATAATTTGATCAAAGGGATTGTAATTTTCCCCAATTCGCTTTCCTATGTTACAATCTGTATACTTGTTATATTGTGAGCGGTATGTGTTGATAAACCAAAAAGATATGTTTTTTGGATATCAACATTTAGAAAAAAGTGTAAGATACCATTCTATATGTTTATCTTAGTGTTTAGCATAGGTAAGAATGGGGGATGGGCTGGCGGGGGTCCGTCTTTGAATAATTCCAAGGGTTCATATATTATCACAATTTTGCTACAAAATCACTTGGAAAGTGCATGATTTGAACGATTATTTGGCCAAGGCGTCCGCTATTAACATGAGTATGAATTTTATAAAAAAAATTACTTGAATCAAAATCGAAGAATTCCTTGCCCCGTGTGTTCACCATTCACCCCGGGGGTTCACACTCGGCTCAGGTGGGGCACCTTTTTTACATTTGGTATGTCAAGCCAATGGACCCACATTTTAAGACAGATTTTTCCATTTTCTGGTATAAGAATCGGTGTGGAAAATATGTTACCCCTCAATTGTGGTACGGCATTGGTCCCGGGGCATTGGTCTAGTTGTTACACATATCCTTCATTTGAGGTTGTTTATGATCATTTTACTCAAAGATCTGCCTTCTTCTCGGGGCATTCGATATTTCGAATGGCATTGGTCTTATATTCTGGATATTTGGTACCCGGGGGTATGGCATTGGTTCTATATTTGGATGTTTGACATGGCATTGGTCTTGTGTTTGGACATTTGATATGGCTTTTTGGGGTTTATTTTAGTTTATATGAGAACACATTTAATGCCACCCCCCCCCCAAATTACAAATCTACATCTATTCTCTCTATCCCAAAGGTGGATCGGAATCATGAAAAACAGATGCAGACTCGGGACAGTTGCAAGGGGGGCTATAATGGAGAAATTCGTTTTGATTTTGAGTCTAACTGAAATATTTTGTCACAAATATTAATTAAATACGCAAATAGCCTGTTTTATTAAATGAGACTAGGGCAAAAAATCTATTCATTAAATCTAAAGCCTAGACGATATCTTCTGTAATCAAGGTGGTTTTGGTACACTTCCGCAATTATAAAAACAAAAACATAGACTAAGTTATTAATCTTTTGTTATCATATCAGATTAAGTCAGTTTTGTCTCCGATTGTTATGCAGGTGTGTGTATCGACTCCAGTGAACAACATTAAGTGAATCAATCCTTGAAATTCCCAAATTCATTCCAAATTCTGGCCGTTAACCCCCCCCCCTCCCCCATGTCTCTTAATTACATTTATTTTGCAAATGATATATAAATTATAGATTAAAATATTTCATTTTCGAATTTCGAATTTAATATCAATAGTCAAACAAATTAAGTAGTATGCTACAGTTGGTTATCAATCGGAATTCACGACCTATTGATTACTCTTTAATACAAAATTTAACCATTTTAGAATGGGTAACTCACACCCCCCCCCCCGTCCATGTCCATGAAGTGCGTAGACTGACATAATAGTGTCATTTATTAATTAAACATCACTGATTTATGTTGAGACATTCAGTGCGATTGTTTCATTTCTTTGTTCAAAAAGTTAAAGCACCAATTAAATACATATTTTTATCACACAAAAGGGGCAGAATACTTGACCTTGTATCAATTTATATCCCGATAATTCTTTACAAGGGAATGTTTCTTATTAAAACATAAGCAGCGCCTAGGCGTCGATTGGGGGGGGGGGTCAATCCGGTGTTCTCAGGCTATGTACAGCCAAGTATCCTGTTTATGTAAAAACCCTACGTTCCCGAATCACAATCAGACAATTAATTAGTATATTTGCTGTGTCTAGCAATTGATCATAGAATTAGATGTTGCGAAAACTATGGGAACTTGTACCTGTCTGTTTATGGATAGGCTGGGAAAGAACAGCAGAGAGAATGGTACATTCGATTGAATATGCTTGTTTTGCCCAATTGTGTATTAAAATGCCCCTCATTTATCATATATTACAAGTTAAGTCGGCGATAATTTGTATTGACTTAACTTGAAACAAATTACTCCGAAATCCAAATACTCATCGAAAAGTAAGGTTATCTTTATATTAAGCTAATACAAAATAAATATATAAATAGGCCTGATGTATCAGTGTTTTCAAAGTTTATTGCACGTTTTATCCTTGAAACGCCTTTCTTTTTCTTATCATGATATGTATTTCCTTCAGTTAGGATCAATGCGTCGATTAGCATTGCCTGTAACTGATTTATATTTTCAAAAGGCGCCATGAAATTGCCAAAATGTTTAAATAAGTCAATATGTCAGCGTACATACAAAATAGTCTGTTTAATATTTGCTACATGTACTTGTTCCAAACAGTCTGCGAAAGAATGATTAAAAATATATCAATTAAAAGTATCAGAGAAAATACTTGCAATCGTTAAAATACTGTATGTATTGCTATTGGTAATTAGGTTAGTTGTTTACACATAATTATGTTGTTCAGTGTGCCAAGAGCGTGTCAAGAGATTCCATTAATTGTCACAGGGCGTGTAAAGACTTTTTGACATGGTCTTTACACGTCTTTGCACTGCGTGTGCCAAGAAGTGCAAAGAGGTGTAAAGAGTTGAATTCATCGCGTGTCAAGAGGTGTAAATAATTGGCACGTCTAGAAACCCGGCGTGTAAAGACCAGTTTCTAGACGTGTCAAGAGTTGGAATCCCATATTTCACGCAGTGTGAAGGACTCCACTCTAGACGTGAATGCGATTGAATCCTTGGCAGATAAAGAAAATGTAGTTGGCCCTCTTCAGTTGACAACCGATCCAATCAACATTCTCCTGACAGGCGCTACTGGATTTCTGGGGTCTTTTATCTTACATGGGATCATGGAATCTACAAATGCAATGGTCTACTGCTTAGCTCGAGGAAAGACTGATTCAGATGCGTTTAGTAGAGTGAAATCTGCGCTTGTAAAGTTCAGCAACTGGAAGGACGAGTACGAGGCTAGATTAGAAGTGATCAAGTCAGATCTTGCTGATGTCAACTTGGGGCTAACGTCTTCTCAATATGAGAAACTCTGTCTTAAGATTGACGTTGTCTTCATTAATGCTGCAAAGATGGACTTCAACTCCCCATACAGTGATCATAAAACCGCTAATGTTGAAAGTACATTGTCTCTTATTAAGCTAGCGGCCACCCACCACAAAAAGTTCCTCTTCTCTGTCTCCTCTCTGAATGTATTCCTCTTCCCATGTACCAAATATAAGGACTCGGCAAATGGTATGCCTGTACTAAAGGAGACAGATTTCTTCGAGGATCCGTCAACGCTAGTCGGTGGATATGGCCAGAGTAAATGGGCATCTGAAAGGCTGGTTCAGCAAGCTCTTAAGGTGCTTCCTGGTGGTGCCATCTTTCGACCAGCTAGAATAACCGGAAGGTCAACAGATGGAGCAGGTCCGACCAGTGATTTCTTCGCACTTTTCCTAAGAGGTGCCATTCAGTTGGGTTCCTATCCAACAGTCCAGTTCCCATTTGACTTGACGCCTGTTGACTATTGCGCCAAATCAATCACCCATATTATGACCAAAATATGCACCGACAGTACACATCACCCAACTGTCTTCCACCTAAACAACACCAGAGTCATCAAATTTCATGAACAATTTCAAGGACTCGGGCTGAAAGCATTGCCATTGGAGGAGTGGTGTGACGAATTCGACAAAACAGCCACTGAGAAGAATCCACTATACGCCCTTGGGCCATTTATCACAGACGCCTTCAGAATTGCAGATGGATACCGTTGGCCATTGTTTGATGATGAAAACACAATGCAAATATTGCCACGGGATATCAAAAACATTTTGAAACCAACCAAAGAACTTTTAGAAATCTGCTTCAAATTTTTGAATATTTCTCGTCGTTAAAAACTTATGTTTGGATGGTCACACTTGTCTCTATGTGAGCTCTTATAGTAGCTAGATCATTTGATTGATGATACTAATCACAGTGTACAATGAGGATAGTAGTTACGGTTTTTATTCACCGCATGTACACATTTCAAAATATGAACTTTATAAAATGGGATGAGCAATCCTTTCAGAGTTGATTCTTTTAATAATGTTTTTGTCACAATTCAAGTTATGTTTCCTGCATTTGCTGCATTCCTATTTCTAAAATAAAGCTAAATAATAGGCATATGGTGCATTAATGGGGAAATATTAATGTCAGTCTTATTATATACTATCTAGTAACAATTACTTTTATTAAATATGGCCTATCAATTCTTCAAAAGGGAAAAATAATTTACGACTTTTTATTTGTGTGAAAAGTTTTTTTGTATTTCGGAATTGTCAATTTTTGTTGCACTTATACTTGTACATTAAATAATATGCTTTACCCGTGTAAAATAAATAAAACACTTAAAATAATGCATATTGACTAATTATAAACAATAAGTAAAGCATTGAATATTCCGGATAATATCAGAGAAAGATAGTTACGTTTCCAATGTGTACAATTAGAAAGAAAAGTAGTTCTGAGTCTAAATCTACATATTTTTACATGACACTTGGGGATAACCACCAACCAGGCATGTGGCTACCAAGGCAACTGCCTCGCCAAAGTTTTTGTAAATTCACACATGGATAGGTAATGTGTGTCCGATTCCAGCCAATCCGAGCATAGAACTTTAACATGACAGCAGTGCATGAAATCATCAATAACGCATTTGTTGTGTATGGTTGTTAAGGTGATGAGATTGCAATTGATGCTTTAGCCAAAGACTCATTCAACTTCATTCAATTCAGGGGTTGTTTCCTAAACTTTGCATTCCCGCTGCGAGGCAATGCAAAGGTTTGGAACAACTCATTCATGGTATGATTCGGCAAATAATGCGTCCTTCAATTAAAGTCCAATGACATCAGATTCATCAGATATTCAGATTATATGCAATCTTAAAACACATGTTTTTGTCATTTCAGTTGCTTGTAAAATTACAAATCATGGCTGACAGCGACTCGCCATTATCCAATGGCGTCCAAAGTCAACAACAGTCAAAAGGAACGCCGAGTGTTACAAACACAAATGGAAAGCTCGAAACCACAAATCACGCAAATGGAACAAAAAGGCTTGATAATTGTACAGAATGGTTAAATGGCCTTAACAAATATGAACCTACGACGTTCTTCCGACAGGGCTATTATGAAGATAAAGAGCATAAGACGAATCTGACAAAAAGCGAAGATATTAAAAGCTTGACATTTGATATCCCAGCGGTTGGAGGAGAGCAATGCGAATATGCAATGGATACACTGAGTGCCACAAAAGGTGCCTTCATTGGGTATCTGTCAAGAATATGTGCAAAGACTGAAATTCACATAGGGGTCGAGGCAGATTTAGGATCGGTGCCCGATGATGAAAGAAGCAAATATTCTGAAATTATTCCCGTGAGTTTCGTGATAAACCATATGATGTCCATCAACAGCGCTTTGAAAGAATACGCATCGAAACTCAATGAAAGTGTTGATGTTAATATTGAGAATGGTGAATTAAACAAGAGAGCAAACCTTAGAAAGAACAATGAGGAACCAGTGCATAATATCGTCATTGGTCCGGGCGCTAAACCTAATACAGCTTTGCTAGCAAACTGCAAGATTGTTTTGTTCTTCAACTTAGAGGGAACAACGTTCACTGTATTTTGGGATGATAGAAGGTTCCTAACAGAGCATAATAAAAATGGTGAAAAAATCTCCAGTTATTTCGGACACTTTCAGAGCTACCTGAATAATCTAATATCCCTTGGGTCAAAAGGTGATATGAATCAAATTGAACTGCTTGGTACCGATGAGAGAAATGCTATACTGCAAGTGCCAGCGTTTGAAGCTCCCAATAGTTTAGTTGCTATATTCTCTGCAACATGTGCAAGATACCCTAACTCGACTGCGCTTGTCTCTGGCAGCAAACAATTAACATATAGCCAACTAAAAGAGGTTTCTGAAACCATTGCTAAAGAACTTGAAGCAAGAATACAAAGTGATAGTACAAGAAAAGTCGTCATTGGACAATATTTGCAAAATTCTATTGGGCTGATAACAAGTCAGATTGGTATTCACATAGCGGGGCATGCATTCTTGCCTTTACCCGTTGAAAACCCGAATGAGAGAACATGTTTCACAATAAAGGATGCAAAGGCCAGATATATCATAACTGATAATGAGAGTTTTGAGAATATCAAAACTTTGGACATCTACTCCTCGGGGAGTAAGGTTTCTACTATAGACGATCATGAAGGGTTGGTGCTTATTGAATTCACTTCTATTGAATCTGATCCAAAACTTGAACAATATCACAAAAATGAAGATCTGGCGTACGTGATGTACACATCAGGTTCGACAGGGGTGCCTAAGGGTATTCAGGTTACACATCGGGGAGTGGCTAATTGTATCATGGGATTTGCACAAGGTTGGGAACTGACATCTTCCGATATCGTTGCTCAATTTGCGTCAATATCGTTTGATGCATCTATCATGGAAACGTATTGCGCTTTTTTTGCTGGGTCATCTCTGGTGATTCTGGATAAATCACAACGTATCGGGAAGGGTTTTATCGATACTATGAACAAGTATAAAATAACTACAATATCCCTTACCCCATCGGCGTTAAAGCTTTATGACCCAACTGATTTCCCATATGTTACCAAAGTTATATCAGCTGGTGAGGCGTGTGATCGTCAAACGGCCGGACGCTGGCATTCAAAATCCGCTGTCTTCATGAACGCCTATGGCCCAACAGAGATTTCCATCGGTGCAACATTGCATCGATTTAACCCAATGAAATCAAATGTCAACAACAGCAATGATCTGCCAATAGGTTCTCTATTGCCAAATGTCAAGGGGTATATTCTTGATGAATGTGACAAGCTGGTCCCAAAAAATACAGAGGGTGAGTTGGTCTTGGGAGGCCCCGGGGTTGCTCTCGGATATTTGGGACATGCGGCCCCTAGAAACAAAGAATCATTCATATCTGATTTGTGTGAGACAAATGATAGCATGTTTTATAGATCCGGGGATATTGTGTTCCGGGATGATAATGATGACATTGTGTACGTGGGAAGGAGGGATAAGATGGTCAAATTGAGAAGTCAAAGGATTGAGCTTGGGGAAATTGAAAGGGTCTTTCAACAAAATGAGAAAGTTGAACAGGCTGTCGTTGTGCTTCATAGCAAATGCTCCATGTCCCATCCTGATTCCATCGTTGCTTTTGTCACCCCCATTGATGTAAATGTCAATGAAGTCAGAGCGTTTATAACAAGACTACTTCCAAATTATATGATCCCAAGCGTTATAAAGGAAACCAACACTGCTGATTTACCCGTAACAATAAGTGGGAAAATTGACCGACTTGCACTATCTAAAGATGAAACGATACATGCAGGTGGCGCTTCTCAGATAAGTAATGGGGACAGTGATGGGTTAGATGATTTCCAAAAACAGGTTGCCATCACTTGGATAAAAGTTCTCAAATTAGACAACGATTGTATGAGTAAAATAGGCAAGGAAACTTCATTCAGGGAGCTTGGAGGAAACTCCTTAACTATGATTAACCTCCAAAAATCTCTGAAAGTTGATTTAAATGTTGAGTTGACATACTTTGAATTAATGAGTTCTGATACATTGGGAAAACTTGCTGATCTTGTGCAATCGAAAATAACAATATCCTAGAGCGACTTGGTTGTCTGATACAATCACGGGGGTCATCGAAAGATTTGTCCAGTTTGGGGTAGCATGCTTTTTATAAAAAATTATTTTATTTAAATAAATTGTACATGTTAGACCAATCGTTATTGAACTTCAAACACAAGTGAACGTTATCATCAAATGATATACTCATTATATTGAGTAGTTCATTTGGTATAAGGAAACATATGAGTTAAAAAAATAATTTGTGATTTTTTTAGTGTTTTGTGAAAAATAGCTTGGTCCCCAAAGCTGGACAAATGTTTTGATTACAGCCTGTGATAATATGCGTTACAAGTTTTGCCCAGGTGTAGCTTTAGATAAATAAGTCAAACTGTAAAAGGCCACGCAATGTGCTCATGTAAACATCCTATGTCACATTGTCTCGAAACTTGAAAATTAGGTGCTTATTGGGCACATACAATAGTGTACATTATACAATAGTGTATTATACTAAGTCTATATACATATAATAATTGTATATAGTATAATAATAATAATGATATATACATTTAATAATTGTTCTGTCAAAACATGAATAAACAATGATAGAAAAAAACATATCTGTTTACTTGTTTTTCATACCTTAAAGAATGACTATATTCCAGCTCATTGAAAAATTCAAAGATCATTGTTTTTAATGTAAATCATATAGGAAAACGTGCTTTTTTGCTTTATTCAAGAGGTTGTAGTACAGGGTGATTCATAATGACCGCACCCCATCCACAACGCTATATATTCGCTCAAACATCTTTGTAAATTGCCTAAAATAAACCATTACTTTGGACTTCAAAAGAGTTTTGTAAGATTCTGGATCTTAAGTTGAGTATTTTATTCCGAGATTGTGAATGCATTTCATAACTATAAGAATTCTTTTTTATACATAATTTCGTGTCATGTTATTAAACGTGGAATGTTGCAGGAAATACATAGAGGTTATTTACTGGGACCATGGGCTTTCAATAGCCCATGCTGGGAGGGATTGAATGCTCTCCCTCGGTCAATATCATATTACTCTCCGGTCAATATTATATTGTCCCTCAGAATAAAACCCATATCCAAACCCGACCAGAAATAACCGATCTATTCCATAATACATCTAAAATGTTACATTTGGATAATGTACATGTTATACGAACGATTAAAAATAAACGAAAATGAAAAATGAAAATGAACGGAATGCTTTTATCAATTAGTCAAGGCAGAGACATATAAGACTGGTCAAGGTTCAAAATAATTGGGAAACCAAAATAGGTTAATACGCTCCAATACGATTTTTGCCGGGAACAATACGATTTTTTCATGTAATACGCTCCAATACGATTTTTCCCAGGGACAATACGATATTTTCATGTAATACGATTCATTACGATTTTTTATTCCTTCATATTTCCCTGGAAAAACAGTAGTATATAGAATACAGGGGCGTAGCCAGCTTTCAGTCAGGGGGGGTGCGATCGCCGAAAATTTTTCAGTTTTCGGTCAGGGGGGGGGGGGTGCGATTTTGCCATAAGCAACACAAAAAATTAAGATTTCTTTTGAATTTTACAAAAATTGATGCAACTTCCTTCAAAATTGAGCTAGAAGCTTCAAATAAAAAGCATTTTAAAGCTCTTTTCTACCTCTATCCAATGGTCATATTTTCAAAGGTTATGGGGGGGGGGGTGCGATCGCACCCATCGCACCCCCCCTGGCTACGCCCATGGAATAATACGCTCTATACGTTATATTATTGAATGTTTCTTCCTCGTGATTATTTTCTCTCTATACTTGTTACAGTTATACTGTTTTCTTTAGGTCTCGATCAAAATAGTCTCGATCAAACAGAGACATTGTTTTATATGTCTCTGGATCAAATAAGAATTCTTTCAAATAAGAAACATATTGTCTGGTAACCTAAAAAAAGTTCCAAGTAATGTTACACTTTAAAAAAACCTTTCCAAACATCTTTACACTATAAATACCCTACATAGTAAAAATAGTAAAAATGAACACAGGAGATGAACCTCTTAATATTAATTATCATTCTGGGATGTCCATCCCCCGGTGTCCCTACTCTCAGTCTGACAATACACTCACTACTTTTGGCTATAGCGGTTATTAACTTAAATTATGTCTCCTGGCTGTTCTTGAAAGAAAATGATAGATTTCGACCAATCAAAGTAGTTTTAACAAACCCGTTTGGAATGGCGACCGATTTCAAGTAAGTTTTTGTCTTTACTAAATAAATTGCTCGTTGAGGTACATTCTTGATGATTAAGTCGTATAATTTGAATCACTGATGTAATTAATAGTACTCGTTTTGTTTTCCCCACTTCAGAATAACGCAACCAGTGGAATTCTACCGAAAGTTCTTGGTGAGTATATTTTGGGCGATAATAGAGTGTAGGCATTTTATTTTCGAAAGTAAAACCAAAAATATAAGGAATCAAAAGATCATAGTGCTGTGATGTTTGTTGTGATGCATGTTTCTGAATTCCAATTATGCGCATGCATCATATTTTAAAATTAGTCTACTACTTTTTGCAAGGCCTGACTTCGTCGCTAACATGCTAAATATAAGAGTTAGCTGACGTTTGGGAGTCTGACTTACCTTCTAAAGGTTAGAACCTGAATCTTAATGAAACCATATCACCTTTGTTCCGTCAACCATGGAGCATTTGCCACAACATCCAAGAGGTAAATCATGGACCGAGAAAATGAATGATTTCCTTGTAAGTTCCGGAAGTTTCAATACGAAAAATTACCGAACATATATGAAAACCGAATATTTGTTCGTTGTTTTCACGATTTACAGGTTCGTATGTTCTTCAATGTTTTGGTCTAAATTATAAAGCATCACCAACAGGTCTTACTCTATTAATCGACTAATACAGCAGACGGCTCATATTTCTACGTAGCATTTCGTTCAGTGGGACTGTAGATCACGCAGTTTCGTTCGTTGCGTACTTCACTCGAAATTGGTAATTTTATATTGGCTACTTCACTTAGCTTGGCGGATGTAGAACATTGCTTAATATTCTTTTAATTTTCACACCAGACATGCTTGGTTGACACGTCAACAAAGTAAAGTTCAAGGGTCAATGCGTTATTTCGTGATAACTACAACGCCTTCCCGAAAGTCAACATTGATGAAAAATGAAAAAGTCGGAAAAGCATTTACACTAATTTCTATCAAATGCTATGTTTATGCATCATCATCGACGCAACAAAGGTGATATGGTTTCATTAAGATTCGGGTTCTAACCTTTAGAAGGTAAGTCAGACTCCCAAACGTCAGCTAACTCTTATATTTAGCATGTTAGCGACGAAGTCAGGCCTTGCAAAAAGTAGTAGAGTCAAATCGCTTATTCTGGTAACCAGTTCATATGGTTAAAATAACGAAATGATGTGATGTTACCATGTGTCTACTTACCAGTTTGTTCTATGTCATCCATCGGACTAGGTAACATTGTGGAACTCAGCCAAACACGACACTGAAGGCAGTATTCTGAGGTTATGAAATCTAAATCTAAAAAATTTCCCATTTGCAGCCCCTTGGAGATTTTCGGAATTGAACAAAGTAGCGAATGTTGCGATCTTTCAACTTTAGTTCGTTGTTTTTCACCACTTAATGGGTAGTGTTTTCATTTAGGAGGCGGTCTTATTTGAATGCTTCATTTCAGGTCTTTATGAATCAATAGATCAATAAGCAGACTAAAATACAATTTAGCATTTTCGTTGAAGAAAACTGATTTGGAAAACGCAGTGACTTTAGCAGCCCTCCCTACAATGTTTGACATTGCTATCTCTGCGTGTCCTCTTCTACATCATTTCGTTATTTTAACCATATGAACTGGTTACCAGAATAAGCGATTTGAGTTTAGTATATGACAATAGAATGATAGATCAAGTACATGATGAGATCCCTACAACTGTAATAACTAATAAAATTTAGTGACAGCTTCAGATAACTTACATTCATGTTAAGGTTAATCAAGTTCAACCAACCAAGACACCCTTATTTATTTCTAGGAGAAAGATGTTCGTCCTGATGGCAGAGAACTTGGAGAAACTAGACCAACCATACTTAATATAGGTATATATTATACATGTGACACACTTCAATTTCATTTTCAAGTTTTTAATGTATAGTACCTTAATAGCTCTGATCCTAAAATAACTTGCACCATCGATAGACTTTCATGACAAGTTTCTTTTACGTTGATTATCAGCAGTATACAGTAGAACATTTTTACATACATATTAAATGACTAAATTACTAGAGATTTCACGGAACAAAAAAAAATCAGAGCGGTTCAGTTCGGAACATTTTGCCTTGGAACGGAACAATTTCGGAACAGAGTGACTGCGTGTATAAGATTAAAATAATTTGATCATCTAGGTCAATTTGTAGCGAAAAGCTCTTCAAAACTCTTCAATGAGAGGGAGTGAAAAGAATGAACCTCTTTTGGTGCAAAATATTGAAAGAAAAATGCTGTTTCGTGGCGATTTAAGGGCCAAAAGTTGTGAAAGGGTAAATTGTTCTTGTTTCGGAACTGAACCGAAATTCTCAATTTGTGTTCTGTGTTCCATTCCGAGGGCATAATTCCGCGGATCGGAACAAAATCAGGTATCCGTGACACCAAATCCATGTCAATGTAAAGATTAGATATATGAAATAATTTTGTTACAAAAAATCAGCGAAAAATTGTATCCATTTTTTTATTTTCAGCCATTTTAGTTAACATTGATTTGTCTATCTGACTCGCGAAATCCACTTTCTGTGGCACGTTTTAAAACCTCTGTCGATAGGATTCCTGTTTTAAGTTATTTCTGTTCAACATCAATTCAGAAAACTCCCCTATGACTCGTGGTTCAAAAACTCGCCTATTTTCAAAATGGCTGCCATTTTTGTCTCGCGAAATTCACTTTTGACCCATTTCCTAGCTTTACAAATAATTTCAAGTGTCCTATATTGTAAAAATCCATGTCAATGTAAAGAGTAGATGTATGAAATAATTTTGTTACGAAAAATCAGCGAAAAATTATATCCATTTATTTATTTTCAGCCATTTTAGTTAACATTGATTTGTCCATCTGTCTCGCAAAATCCACTTTTGGACCATTTACCTTAAACCCTCTGTAGATAGGATTCCCATTTTAAGTTAATTTTGTTCAACATCAATACAAAAAAACTCTCCAATGACTCTTGGTTCAAAAGCTCGCCTATTTTCAAAATGGTTGCCATTCTTGTTTCGCGAAATTCACTTTTTGCCCATTTCCTAGCTTTACAAATAATTTCAGCTGTTCTGCATTGTAAAAAGCCATGTCACTGTAAAATGTAGTTGTATGAAATAATTTTGTTACAAAAAATCGGCAAAATATTATATCCGTTTTTTTTATTTTCAGCCATTTTAGTTAACATTGATTTGTCCATCTGTCTCGCGAAATCTTCTTTTGGACCATTTGCTTAAAACCTCTGTTGATAGGATTCCAGTTTCAAGTTATTTTTGTTCAACATCAATACAAAAAACTCCCCTATGACTCCTGGTTCAAAAGCTTGCCTGATTTCAAAATGGTCGCCATTTTTGTCTTGCGAAATTCAATTTTGGCCCATTTCCTAGCTTTACAAATAATTTCAGGTGTCTTGCATTGCAAAAAGCCATGTCAGTGTAAAGAGTAGTTGTATGAAATAATTTTGTTACAGATTATTGGCAAAAAATTATATCCGTTTTTTTCAGCCATTTTAATTGACTGAGAGACAGATGGCTTGAAATAATTTTGTAACAATAAATCAGCACAAAATTATATCCGTTTTTTTCTGTCACCATGGGAGCCCAGTACCCACGGTACTAATTTTTTAGATTACATGCATAAAATGTGCATTTACTTGTCATGTTGTTTATTTAAGACAAGACTAAGCTTGCATTTGCAAATGCAAGTAACGCCTATTGGCTACAGGATTAATCTCCTTTTTTATGGGCTACTCATTTATAAATATGAATAGCACCTGCCACTATTCCATTCTATTTTGAAGGTTCAGTCAGCACAGCTAATGGATCAGCTCTTGTTAAACAGGGAAATAGTGCAGTAATCTGTGGTATCAAAGCAGTAAGTTTTATATGTATTTTCAAAAGATTTTATTTATTTTATATTGGGTCCATCATACATCTGTGGGTATGTAAGGCCTTAAATTTTGTGCCAATGTTATTCCTTCTTTATTGATAGAAGTAAAAAAACTATTTCATTAGGCCTAGCATTTAAATTGTTATGACAAACCTCTAATTCTGTTTTGTAATTCTAATTTTGCTAAGGTCAAGAATCCCAGCAGGATCCAAAGCCCAATCAAGCGAACATATCTTATTATCCCACCAATTATTAAGAAGCTTTGTTCAAGAATTTTTTTTTCAAGATGGCGACTATTTTTCAAAATATGTTTTGTTCAGTAGTATTTGCTCCTCAGTGGAGTTGCTGTTTCCTAGTATTCAAATATAGTAGTATTTATTGCTATGTGTGTTTCCTTTCTATAGGAACTGTGTAAGCCAAAGACAGAGTCTCCTCATGAGGGGTTTATTATTCCAAACATTGACCTGCCCGCACTCTGCTCCCCCAGGTTTAAACCAGGTCCTCCCTGCGACCAGGCACAGGTTTACTCACAACTTGTAGCAGATGTTATACAGAAGTAAGTGCAGTTTATGAGTTGTGTCTAACTTTCAGGCCCATAGCCAGGGATGGAGGTCAGGGGGTTTGCCAAAAATTATTTTAAAATCATGCAGCTTTTCACCATTCTGAGCACTTTTCACGTGATTTTGGACCAAAGTTGTCAAATTTGTTTCCCTTACCTTTATAGGTCTTATGAGGTCTTATTTAAATTAATACTTAAATATATATCCTATTTTGTACCAAATGTCCTCGATTATATACATTCTAAGCAAATATCAGATGCAATTTTTTAATTTTTACAAGGTTTCTTTTTGTGACCCTGAGGATATCACTGTATCATTTTGTATTTTGTTTACCACCAATTAAGGTGAGCAATACCTCTTGGTATATTCCATATATATGGTCATAATTTACGTAATTAACTGTAAACAGTGAACATATATGTTTGAATAGGTATGGTAGACAAACATGTTTCTTTTATGTTTCAGCTCTAAATGTGTCAACCCTGAGGATCTCTATAATAAAGAGGTTGATGTAAGTATACATTTACTAACATATACCCTTAATAACGCAGATGCCAGTTTCACCACCAGGTGGCCTCGTTCGGGTCAGATAGCCTGGCGGGTATAGGTGAAAGTTCCCTTTTACTTAAATTAGATCTGTTTTAGTGATTCAATTTTCATATAACCTTTATGTATCTAATAGATTAGTTATAAAAATTAAAATATCTCCAGTAAAAGAAAATGTATTTTACTTTTTGTGATTTTGTAACATGGGTTCTACGGGGAATCAACCCGAACTAGAAAGTTCAAAAGTTTCAAACTTGATCATTTTCAATTCTAAATGTACTTTTACATGATTTCAAATATGACATCACTTTGAATTTTGAATTGGAATCTAGAATTGATGAGCTTTTGGGCATGATGGGTAGATCTAAAAAGGAAGCCAATTTTTTATTTCTAGGTACAATATTTTTTTACTGTGTGTTTTGTTTTAGATGTCTTGGGTCCTGTACTGTGACATGATGTGTCTTGACTATGATGGGAATATTCTTGATGCATGTATTTTAGCACTTATGGCTGCCTTAAAATCATGTAAGTTTTGTGTGGGAAAATATTTTCAGACCTTAATGTATATTTTACTTTTAGGAGAAAACATAATATGTTTCAATCTATGCAAGTGAAAATGTTTATAAGTATTTATTGCTGCCCATTAATCATGATTTGTGAAATTCTTATGACTGTTTTTAAATCATTTTAGTTTATGCATGTATTGCTCAACAATTTAAAATGCATCATAAATAAATAGTCATGTTGTTCATTGAATATATAAATTCCTTTTATTTGGCATATTGGATCCACTAATATTAATTTCTCACTATGACATCACTATATCCATGGTAACAACATTGATTTACTATAATGGCATTCTTAGCATTACAAAGTTTCTTACCTAGTGATGATGTTAACAAAGTCTGACCTAGTGATGATGTTATTTGATTGAAGGCAAGTTACCCACTCTGGTATTAGATGATGATGGGCGTTTGGAAGTTGACACTGGGAAATTGGTTCCTCTCCAAGTACACACATATCCTGTGGCAACAACATTTGCTATCTTTGATGAGTAAGTTCCTTCCCCATTCTCCACCTTTCTCATTCACTCTTTATTTATTTATTTTTTCAATCACTCTTTATAATGTAGAGAAAGTTGGAAGATTGAATAAAACACTGCTGCCTTTTTGATAAAAAATTTTAAAATGCACTTTTGCTTTAACTTAAATACTGTATAATTCAAATTTGCTGCCATTTTCTGAAAAAATGCCTCTGATCTGAGGCTTTCCCACATTGGTCAAATTTAATAATAATAATGTTAATTAGGCGTATGACCATTAGGGTGGTCCAAAATATGGTGAAAAACCAACTTTCTTTCGGATCATCTTCCTCATTTGACTTACTGTTGTCCATGACCTAAAACACCTGCACACCAAATTTTGAGACCCAAATCCCATGGGAAATTTACCCACGCTTGGACTGAAAAATTCGGTTATTTCATGATTTTTTGCTATTTTCGATAAATTGCCATCTCCTTTTTCCTGGTATAAAATGTTTCTATTTTTTCATAATAAACATTTCTGTAGGACTCTTTATTACTTCATAATACTAGGAGCCCAAACACCAAATTTTGAGACCCAAATCCCATGTGAAATTTACCCATGCTTTGACTGAAAATTGTGATTTTCACAGTTTTGTCCGATTTTCAATAGATTACTGTCTCCATTTTCCTGGTATAATATGTTTCTATTTTTTTCATAATAAATATTTTTGGATGACTCTTTATTACTTCATAATACTAGGAACCCATACACCAAATTTTGAGACCCAAATCCCATGGGAAATTTACCCATGGTTTGACTGAAAAATTGTGATTTTCACATTTTTTCCGATTTTCAATAAATTGCTGTCTCCATTTTCCTGGTACGATATGTTTTTATAATAAACATTTTTGAGGACTCTTTATTACTTCATAATACTAAAAACCCATAAGTAGTATAGGCCGCAACTTTCGACCTGCAACCGGCACCGGTACTTACACTTACACCGGAAGTTACACTTACACCGGAAGTGACGTCATAGGTCACATGGTTACTGATATGACTGGTCAAAGATTAGTAGTAGTATAGGCCGCAACTTTCGACCTGCAACCGGCACCGGTACTTACACTTACACCGGAAGTTACACTTACACCGGAAGTGACGTCATAGGTCACGTGTTCCACGTTCCACCGGAAGTGACGCACATAACTGGTCAAAGGTTACTGATAATTGATAAGAGAGGAGTTAACTGATAAGATAATCAAACAAACTGGTCAAAGGTTACTGTTAACTGATAAGAGAGAGCTCAATTGATAAGATAATCAAACAAACACTGTTAAGGTAACCTGGTGACTATGTGATAAGCTATCTATCCACTTCATGGATGTTTCATGGTTATAGACCAAAGGTGGATAACAAACTGATTAAACAGTAAAAAAGATAACTGCAGAACCATTTCAGCCAAACAGATTTTAACTTGCAGAATTATGTTAACCAATCAGAGTACAGTATATTTGAATCAATCAGGTTTCGAGATGCAGAATCATTTTAACCAATCAGGAAACAGTATGTATGGACTGTTTGAACCAATCGGGGGACAGTATATTTTCATCCAATCAGAAAACAGCAAAATCAACCAATGAGAGAAATGTTCCAACAATCAGATTATGACTTGCAGAATTATTTTAACCAAACATAGTACATTATGGTAGAAATTTGACAAATTAGAGATATGTTCCACCACTAAACCAGTTCAGACCCGTATCAAAGTATCAAAATTATAAATGCCAGTTCAGACCCGTATTGAAGTTTTATAACCAAAAAGTCTCCTGAGTTATTTAAGAATATTTTTTAAATTGTCATTGTTGATCAATTTCTGCTTATTTTTTCACCAAACAGTCACTTGTTTCTTATTTCCGAGTCATTTTAGAATATTTTTCCAATCTTCACGCTTGAGTAATTTTTGCTTATTTCTTGAGTTTGAGGTATTTAATCACCAAATGGACACTGTATTCTTACTCCCGATACATTTAAGAGCATTTTTACAATTTTTACGCTTGAGTGATTTTTGGTGATTCCTGGAGTTTGAGGCATTCTTTTACCAAATGATCACTTGATTCTTACTCCTGGGTCATTTTAAAGTATTTTTTAAGTGTCACGTTTGGGCGATTTCAGTAACTGTTGATCGATTTCTGCTAATTTTTGGAGTTTAAGGCATTTTCACAAAATAGACACCCACCCACTATACAAAATAACACCCTTTAATAGGCATCTGTTAATTTAACATGCAACTGATAAAAATATAAACCCCTACAAAATAAATAAAAAATGCTAACGTTAACAGTTTTACAGCAGAACATTTTCGACCAATCAAAGTGTATATGCAAATGAGCTGCAGAAGCATTTCAATCAATCAGATCAGATTTTTGCACTCTTTGACCCCACCGCCGCCGCCACCGCCGCCGCCGCCGCCGCCACCGCCGCCACTATCAACAACAACCCAACAATAACAGTAAAATGCATTTTAGTGCTTTAGTTGTTTATTTAATATACATATTGTCATTTATACAAATTATTTCATAGTCCATTGTTAATGATCACTGTCTGCGTTGGCGTTTTCCAGGTGGGCCAGAATAAACCATAACATCCCTCTTTTTCTTAGGTTTCTTAAAAAGTCTATTCATCACATTTCCATTATAGGTGTGGTCAAAGGAATCATTGTCACTCATTTGTCTGTAAACTCTCTTTGATGGCCGATCCCGTTCAGCCATTTCTTTCTGCTGCTTGTCAATTTCTGCCTTTGCTCTCTGATAAACAGCTTCAGTGGGACTGACGTGTTGAACAATTGGTTCGCGGACTGATGACACTGGTATCCACTTGAGTTTTCCTCGCTTACCATAACCAGCATGTTCGATGACTCTGCCTTCTACCTGGGCTCGTATAAACTTCTTCCACACTTCTGGGTCATCCACATAAGGCACTATCTTAGGCATTGTTGCTTCCTCCGTTTCTCTCAAACTTCTGATGCCCATGACTAAGGTTTCTCTTTATATTCTCATCGTAGTGACGAAAAGGGTCTACCAAACGTTCATTCACAAAATCTCACTACATTCTTCTTCCATCTCACCAGATGTATCTGTATCTTCTGAATCATGTCCGTCAATAGACTCCTCATCGTTAAACATTTCATCAGCTATATAAGAATATTTGGCCAAAGTTTTTCTGATAGCTCTCGACAGAGACATGTCTTGATCAACTAAGAATTCAATTTCTTCTACTATTTCTCGATGTACATCAGCATCTTTGACTTCAATAAATAACCTCAGAATTTCACCATAGTCATTTAAAAACTCAGATTTTGCTTTGGGATAAAGTTTTGCTTTGAGCTTTTGAGTAATTTCCTTCTCTGGTAATCCCCTGGTAGTGTATTTTTCATACAAAGTGTCAGCTTCTTTTTTCAATACATCCAACACGTTCTGCTTCAGAGTAGAAAATGTATAATTTTCCTTCAAATCTTCAGCATGGGGTTCACTTTTACCAGAGTCTTCATATTGGCAATATTTTTGATGTATGTCTGCATGTTTTGTGGTAATCAACACTGTTCCACAGTCTTTACAATGGGGGAGATGTAAAACGGAGGGGTTTCTTAGAGTAACATCATCCATTGGACCTGGATACGTAGCATCCATCTGAGTTGGTTGAACAATGGTATTTGGTCGGAATTCCGACATATCTTGCCTCTGTTGAGCAGGGGAGCTCCCTGCCGTGTTATAAAAATGTTGAAATGATGTATATGGAACACTTTCTGCAACTTGCTGCAATGCATTAGGCTTAAGCCTCGAACCATCTTCAGTTTCTTGCTTCAGATCCACCACTAAGTAACCAAATGGATTTTCCGTAGCTTGTCTGTAAATGTCAAGTAAAGTATGTGTCTTTCCAGGATACATTTGAGATGCCAAAACACTTATCTGTCTTTGATCCCTCGGGTTCTTGAATAGAACCAAGTAATGGCTGTTTAAGCTCATTGTTCTGCTTTCTCCATTGGGTGGGAAAATATTTTGTTGTAACGTGATAATGGATATATTTTTGTGATGAGAACCCGCTGTGTATAGCAATGTAACTGCCTTGTTAAGGTCCGCCATGAGATCATCTATCACAACCAAATTGGTCACATTTCCATCGAAGTAATCGGGCTTCATCAAGTCATCGCAAAGTCCCATAACAAACTCGATATGAGGCTGTTTTCTCTTTATTTCTGCATACAAAGGCTGCCATTGTTTGAAGAACCATACTATTCTTTGTGGTGGTGGATTGATTAATTGTTCGGCTCTATCAATAAGGTCGACAACATAGGTTGTCTTTCCACATCCAGTAGGACCTGCAACAATTTTAGTAAATGGATGCCTGAACTGTATAGGTGAGTCGAGATCGAAGTTAGTCTCATCTTTTTGTGAATGTTTCTCATATGTCTCAGAAGAATATCCTTCCTGGCAAATGTGCCAGAACACACAGAGCAAATATAATCCATGTTGCCACGTAGATGAGGTTGCGCTGAATGAATGAATCAAGCCTGCTTTTCACTTATATAGTTTTAATACATCCCTCTGTTGAATAAAATATGATAAAGGCACAAAAGGTGGCAGCGGGGGTGGCGGTGGTGGCGGCGGCGGTGGCGGTGGCGGCGGCGGTGGGGTCAAAGAGTGCAAAAATCTGATCTGATTGATTGAAATGCTTCTGCAGCTCATTTGCATATACACTTTGATTGGTCGAAAATGTTCTGCTGTAAAACTGTTAACGTTAGCATTTTTTATTTATTTTGTAGGGGTTTATATTTTTATCAGTGGCATGTTAAATTAACAGATGCCTATTAAAGGGTGTTATTTTGTATAGTGGGTGGGTGTCTATTTTGTGAAAATGCCTTAAACTCCAAAAATTAGCAGAAATTGATCAACAGTTACTGAAATCGCCCAAACGTGACACTTAAAAAATACTTTAAAATGTTCCAACAATCAGATTATGACTTGCAGAATCATGCAAATGGTGGTGGCGGCGGCGGCGGCGGCGGTGGCGGCGGCGGTGGGGTCAAAGAGTGCAAAAATCTGATCTGATTGATTGAAATGCTTCTGCAGCTCATTTGCATATACACTTTGATTGGTCGAAAATGTTCTGCTGTAAAACTGTTAACGTTAGCATTTTTTATTTATTTTGTAGGGGTTTATATTTTTATCAGTGGCATGTTAAATTAACAGATGCCTATTAAAGGGTGTTATTTTGTATAGTGGGTGGGTGTCTATTTTGTGAAAATGCCTTAAACTCCAAAAATTAGCAGAAATCGATCAACAGTTACTGAAATCGCCCAAACGTGACACTTAAAAAATACTTTAAAATGACCCAGGAGTAAGAATCAAGTGATCATTTGGTAAAAGAATGCCTCAAACTCCAGGAATCACCAAAAATCACTCAAGCATAAAAATTGTAAAAATGCTCTTAAATGTATCGGGAGTAAGAATACAGTGTCCATTTGGTGATTAAATACCTCAAACTCAAGAAATAAGCAAAAATTACTCAAGCGTGAAGATTGGAAATAAGAAACAAGTGACTGTTTGGTGAAAAAATAAGCAGAAATTGATCAACAATGACAATTTAAAAAATATTCTTAAATAACTCAGGAGACTTTTTGGTTATAAAACTTCAATACGGGTCTGAACTGGCATTTATAATTTTGATACTTTGATACGGGTCTGAACTGGTTTAGTGGTGGAACATATCTCTAATTTGTCAAATTTCTACCATAATGTACTATGTTTGGTTAAAATAATTCTGCAAGTCATAATCTGATTGTTGGAACATTTCTCTCATTGGTTGATTTTGCTGTTTTCTGATTGGATGAAAATATACTGTCCCCCGATTGGTTCAAACAGTCCATACATACTGTTTCCTGATTGGTTAAAATGATTCTGCATCTCGAAACCTGATTGATTCAAATATACTGTACTCTGATTGGTTAACATAATTCTGCAAGTTAAAATCTGTTTGGCTGAAATGGTTCTGCAGTTATCTTTTTTACTGTTTAATCAGTTTGTTATCCACCTTTGGTCTATAACCATGAAACATCCATGAAGTGGATAGATAGCTTATCACATAGTCACCAGGTTACCTTAACAGTGTTTGTTTGATTATCTTATCAATTGAGCTCTCTCTTATCAGTTAACAGTAACCTTTGACCAGTTATATCAGTAACCATGTGACGTATGACATCATTTCTGTGCATTGGGCATATTACTCAAACCTATGTTCTTTTATCAATTATCAGTAACCTTTGTTCAGGTATATCAGAAACCATGGTAGTTATCTTTACCACTGTCTTATCAGTTTATTATCTCTCTCTTATCAATTATCAGTAATCTTTGACCAGTCATATCAGTAACCATGTGACCTATGACGTCACTTCCGGTGTAAGTGTAACTTCCGGTGTAAGTGTAAGTACTAAGTACCGGTGCCGGTTGCAGGTCGAAAGTTGCGGCCTATACTACTCCCATACACCAAATATCCACCAAATTTTGAGACCCAAATCCAATGAGAACGTTACTCATGCTTTGACTGAAAACTGGTGCTTATGATAGCTTATGATGTCTGTTTTAGGGGCATAATATGTTAATAAACATTATGGTAATTCCTGCTTAATCCAAAGAAACACCTAAATATCAAGACTTTAAGTCTCATTGAAAGGTGACAAATTCAGTAGTTTGGGGGAAATTTAGGATCTTTTACTTGTACATTTATATACTGTGGTTAATATTAAGAAGTGATGACTCGACAGCAACTCAAATGCCTTGAAGATTTGGTTTGTTGGTTTCAGTAGGGATACATCACAGGACCTTGTTTGGATTTGTGTGAGATGTCATATTTTTCTCACATCTTTGCAGGGTAAGGTCAAATATCAAATCTGATTTTCTTTGAAGAAATGATTTTTTGATTGATCAATGTATCAATGGCATGGTCTCTGTTGTAACCAGTAAGCCTGTACCAAATCCTCAAGGGATTCGAGCTTCCACTGAGCTTTGTCATTTCTCTGAAAATGTTCATGCCCTGAAAGTACACAATGTAGAAGATAGGAAGAGCAATGAGAAACACTTAAGGTAATTCTGTATGTTCAGAAATTTTAAGTGGAGTCCAATGTTATTTCTGGAACTCGTTCCATACTTGGTCAGCTCTTTCAATTTTACACTGAGTTCAAATATGTATTTAGATTATTAGTTGATGGTTAGTAATTTTCTATAATGTACAGGGTGGTCAAAAAAATGGAAACCCTGTCGCCATTTTCCTCATATCTTTGTCATTTTAAGACATTACTCCCTGATATTCACCACATTTGTACATCATTCAATTTCCCACCGGCCTACCATATTTCATGACCATCAAATTGATAGTCACAATATTACAGCACTTTAAATAACATGCTCCAGTGGCCAATATTGCACTTTCGGAAATCCTGCACCTATCATCCAAAATGTCCCTACCTAACTTCACCCTGTGGTAATACACCAAAAAAGAGTGTACGAGAATAACCCCAGGACAACTACATACCTCAAAAAGCAGATCATCCATGTCATTCAGGCCATACTTACTGAAAAATGTAGTCAGATCATTGACAACCTGTCCAGATTTGCCAATAGCGCGATGGTGGCCACACTGAGGCATCTTGTTCAAAGTGCTGTACCATTGTGACTATCAATCTGATGGTCATGAAATATGATTAGCTGGTAGGAAATTGAATGTTGTACTTATGTGTCAAATTTCAGGGAATAATTACCCAAAATGGCCAAGATATGAGGAAAATACAGGGTTTCCATTTTTTTGACCACCCTGTACTATGTGCTATGTTTATACACTGTTTGTGCATCTGAATGGAATGAGTTATGTGTTCCTGATAAAACACGGGGCTCCAATTAGGAAGCCATTAAAACTGAAAATAAGGAATTACCTTAAAGTACTATATAACCATCTTTCACGATGTAACGTATGTAAGGCCAAACAGGATAATTAAGACAACGTGTAATACAATTTATTACAAATTGCACATCACACAACAATGATATGGTGCTCTAAACGACAAAAATCAAAAGTATATGATCAAAGCAAACGTGAATTTCCCATGGGGTTCAGGTCTAAACATTTGGTACATATAAAATGTATGGGTTCCTAGTATTAAGAACGTATTAATGTCCTCCTAAAATGTTTAAAAACTAAATATAAGATTAATGTTGATCTATTGAAAATTCAGGAAAATTCGCAGAAAATCACAAATTTTTGATTGAATCATGAATTAATTTCTCATGGGGCCAGGGTCTCAAAATTTGGTGCATATTTGGGGTATGGGTTCCTCCTATTATGAAGTAATAAAGAGTCCTCCCAAAATATTTATTATAAAAAATAGAAACATATAATACCAGGAAAATAGAGATGTATTGTATTGTATATGAAATAACCCAATTTTTCAGTCGAAGCGTAGGTAAATTTCCCATGGGATTTGGGTCTCAAAATTTGATGTATGGGTTCTTAAGTATTATGAAGTAATAAAGAGTCATCCAAAAATATTTATTATGAAAAAACATCTACCATTTTATACCAGGAAAATGAAGATGGCAATTTATCGAAAATAGCAAAAAATCATGAAATAACCGAATTTTTCAGTCGAAGCGTGGGTAAATTTCCCATGGGATTTGGGTCTCAACATTTGGTGTATGGGTTCCTAGTATTATGAAGTAATAAAGAGTCCTACAAAAATGTTTATTATGAAAAAATAGAAACATATTATACCAGGAAAAGGGAGATTACAATTTATCGAAAATAGCAAAAAATCATGAAATAACCGAATTTTCAGTCGAAGCGTGGGTAAATTTCCCATGTGATTTGGGTCTTAAAATTTGGTGTGCAGGTGTTTTAGGTCATGGACAACAGTAAGTGAAATGAGGAAGATGATCTGAAACAAAGTTGGTTTTTCGCCATATTTTGGACCACCCTAATGACCATTCTCTCCTAGAGGTAATTTTAATAGAAGTGGCTGCTCACATCATATTTGGAATTTTTTCTCTTTGGCTGCACCAATGGGTCACTTGATAAAATATGTTTTTTTGATTGGGTTCGCTAGTTGTTGCTTTTCTATTCTTGCTCTTCATAAGACATTAGAGGCAACACTAAGTTTCAGAAATAGAATTCAACAAGAAAATATACATTTTATTCCTAATTGTTTTCAGTCGAATCTTGTTTGTTGACCCAAATAGTGAAGAAGAAAGCATAGCAACAGGGCAGATAACCATAGTAACAACTGAAGATGAACAGATCTGTCTCCTGCATAAACCAGGTTTGGCCATTAATATTCATTACTGACTTTATGAAAATAATTTTGATATCAATTTAAACTCAGCTCTCTGTAATATTTGTTGAAAACCATAATTATTTAAGTGAAAACAACATTGGTGTTGATGATATATCTACAATTGTGTTACATTCACTGATATGCCAAATGTTACTTCATGATTTAAGTAAAATAAAGAAATGAAATTATTGTGCCCAAGAAAAAAATACATTTAGTACAACAATAGCATTTTTCGTATTGTATGAGTCGCCAATCCAGTTTATATGTTCTGAGGAAATTAAGTGATCGTAATAAAGAAGGTTTGACTATGACACAGGCCCCCCTTATAATCTTCAGGTGGAAGTGCCATATCAGATGATAAAATGCAGGATGCCCTCACCAGATCATTAATTCGGTCACGTGAAGCTCGAACATTGATAAACAATACAATAGACAGTATGTCAGATAACAGTGCTGAAAGATGAGCTCAGGAAAACTTATTGGTGTATGTTTTAAAGTGTTGTTAAATATTCAATTATGGGAAATCATTACTGTTTCAAAGAATTAAACATTATTTTATATACTATAACTTCAGTTGTTTGTGTCATTGATAATTTCCAATGCCAGCCAAATACATCAAATATTCACTGGACATACATTTGTACAGTAGCAACGGAACAATTATAAAATAGCAATAATTTTATCTAAAACAGACCTCACATCTAGTATTGTTTGATGTAAAGCAGAAAAATCATTTCTGTTATGTTAATTTTATTAACATTTTTATTTCATAATGATATCATACACATATATTTCCATTTGCAGGCCCGTAGCCAGGGGGGGTTCGCAGGGTTCGGGCGAACCCCCCCTGGCCAAAAATTCTTTCAAAATCATGCAGTTTTTGACCATTTTGAGCACTTCTCTAGTGATTTTAGCCTAATTTGGAAATTTTTGAAAATTGAACCCCCCTTGGCAAATCCTGGCTACGGGCCTGATTTGTACTTTGATTAAAGAACATTGTCAATAAGCAATGTAATATTTACAATAAACTATATGTGTGCAAACAAAATAATATTAGAAAATGCCACAAGTTTGACAGGTGATCAAATGTTATTACATACAGTGAAAACTGTATTTGATGTTCCATAACAAGGATTACATGTTAAGAGTAATTTGCAATAAACTTTGTATATAACTGTTACTCTTTGATAAGTCTCTAATACCTTACAAACCTTACAAGCTTTACAAACAAAAAGCATAACTGTACCGTAATACAAAATTGCTGAAATATGCAAATGGGTGTTACGAGGCCCGATCAGAAAGTAAGTAACCAACTGCTCTCATTTCTTCATACTTTATTAAATCACATTGAAATTTTCACAGATGATGCAGAAAATATTAACCTATTAAAGAAGACCAAGGACAATGGGTTAGCGTTAATTCCATTGTTATTGCTGTTGCTATGGTGACAATTGTTTTGGGTAGGTGGGGCACCCTGTTTGAAGTGGCGTTTGAGATAATTTGTAGAGTTTTTCTACATGTTGTAATACCTCCAAATATATCAAATTCAAATGTGAGACTACATTTTAACACATAGTCCTTCAAATTAATTGCCACCAAAGTCAATGCAGTTAAGACAATGTTTCAATCCGTCCTTAAAGAAGTGCAACATGGCGCCATTCAATGACTGCAAACTGCCATTGAAAGCTTTAATGATGGCCTTATTTCTGTCCAAACGGACTCTCCATAACAACATCTTTGCATTTGGAAAGAATATAGTCACGTGGAGCCAGGTCTGGGGAATAGTGAATCTGGGGTAGTTGTGGTGCCATGGAAAATGCTATATCTACTGTATCTTTGGTAATGTTGACTCTGTGGAGGTGGACCATTGTCATCATGCCAGTAAAACCCCCCTTCAACAACATTTGACTGGATTGAAACTGTGACTGAATCATGACCATCATTATGACAGATATACCCTCAATATCTTTGTGTCGATAACTTATAAATGAGGCAATGGGGCGTAGTTACCATTGTGATAATACATAAAACAAATTATTCAGTCTTGCATAAAAAAGGTTAGGTCATTTGGAGGAATATGGCATGTAAAAAACTCAACAAACCATCTTCCAAAGCCGCTTACAAAAGGGTGCCCCGCCTACCCAAAACAATCATCACCATAGCAACAGCCATAACAATAGCATTGACGCTAACCCATTGTCCTTGGTCTTCTTTAATAGGTTAATATTTTCTACATCATCTGTGAAAAAATCAATGAGATTGAATGAAGTATGAAAAAATGAGAGCAGTTGGTTACTTACTTTCTGATCGGGCCTCGTATGTGCAGGCAGATCTTTTTTTCGAAATCTTAAATGGCTGTAATGTCCATTTGCTTCAAGTCTGGGGAGATCAGTATATACACCATATTTTGGTATCAGCTTTGGTCTAGTAATAATCTTCCTCAAATATAATTCCTGGTTCTCCTATTTCATAATTCTCAAAATCGTAATAATCCCCCGTATCTGGCGCCACTGTTGTTGCTTGTTTTGCTTTTGCAGATTTGCACGCTCTCAAATCCTTTTTTCGACGATCTTCCTCACTTTGTGGGTTCCCATACTCATCTGTGTAGTCTTCATAATATTCATAGTATTCGTAGAGGTCTGGGGTTTCACCTGTGTAGTCATCAGGTGTGTCTCCTGTAATTGATAACTTGACATTTGAGATTTATTGTATCTTAAAAATGTTTTGATTCAGGAACCTGCATTATCAAAATCTTGAACTGATTAGTTTTTTCGACAGGGTTAATTTTTAGATGGCTATTGATATTATTTACAATTATTGTTTTGAAGTATTTCTATATAGTGTATCGTTCTGTAAATTTTGGATGATCATCTTGAATTCATGTTGCCCTTTTCATTGATTTATTGGTCTCTAATTCAAGGGAATGAAATATACAATTCCTTTTTGAATCAACATCTTGGTGGAAATATTGGAACAATTATTTCAGTGCTGGATACATATTATTTTGAGTAGGTTTTGATATTCCATGTATAAACAGACTTACCATTACATCTATAGACAAGATCAGACCAGATCACTCCCTCCTGTGAAAAACTGAACACTCCAAGACGGCCACCTTTTAGTGTGTGGTCAATGATGTTACCAGAATCTGCAACAAGTTCTGTTCCTTCATAAAGGAGAATTCTACAATAGAAATCATTATAAATATAGATAACATAGTAGAATTTATAGGATTTTTCACTTGATTTAACTTTGATCATCTTTACAATGGTGTATACTTATCAAATCACACACTTTGAAAGGGAAGATTGCTTGTATAGAATAACTCCAGTGGTAATACATATGCTGAGTTGTCAGTTCATATTAAGTACACTTGTTCATGATATTGCGTTTGTATACCTGATGAGTCCAATGTTTGGTCTGTGGATCATCTCCCATCTATAGGCAGTCTTTGATTTCCACCCGACATTTCTTGGATCTTTCCACAGCAACTTCACCTAGAAAAATGAATAAACACAAGGACCTAAATGTCACGATTATTATGATGATTATGGTGACAGCGCCTCTCCAAGCATGTCCAGGCCGCTTGGTTAACTTGACAACCCCAAAAATGGTATTAACAGGATCATTTTCCAACAGAACCTCCTGGGGAGTACATGTATATTGGGAATGAACATATCTGTATGCTTCTTATTTTAATGGTGGAGGCTCCTGCAATGCTATCCAGGGTTTCTAGTTGGATGTAGGATGTAAAGTAAATGTCATTCCCCTCATTTAAAATACCCATGGGTGTTATGCTGAAATTTCTTTCAACATAGCACTTATGTTTATTAGAACGGATAAGAATATCTATTGCTGTAATGATCAAACAATATTTAGAGGATATCATTTTATTTTATTCAATACTATTCTAAAGCTATGGGTCTCATTGTTGGAATCTTGTGTCTCAAATTTATCCAATTTCATTTGCAATTTAATATACCCTCTGAAGCAAAGGAGAAAATGATTGATTTCATACTGAAAATTCTCAGATATCATATTTAGGAGCACACATGGATGCATATGATAGTTTATTATATGACATTTTATGAGTTTTCAACAAATTCCATGCTAGAGAATTTGAAGTCATGGAGTCAGTAGTCAGTGGGGTGTTTATGTATTACCAATTGAGAAAAAATTGGTGTTTCCGATTTACCTACCTGATTTGTTGTGTTTCCAGTGTGCCAAAGTGAGTTTCTCATCATCTCACCAGGCCCAGTCTCACTGTCAACAACCTTAAGTTGGATCCCTGGCTCAGCAACTGCCCTATAATTAATGAAAGTTACTTTTATCATATTTCTATTGATGTCATCAGTTTTTATTATTGCATATGCCATTCCTTGTATGTGTTCCACTTCTTATGTCTTCGTTTAATGTCACCCTTTGTGATTTCTAGATCTTCTATAACATTGTGTAATGATGAAACCAAGACAGATCGAGTTTGAATATAAAATATCAGCTTCCTATTTGAAAGAATCAAAATCTTTGACTTCAATGGAGGAGCTGAATTGTGATTGATATAATCAGATGGGTATGGTCTGATCAAATGATTATTTCTTATTCAAAGAGTGGATATGAGCTCCTCATACAAAAATGTAAAATAAAACTATTGGAAGGGGTAAGAGGAGGGAATACCCCAGGGTCAGAGTTGACCATAAGTTTACATCGATTGAAACATCACATTAAGATATGGTATTCAGAAACTAGATGATGGAAATCCGGACAAATGAAGTGATTAGGAAGAATAATCAGGTGGTCATGTTAAGGCTCTTGGGGTTTCCCTCCTCTTGGAAAGGTACAACTTATTAGTAATCTTAAACATTTACCTGAATGGTGTAGATTGCCAATATGTTTGTCCAGTCTTTTTCCACATGACTACATAGTACTTAGAGCTATCTTGGTAGCTGAACACAAAACCAGCATAATCATCATCCACATCACTGTTCACAAAGAAGGTACCACTGAAGTCAACCCCACCAAATGGAGTGTACCCTAAGAAATATTTTATCAAAAACTGTCCAGTAGTTTGAACATATTAAAAACATATTGTTATATTTTTCATTTAGGTATTTTTGTTATACTATATATAAATATGCTTTTTGGATACACACATTTCTATGCTTCATAGGCTCTGTTTTGTTTCATAATTTGTTTATAGTGATTTCTCGAATAATATCACTTACACAAACGGACTATCGAAACAAGATCGCTTTTCAAACACATTCATAATACCATTTCCACTTACCAACTGCCAAACCAGGATCACTGTTCTTAGTCTGTGAAATCTCAGCTCCCTCATTTAATATGGTCCAGATCGGATCCACCTGGGCGTCACCCTCGGGGTCTAAAACAACTGTTTGGTAGGCCTTGAAGTCTGTAGTTGACACATCTGCATTCTCTGGACATACGTCATTTTTATCCAAAGTTTGATCTTCGTCAAAATCCTCTGAACATGCGTCACCGATGCCATCACCTTCAAAATTATTTTCATTGATATTTTTTAATAATTCTTGATATTTTATAAAAGATTTCCTCAATTTAGTTGCAATTCTAGTAACTATTAAACAGAAACTGTGGATCTTAGATGATCTCTCAGTTTTGTCAGTACGTTGAAAAAGACGTGTTTTCCCTTTTGCAAGAAGTTACCTATCTTGATTATTTGATTTGTTGATTTCACAAGGTAATGATTACTAGTATTTGATTTAGTTTCCTCTAAATGAACTCGTTTACCAACTTTTGCTGTCTGACCACTCACCATCCCAGTCTTCTTGTTCGGGGTTGAAGACTATTCTACAATTATCTTGTTGGTCAAATATTCCATCATTGTCATCATCATTATCACAAACATCACCTGTAGACAGAATTGATAGTTAAAAATATGGATTTTGGAGAAACTGGAAAAGGGGGCCCTGTGTTCCATTATATGCTGTACTGTACTGTATTCTATTTTACTAAACTGTACTGTATTTTATTGTACTGCATACAGGTATCTCAAGTTTTATAGGGCAATACAAATCTTCAATATCGACAAAACTGGAAATATACTTGCTTATTTTGAAAAAGAAAAACTGTACAGAAATTAAACAATGTAATTAGGCCTATGTATAATGTATAATTGTATATATGTTTTATTCTTGAAATATAGTTTTTATAAAAAAAAAAAAAAAAAAAAAAAAAAATCTCAAGTTTTATTCGAGAAATGAAAGCTTCAAATTAATATTTTCGAAATGAATATGGTACAGATGCCCAATCAAGTAGAAAAAGTGTTAGGCAAACATAATTGCATTCAGAGGTTTATTTGATCTTGTATTTTGTTAGAGCCCTGAACCATGAAAATCAAATAAAACAGTTCTATATGATAATTTCCGGAAGATGTGATAGAGAGTGGCAAAAATAGAAACGGTCTTATATGTACATGGTGAATTACAAGTCAGTCATAACACAGGACCTAAGAAGGTGTATGCTTATTACATATATTACCTCTCCCATCTTGATCCGTATCAATCTGATTGGCATTAGGCACCCTAATACAGTTATCCATGCTGTCTTGAATACCATCCTGATCACAGTCATCATCAGAGTCGCAGGCATCACCTATCAGATCAGCATCACTGTCTTTCTGAGAGGAAATATTACAAATTAAACACTGTCTTTCTGAGAGGAAATATTACAAATTAAAGTTGGATTTTTGATACACACGGGTAATCTCCTATCACTATCAGATCAGCATCACCGTCTTTCTGATAGGAACTTAAAATTAAAGTAGGACCATCGGGTAATCACCTGCTTGCTAAACTACTAGACATGATATCAATCATATCATCTTAATCATCATTTTTGAAAAATTGAATTATTGCCATTTGATTATTAAACATAGGTTACCTGGTCATAGTTTTGTACTTCTGGACAATTGTCACATGCGTCTCCACGTTTATCCCCATCCAGATCCGCCTGATCAGGGTTAGAAATATAGGGACAGTTGTCGTCTGGTACCTCTGTAAAATATGTGCATAGGATCTCTGTTATATGCTTATCATTACTAGCCAGGATGTGTTCAGGGTGGTCTTGATAGGGATTTGAGAACTCTTATAGGATTATTAAGGCGAGAATGATAATTTCAGGATATCATATACGCAATAGAAAATAAGAAAATATTTTCACCTTGGGACCTAGAAAATCACGAATCAGAGATTCCTTCCTCACAATAGAAAACTGTGGTTTCCATTTACATTTTTATTAGCAGGGACTAGAACTATTATACTAGAGCATTTCTAATTGTCTTACCATATGCATCATCGTCACAAAGGTCTCCCACACCATCACTGTCTGTATCACGTTGATCAAAATTAGGAACGGTTTTACAGTTATCACAGGCATCTCCTATTTCGTCTTTGTCTGAGTCCTTCTGATCAGGATTGGGCACAAGCCGACAGTTATCCTAAATTGCACGGAAAAGGTTAAGTATATTAGTTCTTTAGCTACCTATTACTTTTGATTGCTTCGTTTGTTGCCAATGGTAGTTTGCACTTTTACGTTACCAATAATAAAGTTTTGTGTAACTTACAACGTTATTTGGGATGTTGTCGTTGTCATCGTCGTCATCACATCCATCGCCAAATCCATCCTTGTCGGCGTCTTCTTGACCACTATTTGGCAGGTATTTACAGTTATCTTTCTTGCATTTTATGTTGTCTGGATCTTTACACTTACAAAATTCTGCTTCTTCGTCTGGCACGCCATCAAGATCAGTGTCTCTAGCACAGCAAGTGCCGTCGCCTGCCCAGCCAACCTTACACTAGATAATCCAAATTATAACAGCAATTAGTACAGTTTATATGGGTATATGGGTACCTTCTAATGTTTTACCTTTAAGAATTAAGGCTGACTTTTGGATCAAAATAAATCGCAGCTAAGTAAGAAAGCAAAATATATGTGAGACCAGGAGTTTTTATGGCCGTAGTTGATTTCTGCTTTTTAATCTTTAAAGTGCTATTTCACCCGTAAAAGTTAAAAGCATATCAGCATTTTAAAACGTGGCGTTAGTAAATGTCAGTTTTTTTGATGAAGCAGATTTGTAATCGTTTTGTAATTTGAGTTTTTCTCTATCGTTGTTCTTCATTTATCTTGTAAAATGAACCAGTTCTGCTCTTTAAAGGGTTGTATCTAAATCATCTGAAAAACACTAACCACACACTGCAGTTTGTCATAACCTCGAAGTTTAACACACTTTGCATTGCCATCACAGATTCCTCCGTCGGCACACTCTTTCTTGGGATTTCTCTTACATCCCTTCTTTTGATCGCCAACGAAACCCGGTAAACATTCACCGCACAGGTTTGACCCCTGAAATGGAGATTGATTTCAAATGCATAACGTATGTAGTAATCCATGTAATCATTGACTGATGAAAGTGAGTACTCATTAGTTGATACTCACCGGTGTAAGTTAATACTCACTGGTGTATTAACGCATTTAGAGTTAGGAACACATCCGCCATTAGTTCCATTCTCACATTCATTGATATCTTTACATATTTGTGGGTTGTTTAAAGCGAATTCCAATCCAACTCCTCTATTGTTCTTGCTCGTAAAGCCTTCAGGACAAGGGGAACAGGAATACCCTGGTACTGTGTTCACGCAATAGCTGAGTCGGTCACATGGTTCGGCAAGCTTACACTGTAACAAAATGATAAGTACATGGTCAGTTAATCAACCCCACCACTATTGTTCTTCATATTCTTTAATGCAATCGTGGGGTTCAGATCCTGATCAAGGAAAAGGGTTGAGGCATTTTGAGGAATGTTGTTGACTTCTTTGAACAGAACCTGTAGATAGCCTATTATAACACGCATGCATGCTGTACACATGTGCACGTACCTCATCTATGTCTTTACAATGTGTACCATTGCCCTTGTAACCAGGGGGACATGGTCCACACTTGTAGCCAAACTCAGTATCCGTACAATCCACCCCCTTGAAGCAAGGATCATCCCTACATGATAGTGGACTGCACCCCTTTGGTCCAACACCATTTCCTGTTAGGCCATCTGGACACGGGCCACATGAGAACCCTTCCACTTCATCGATACAGAATACACCTGGAGACGAGCAAAAGATTAGTTTGGCTTCAGCATATTATACATGATGAAAATGAATTGAAATGGCAAAGATCGATACATTCGACATCCACCAGTCAGGTAATATGCAGTCAGCCGTGGCACGGTAGTCCAACATGGTCACACTAAGGTCTATATAGAATCTACTGTGTGACAAGGTTCTTCTACGTTGAGTTTAGAATATATTCAGCATCATGCCAATGTTTCAAAATATCACTATTAAACATTTTGTGTTAAAATACCTGGATAGCAAGGTTTATTGTTGCATGTCGTCACCGGAAAGCATGTCTTTCCATTTCCAGTTAAGTCGGGTGGACACGGCCCACATTCTGGAGCACCATCTGTCTCATAACACGTGACACCAGGGTAACACGTGTCGTCTTTACACTTCAGCTTCACTACAGGTCTAAAATTGTCATTGCCATCATCTATAACGCAGTGAAGACAAATTCAAGTGAGACATTTGTTTGTTTGTTTGTGTCGGAACACAGATCACCGCATCCATTGAATGTTTGTAGATGGTTGTCAAGGTTAGAACCGAACGCTACAAATTGAAATTGATGTTTTGCCAACTTGACCCTTGCAAAAAGTTCTATTTAAGCTTAAATCCTTAACTAACCAAGTATACTAATTACAGTATTGAAGTTGAAAGAACTTTCTAACTATCATTCGAGAGTTTTAGGTATTAGCTTTGACACTGGGCAATTATGTGGTCTGAAAATGACTGGTTAAAGGTTTTTTCCAAAGTCTTTAAATTGGGAAGACATAAGAATTTTCTTCTGTCACACTTCATGCACATATAACTTATTCGAGACTATGAAATGCATCATCGATGTTCTATGTTCAGTAACTTTACTTCATTCTTTAGAGTCGTACCTTGACACATGCTGCAGTTCCCCAGTATTTCTTTCAACATGACAGTCGCTGATGTCTGAAATATCGTGTCTAATAAGTGATCATTATCAAAATACATTAATAGAATACGAGTATAAAAATGCATTTAACATGCCTAAGGTATATAGAAATAATTTTTAAATTAAGACGGCATGTTAATCGATCTGTGTTTATTTAAGTGCTGCCATCTTTATATCGGCCCAAAACCTATCGATTTTACCTGCTGTTTGAGCCCACTCTGTAGATCTTTCACAGCATTTGTCAGTTTTTGAATACTGTCAACCAGTGCAGTTGTATCTAGACCTACATTCACAAATTATTTGTTATTGTATATTATATGTCGTTTCATTACTTATAGAATAATGGATAACCTGACACTCAGCTTTAATTATAATGATTTGTGGGTTTTATTGTATGGGTCATAGAAACCTCGTTTTTGACTTTTCCCCTTCCTACTAAGTCGATGCGAAAACCTGACGTGTGAAATGAATACACTCAATTTTGATAAACTCTGGGCTAATAATTGCGCTACTACTTCAAATGTTACTGTAATCTGACAGCCTCAATAAGTCTCACATAACATGTGACCGACCCCCCCCCCCTCCCCCATGCTAACACTTGTAACTCCCCGTCGCTTTGGGAAGAGTAAAAGGTTGACTAGGAATAAGAGATACAATGCAAGACTAGCGCCAAGTGTGAATCTTTATGCGCTGTGTTTGCAAATCTTATCTAGCATTATATTTAATTGAATATTACAATTTGAAATATATATTCTCAACGAAGGGTAAAGAAAAATATAGCGTGGTATTGTATTGGTATACTATACCTTCGTTGTTTCCTACCAAACCACGACCTAATCCTTCAAATTGCAATTCTGGCTTTGATTCTGGCTTTGCATTTTCTGAATCACAGTCGCGGCCGCGCGCTTTATTTTCTTTTTCCAAGAGCTTGCAAAGCGTCGGGTAGCGCGCGTATCTAATGGGTATTGGGTCATTAAGGTACTTAGAAGGTGGTTTGTTGCGTGTGGCGCCCGCAGGAGCGTTCAATTCTAAAACGTCCACTTTAATCTCACCCTGTTCGTTTGCCGTACTAACAGGAGCTACTGGTTGGCAACCTTGCTGTTCCAACAGAGCAGATACTGGTACTCCTGTGAACGCTTGAAATCTTGAATGCATACTCTGAAAATGAATGTATTCAATGGTTAATATATGGTTATTAAGTCTCCATTCACCTTCAGGTTGGGTGGGCCAAAAACGTCCACATTTTGAAAATGCATATCCCGTGAAAACATTGAAATCAACGCATTTTTTAAATAAGTTAAATCGAAATAAAAAATGTGGATGTTTTTCTGCCCACCCTGTATTTTACTGCAAATATCCATTTATTCAAAAAATCGACAAAGAGTATTATTTTAATGACGGTATTTTTTGTAATTTCTACTATCGTACCACTCTCATGCCAGGGGTAATTATACTCCTAATTCCTGGCACTGTTTGAAAGCTACCAGCGAGCACACAGTTGACATACAGGGAGACACCGTTTTGTGGTTGTTGGAGATCGTGGAAATGGATGAGGAATTTCCCTCTTTTTTCCCTTATGATATTTTGTGATGGCACATGGACTGCTTTGGTTTTACTGCCAATACGGAATGTCACTTGAAGATAAAATGACATATTTTTATCGGTTGGATCCGTTATAACCATTTCATTATATTTTGGTGTTCACTGAAAAATACTACAAAACTAGTATTCCATACATTACATATTCATATACAACGACAGACCATTAAATTACTCTCAATTTTAGATGTTTCTAGTTAAAACAGAATATATGCACCCGATATTTTTGCATTAAGTCATCAAGAATGAACCATTTTAATTTGACTGGTCAGCAAATAACATTGTTCATACCATCTGATCAATCAGAATACAACAGTATTTCATTTTGATGTTTTGTTGCCCAACTATTTTTATGTACATTTTGAATATCGAAAAATTAGAGCACATTTTATGCAGTTTTTGTTTGAGTTTGATCTATTTTTAAATTTACTTGCTTTACGACGTATACCTTGTAGCGTTTTAGTGTTGAGACCAATGTCCATCTGTATGGCATAATCTTGAATTCGGATGATGGAGAGGGTTGGCCTCCTCGAGGACACGAGCACTTCGCCAGCGAGCGACACCTCATTGTGAGTTTGGAACGCTCTTGGTATCATATACGGAATGGCTGGAACGCATGGTACAAATTGAAGGAAAACAATATATTCTATATTATTCAGAATTAAACATACCTTGTACATGTATATGAATTTCGATCATTCAAAATATTATTTGTGAAATATTATATCAGATTTTTGTTACAGTCTTGAATATGTGGTTTGTAATCTTTCAATAATGTGAGAAACAATTTTGAAGGTTCAGATATGGTCGATAATTATATAGGCCTAATACTAGAAAAGTAGTTAAAAGACTATGTGAACAGTTTGCATAGTGAACGCATGTCTTTTGACAAGGCAGGAATTTCTGATTGTTATATTACCATACCAATTTCAATTATAGATAATCTAAATGTTCTGGGAAAGTAAAAGCGCAATAAACAACAGATTGAGATATTAGTAAATGGGAAATTCCCAAGCAACGGAAGGTGTAGGAGTCCATGATCTTGTGTTTACAAGTTAGATGAACTTGGTTCAGAAAATACATTTTTCATTTAAAAATCTTTAGATGTACAACTGTTTGCTGTGACTAACATTTAACAAATTGGTCTAGCCTTGGTGAACTAGGCCAGCCTGAAATGATAATTGGAGCCATATACTTTTGTACACGGCTTGGTGCGTTGTCCTTAGTGGGTTAATTGTTAATCTTGAGGTATCCACTAATGACTGCAACTCTCTGTTTCAATGTCAATATTGAATAGTTGCTTTGGGGTTCTATAGGTTTTTACTCATTGATGAATGTTTTTGTTTGTTGTTGTCTGAAAAATAGGGTGTTCCCAAGACAACAGTCTTTAGCTGAGTAGTGTAAAGTCTCCAGGTCAACGATTATTTTGTTGTCATGTCAAAGAAGAGACATCAAAAGAAAAACACATTATCCCATTCGACCCTGCTTTAAAAAACCATCATCATTTTCCAATGTCCGAAATCCAAATTTCATCCGGGCCAGAGTCCATCGGCTAGATATTAATTTCAAAACAAACAACCTATTTATCGAGAGTTTTAAAAACATTCACGTATTTTAAGAGTTGCCGCATTTCTGTGTCAAGTGACGTTCAAACGTAATAACACCATTTAGAGACATTTTATCATTTAGCACTTCTTTTATTCATATGAACTTTATTAAATTTGAAGAAATTTCTGATTATGTTTACATTCCAGGGCTCCATGTTATTTACTATACTATCCATAACTATTTCTTCAAGACGATACAAAACTACATCTAATTAAGCTTCCTTCACTGTTTTAAGGTCGAGCACTAATTTTGTAGAAAACAGTGTCAGAAAATCAAGTAGGTTAATAATCAGGATGTATATTCCCATTTGACCTTTAGTTTAACAGCAAGTGGCAACATACTCATTTCTCACGTCATATTTGCCCTTGAATCATATTGGAGAATTGGCATACACGCTTGTGTAATATTTAATTTGAACTCCCTGAAATAGAGCTTGTAGACTGCAGTATTTGAAATCATCCATTTTTCAACAGCACAATCTCACTAGCGATGTTTAAAAGAAGACAAAGCTTTAAAAGTAGTATATCTTGATATCGCTGCAGCTTTTGATTGTGTACTACACCACACATTTGCTTCATCTTGCATGAATCATATGGAATTTATGAACAACTTTTAAAGTATTATCATATTCTGTAACAGAAGAATTTTTATTAATATTTCAGGAGATTTGACTGAAGTCTCTGATCCTGACCACTTACTATGTTGTTCCACAAGGGTCTATTCTAGGGACTATAATATTTTAAATGATACATTTCATACGGTATCCCATTGATGCCGTACACTACATTCATGCAGCAGACATCTCATTACACCTTATTTTGACCCTAAAGTCCCAATAAATAATCTGAAGTACAAGTCAGATCTAGCCTAGTCTGTAGCTTAGGCTCTGTGTTCTTTATACAGTCCTGCATATGAACCAGAAAAAAATATTTGATTTTTTTCAAGCTTGAAATTGAACAGCTAAATTGATGTAAGCTCACATCCAAGCAGATGTTCTTCAGGGGGTCATATGTTATTTGGCACCCGTATGCAGACACTCGGGCACACGGGCATCGATAAAGTACTTGACCATTTAAAGCAAATCATTCAAGGCTGTTAAGTGACATTTCATTTCACACTCCGATATTTATACAAGAGTTGTCTCAGATAAGCACATTGGCCACAGTATTGACTTATGCTCAACCCAAACGCACCATATAAAAGCACTCTGTGCGAAAACGTTTCTAAAATACGAATCTATCTCAAATATAGGATAGAGGTCAGTCGTCTAGAGAAAATCTTTTATTCTTAAGTATCACCCCATTGTGATTATGGTACCATTGCCTATAGTTGTGTTCCAAATTAGTTCCTCGAAAGCCCAAGCTGAAATGACGAATTCTATTTTTAAGGGTGCGTTCAACTACTCAGCTATGTATCAGTACATGGTACTTACACAAAAAAAGTAAACAATTTTTCAATCAATGGCAATCACCTGATCTGCTGATACACGAGTTTGTCTTAGTGAACACCTCTGTCTAGTGAACACCTGTCTCTAATGGACACCCTTTCTATGCACATACCCTACTGACTTCAGTATAAATTGCCCTCTTTGTAGCGAACACCTACCAACAATATGAACGTTTTTTTCTCGGCAAAAAAAGTTTAATTTACACAGGTTTTCCTATATATATTTGCCAAGTTGAATAACATATAACTAAGTAACACAAATATAGGTTCAAAGTTATGTTTAGAAAATTAACTGTGCCCGATGTCATATCCAGCTGGTTAAACTTGCCAAAAAATAAACATCTCTTCAAAACTTTGAAACATCAAAAGTATTTTTTTCAAAAATCCAGTAACTGTTTTAACAGATACAATTACTGTTATAAGAGGTCAAAACGTTTGATTACTCTAAATGTGAAAAACTGAAAAACCACAACAACATTTTTTATTCCGATTTGCACTCATTTGACATATTGCCGAAATAGATTTTAAGTCAAAACGTAAAACCTGGCCTGTGAAATATCATGATGTCTCATCAAAGTTTTGAAATATGATTCTAACGCTCTTCCTGTTAAGCTAACCTCTTGGAAAAGCACCTGTATCAATTATACCAAATTGTTATGACTATGACTTTGTCTATCAGACAATTCTATCATTATATCGGCATAGGATGAACCCATGTAAACATAATTATGAGTCATTGTAATAAAGTGATTCAATTAGAAATCCGAGTTAGATGTTAAGTATGGGCCTCTCTTGTCAAGTTGCACAAATTCTAATGTCAGGCTGTCCTATTAGCTTTAAAGAAATTCAGTTATCAGCTAAAATCACTTTTGGTAACAAAATGTCGGAACGTCAGAAGACTACAGAATCGTCGATTTAATGTCCTCACTTAAGTTACATTAACGGTTTGGGTTAAAAGTGCAGATCTTAACTGTTTTTCGAAAAACCGTTTATGTAACTTAAGTGAGGAATTAAATCGACGATTCTGTCGTCTTGCTTCTTAACTATTTGTTAGCAAATATGTACATTTTCTTAAACATATGATACTGATACACAAACACAAATATCGTGGGAATTCTGCCTACAACGTAGGCAGAAAAATCGTACCTTCGATGTTCCGACATTTTGTTACCAAAACGAACCGTTTCGGTAACCAGCGTAATCGAGTTGATCACTAGTGTAAAATGACTGTAATAGAAACAAGGATAAAATGTCGAGGAGACAACGTATGTTATTTTTGTGTTAAAATATTTCAATCTGACCCACCCGTTTCCCATCTTGACTACATGACTATGTAACCTTACATACACATTTGACTTCAAATCGTGTAGAAATGTCGTTTTCACAAATTAAAACCATAATTTTGGAATGTTTCTACTTTGAAGGGCAATTTCCCTTTCTCTCTGTTTAAGTAACTACACATTCTATACTGACAGGTATGTACATTTGTCATTAGCTGAATTCCTGTTTCCTCTGCTTGTTCTATGGTTTTATCATTCATAAACCGTTCATTCAGCACCAATTTGCGGATGCTTTCTAGATTTGAGAACATCATTTTAATTCATGAACAACTTAAAACGATTATATTGTGTAATACTGAACACATTCATTTCTTAAACAGCTTTGATGCTTTATTGAAATGAAATCTCGAAGAACCAACGTTTTTGAAAAAGCGGACACATTGAGTAAAAATAGTATGGCATTTTGGTCTAACGGCTAAATTGGAAGATTATATAACAATAAGATAATCCATTACCTCCGACGACAATGGCCAACGGCTTATAAAATACCAGAACAATGACTCAATTCGAGACAGTCCCTTTATTAGAAACAGTTCTTGGTGCTCTGCAATCGAATCTAAACGTTTGATTTTCCTTAAAAAAGTATTTATTTTTCTCAATTTCAAATCTGGTTAAATGGAGTGCATTTTTGTTTTATCATGTATGACAAGAGCTGATTGATCAGCCTGGTTTGTTGTCTTAGTAATGGCATTTTGTATATTGTTCAACAGTGTTGCATATAGAACGTAGAAGTAAACTGAACTCACTTCTTCTCTACAGAAATTTCATTACACAGTGTCTTCTAACTGAATCAAGACTCAACTGACATGTCTGACGTTTTTTCTGCAAGATTGATATTACCAAGGATGCATTTCAGTCAGTAAAGTGAATACCAGATTTTGTCGAAATAACGGTCCTTCGTTATATCGCCAATCGGCGTTCATGTAGAGGGATGATGTTTTAAGACAAGTCTGTCCAAAAACAACATACATTTGACTCACTTTTGGTGCAAAATATATCCTTTGCTCTGAGTGTCAGACCCGAGTCCTTTATTGTAGATTAAACTCTCTTTTAAAAGAGCAAAATGAATTATTTAAAAAGGGTTGATATCACTATTTGTTTAAGGCTAAAATAGACTGTCGACCAAAATCAATTTCATACCACGTATACACGCTTAAATATGTGCCCAATTTAAAAACCACAAAGTGACATTCCACAAACTTCTCGTAAGAATTGAATTAATAAAAATCATTATTAAGATAAAGAAGAAATACACACCGGGAGTCCCATATTTGCTATATATGAAAATTTAATTATTATGATTTTGGAAATTTGTCACAAGCAAATCGATCAAACTATGAATTACCCTAGAAGTTCACAATAGTTTTCAATCGTTTTGACGCCTAATATGGCGATGATTTCACAATTATAGGTAACGTTCAAAATGTCACTAATTTTTTTAAATTGGCGGTTGAAAAAGTAATTGAACAACAATATTGTAAAATCTTTTAAATCATTAAAAAGCTATCAACAATTTTTTGCTATTTTTGGAAAGATCGACTGTACTATTATTAATTATAAAATGAATTAAATGCAGTTACCTGAATCGATCTGTCGGCTTAATCCAATAGCAGTTAATCCCGACATAAATAAAAACAAATTCAGAAAGTGCTCCATGCTGATCCAATCCATGCGAAGAATAAACAAAAGTTAAGCAAAAAACAATAGTCGAATTTGATACCCTCGCCGTGGGTTATGTGATTTATGTTGACTAATTGTTAAAAAACGTTGCGCCAATTTCCATAATTTACGTATGAAGTAAATACCGCTAGTTTCTGCTACTTTTTCGTGAACTACACCCCCCTCTATAAGTTTGGCAACCAGTGCTCTCTTTTTGGATAGTTTATTTCAACCTGTTTATATTGTCAGTTTAAAAAGAGTCATCAGATTTGTCGCAGGTTTCCGAACTGTGATTACGCCTCAGTCACAATTACTCTACGGCGGGTGTACGACGGATGTAGCTTCACAAAATTGATATAGCAAATCTACTTCGTATATTATACGCTGCATTTTTCTTTTGATTTTGAGAAGCTACGGTTGCCGTACGGTTGTCGTAGATCAAATGTGTCTTAGACATTAGGGACACAATAAAGATTCAAATATTGATAGGTTTTAATATGATATCCAATAATCTTCCATTTGCCAAATTTATTGCGGGGTGTAGGTCTTGTTTATATGAGCGATAGATGTTGGCTGTGATGGGTTAAGCGCATTCTTATGTTACGCAAACTGAGTGTTCTTTGATTAATGGCAATTTGAGAACGATATGAAATACGGCTGTACTCGTAAGAAAATACGCTATGTTGTTTATGTGCGACACATTACAGAATATTTTGTTTTCTTAAATGTGCAATATCCGGAGTAGTTTATCAAACCAAGAAAACAGCAGTTACACATGGAAAATGACTATTCGTATTGAGTTGAAAGTTTATATTCTCATGGTATTATTTCTGTCGCATTTATTGTTTTAAATTGTTAACTTGAATGGGTAAGTATTTCTTGAATTATAAATGGTTGTTTCTTTCACAGCTTTACATAATCAATGTTATGGCCTCTACCTATTTGGCGTCCTATTATGGCGTCTGCGTTTTGTAACTCTTTATTAAGCCCTCGGGGGGCTTCTCCAACTTTCAGCTAGGTTTCAGCAATCTACTATATGGTCCCTCGGTAAACAGGTAAAACTGGTCACATCAAAGCTTACAATAACTTATTAAGAATATGTTTGATATGTGAAGTTTTTATCTATCAAGTTTTCACCAATGTCAATGAAAAATGGCGAAGTTGTTTGTAATGCATGATTCATTCATTTTTATTGTAGTGTCGCCATTCTTTAAACCAAGATTTATTTAAAAACATGCATTGTGCAATGTGCGTGCACTACCAAAGATCTCTGAACTTCAAATGCTGTTTTCTACTTGCGTTATTTTTTCTCGGTTCAATAATGCCAATCAAGCTTTATATCATATTTGATTGAGTGTGTAAATAACATGCCTCGATGATTATTTTATCCTTTTCCTTCTAAATTATAATTTAGCATAGTGGGCCTTTAATACGTAATGGAAATGTTGACTTGAAACTTATATATTTAACACACATATATATGTTTTATATCTGTTCCTGGCTATGTCACGCAATGGCCATGCCAATGAATAACTTCTAAAGCACTTGTAACATTATTGCAACAGCCATAACGTTACCATGGATGACTTTTAACATATACTGCGATTCACCAAGCAAAAAACAAACACGTAATATGCGCAACATCATGGCTTTATTTCTTCATATGTATACAATTCTATTTTCATATATATTTTGTAATTTGATAAATGCTAAAATCATGATTATGTACAGACATACTCCATAATTAAAACTCAATTACCATGTACACATTTATGCCGTATACCATATATTACATATACATTATTCTGTCCGGAAAACTAGAAGACTAAATATGTAGATTCCCCGTGTTGACTTAAAAGTACTTAATAAATGCAAGTACAACTGTGAATTCAGGCACAACTCATATAAATGCGGGTACAACTCATGAACTGAAAATGCAGGTACAATTTATGAATTATAAATGCGGCTATAATGCATGAACTGGAAATGCAGGTACAATTCATGAATTATAAATTCGGGTACAACTAATGAACTCAAAATGGAGGTACACTTTATGAATTATAAATCCGGTTACAACGTATGAACTGGAAATGCAGCTACAATTCTTGAATTATAAATTTGGGTACAACTCTTGAGCTCAAAATGCAGGTACAATTTATGAATTATAAATCCGGGTACAACGTATGAACTGGAAATACAGCTACAATTCTTGAATTATAAATTCGGGTTCAACTCCTGAACTCAAAATGCAGATACAACTCACGACTTGAAAATGGGTACAACTCATGAATTATAAATGTGGGTACAGTTCAGGAACTCAAAAGGCAGGTACAATTCATGAAATGAAAATGTTGGTACAACTCATGAATTATAAATGTGGGTACAGTTCAGGAGCTCAAAATGCAGGTACAATTCATGAAATGAAAATGTTATTACAACTCATGAATTATAAATGCAAGTAGAATGCGTGAACTCAGAATGCAGGTAAAACTCATGAATTGGAAATGCAGGTACAAGTCATGAATTATAAATGTGGGCACAACACATGAACTATGAATACTCCCTGTTAGTATTTGTAACTCCTGGTTCATAAAGATTATCATAATCATCGGTTTCAAAGTCATATGTAGGTCTATTGTCAACTTTTCTTTCTTCTGCTCTAGCAGCTGGGCCACTTTTGTCACACTTAAATTCACGATTACGCCTTACGTCATCAGTGAGAGGATCTCCATTCTCATCGTAATAGTCCTCATAATATTCATAGTAGTCATATGGGCTAGGAGCCTCTCCCTCATAATCGTCAGGAGTATCGCCTGTAAAAGGTTGAAACATTCTAGTGCCGATACAGTAAAGATCATGGGTATTCTAATTTATCAGTCAGTACATTTAGATATCCTAGTTTTACGATAATAAAGCAATCATATTTTTCAGGCTACCCAGCACCAAACGTCCATGGTTACCTAGAAATATTTTAATTAATTATTTGAAGCAAATGGAATGTATAGTGTACCTTATGTAGCATCTATAAACACCATTATGACATAAAGAACCAATACGTACCATTACATCTATAGACAAGGTCAGACCAGATGACTCTTTCCTGCGAGAAACTGAACACTCCGATACGACCTCCCTTCAATGTGTGGTCAATGATGTTTCCAGAATCAGCCACTTGTTCAGTATCTTCATACAACAGAATCCTGAAATGAAAAATTAGTTACCACATGTAAAAGTTTAACGACCATTGCTGATATCAAACGATGAAAAACAGTGGCTACAACAATGATGACATAAAATGTGGATGATGTTGACGTAAGCTCTTCCGTCGATGTATTTAATCAACACTTCTAGGATAGTCCGAAAATAACAAATGAGTGATCTTGCTTATGAAGTTAGCTCTTTCGACTAGTGTCTGCAAGCAGCCTGCAATACATACGGCATGTATTTCACCAATACACCTTTAAATGATGTCATACTTGCAATCTGGCAATCGTTTTGAAGGGGACAACGATTTTTTTAATTCAAATTTTTGACACTTCTCGATCTGGAGTTATCGATAATATCTATGTCCGATCAGACATTTTTCAGAAAATAAAATTCTTGAAAAGATTGCTCCAACAGGCTATTCATTCTACTTCCTTTAGGTCAATAGAAGTCCTGGTTACCTTATGAGTCCAATGTTTGGTCTGTGGATCATTTCCCAACGGTATGCCGTCTTTTCCTTCCAGCCAACATTTCTGACATCCTTCCACAAGAGACGCACCTAATGTACATAAATGCATATAAACTGTAATGAAAACATTGCTTTTATCACACACAATTTCTACTCTCGAACCAGTCCGTAAAACATCGAAAATGTTGAGACAAAGAAACTCATGAACGGTTTGGTGTGTGTCAAGAATAGGATACGATACAAACAGATTTAAACAAATTATAAATGATGACTGTACCTGGTTGGGTGTATCCCCGGTGTGCCAAAGTGAGTTTCTCATCATCTCCCCTGGGCCAGTTGTACTATTGACAACCTTCAGCTGGATCCCTGGCTCTGCAACTGCCCTATAATCGACATTATTTAAATTCATTCAACGTCCTACAGAGTTCGGAATCTTTGGAAGGTGCTTTTGATAGGCTTTTCGTTGTTTGGTGCCCTTAATCTTAATTTTCTTAATTTATGAATCTTATCCTCAGGAACTCAGTACCCTATGGGTCAACGTATCGTGCAAGAGGCTCTTATTATACAAGAACTAGTATAGATATACAGTTTTGATGCTGATACTTCTGAATGACCCCGCAAGTAGGTGTCCTGGACAAATTCTGATTGAATAAGATGAGATCAAAGGATATATCAACTAAAAGAGTGTAGATGAAGTTCTCTTTTGAAGAAGTGGAATCAAAATATTGAATCTGTTTGCAATTTCGGTTTAAATACTTACCTAAATGGAGTTGATTGCCAGTATGTTTGCTGGGTCTTCTTCCACATTACCACGTAAAACTTAGAGCTATCTTGGTAGCTGAACACAAAACCAGCATAATCATCATCCACCTCACTATTCACAAAGAAGGTACCGCTGAAGTCAACCCCACCAAACGCTGTGTAACCTGTTAACCAATAGAATCAAAACTTTTTTACGTCAGAACACTGTTGTGGATAGATCCACGGACTGATAACTCGGGAGATGAGGACCCGTGATTTTCCTGGATTGAATTGGTAATTGACGGGGAACTTGACGGTTGAAATGTCCCTTTAATATATATTTAAATGAAAATGTTTTAGATTCCAGTCATCTATAGTTACCACTTCTACTTCACCTCCTTGAGAGTGAGGTGTGCATAGGGCGATTACGGAGCTTGTGGCAAGATTATTATTACTGTTAATCGTAAACAAACATTGTTGCATTGTATTTTATTGCATTATGATATTGTGTTGTATTATTTCATGGCATTTGTCAACACGACACCATCCACACTTACCAACTGCAAGACCAGGGTCGCTATTCATTGTCTGTGCAATCTCCGCACCGTCATTTAGAATCACCCAGTTAGGGTCTATTTGTGAGTCACCCTCAGGATCCAACACCACGGTTTGGTAAGCCTGGAAGTCTGTAGCCGAGATATCTGCGTTCTCTGGGCACACGTCATTATGATCTAGCGTCTGATCTTCGTCATAATCTCCCTGACAGGCGTCCCCGGTACCATCACCTGGACATTATATAAGAGAATGATGGACAATGTTTGGGTTGATTGCCTCCTCTATATTACATGGTCTAGTCTTAGTTGCCCCTTTAATGAATTTCGTATGCCATTTTCAAGACTATTGGGGTCATAAACGGAAATATTTGACAATAGTTAGCGATTTCGTGAACAATAGTATATATTCTGACATAGAGACCAATGATAATGCATGGCCGATTAGAATTGCTCTTGTAATTGAATGGAGCGATCGTCTGGATTTGATTGCACAATTAGAATGATAAGTTCCTCACCATCAAAATCCTCTTGCTCAGGGTTGTAAACCATCCTACAATTGTCATCTTGATCCAAGATACCATCATTGTCATCATCGTTATCACAAACATCACCTGGATTATTGAAATATTGATGACGGTTGAGTAACCTAGTTTGTATTATTACATGATCCATGAAAAGAGATAACAAAGTTATAAATCCACCAACATCTTGAATTGCCTGATTTTTGGTGAATTATGGACTGGTAATATTACAGAAAGTAAAGTAACGTTTGTCAGTGACTAGTACTACCCTTTCATCAGTGTTAAGTTGTCAGAGCAGCATATATAATGATCACGTAGTTGATATTTGTCAATAATTCTAATTCTAAATTTATAGAATTCCGCTCAATTTTTATCTTTTTCAAAATGATGTTGTAAACATATCATTCAATTATTGCATCTAACCTCTGCCATCTTTATCCGTATCTATCTGGTTGGCATTGGGAATCCTTGGACAGTTATCCTTGCTGTCTTGTATACCATCCTGGTCACAGTCAGCGTTTGTATCACAAGCATCTCCTATCAAATCATCGTCTTTGTCAAACTGTAATGAAAAGTCAGAAATGCAACAATCTTGGTCAAATGTTGCAATCAGGCAGTATGAATTGCTTTCTCAAAAATGGGGGTGGACTATAGATATTGTGGGCCTCTGTGAAAGATAGCAGTCTCTAACAAGTGTTAAAGATGGACTCTGATAAAGCAAAATGAGATGGTGATAAGCCCAATGTATTATTGAAAGCCCACATGCTGTAATAGGACACTGTACAGTACTAGTTTTATTTTAACTGGAGTATGCCTATGTGATAGCAATTTGTAATCAAGATCCTCAATCTTGTTCCTCAATCAGTACCTGATCGAAGTTTGGTATTTCTGGACAATTGTCACAGGCGTCCCCGACTCTATCTCCATCCAAATCAGCTTGGTCTGGGTTGTAGACCTTGACACAGTTGTCGTCCTCGTTGAGAATTCCATCATTGTCAATATCAGGATCACATAAATCTCCAAGGCCATCTTTGTCAGTGTCAGACTGATCGGGATTGGGAATAGTTGGACAATTGTCACAGACGTCGCCGAACTTATCTGGACTCCCCTCGTCCGAGTCTTTCTGATCAGGGTTGCCAACAAGGGGGCAATTATCCTAAAAGGTAATGAAAACGGATGAAGGCCGAGGTATACTCTCTTAGTCAAACGTTTATGAAATAGTTCTGGCATTATAAAACCATAGGCTAGGAGAAAAGATAATGCATTAAGTTGTAAAATAGTGACAAGATCCTACTGGTGTGTTGTCAATTCCATCATTATCTTTATCTGGATCACAAGCATCTCCAATCTCGTCCCGATCAGCATCCTCCTGACCACTGTTGGGAGTGTCTTTACAGTTGTCTTTCTTGCATCGTCTGTCGCTACATGGAAGTGCTTGGTCGGGGATGCCATCGAGATCTGTGTCTCGCCCGCATAATTTGCCGTCACCTGCCCATCCCACACGACACTAAAATAAGTAATGTAAATCATTGCGAGTCCAATAATGCCAGTAACAAATAAATACAATGGCCCTGGGCAAAATTACAACCGCGTGTACTATTTGACATGACAGGCATTTTCCTTGCAATTTTTATTTGATCTATTTCGCAACTTATTTGGTCATTTGATTATCTTGAATACGTATGCATTTATGTGAATTATCTTGAAAATGTTGTCTACTAACTTCACATTGTTGTTCTTTCAGTCCTCGTCTGATTTTACAAATTGCGTTACCGTCACAAACAACGCCATCTTTGCATATATTTGGCGGTCTTCTTTTGCAACCCTCGGTTGCGCTACCGATGAAGCCAGGCAGACAGTCGCCACAAATACGCGATCCCTTAAATCAAAAATATAAACACCATTATTTAAATAATTCGAAAAAGTTTCATATTCTCTTATAAGTTTTATAGATAAAGTTAGTGTTAGTATCATTACTTATTTTCTTTCATTTTAAACAACCATCTCTTTCATTATACTTAGAGCATGATACACTGAGTATTATACTTACAGGCGTGTTAATACAGATTGAGTTTGGAACGCATCCACCATTTACGCCATCTTCACATTCATTGATATCAGTACACACTTGGCGATTGTTATTAGCATATTCTATACCAACACCTCTCACTTCAGGACTTGTGAATCCCTCTGGACAGGGTGTGCATGAAAAACCGGGAATCGTATTTATGCAAAATCCAAGCCGATCACATGGTTGCGCAACTTCACACTAAAAATGTAAAATCATGCATGTATGTTAAGCAACCAGTGATGTTGGATGGCAGAAGATTGCCTCAGATGATATTCTGTTCTTTAAGATGACTCCTTGTAGATGTTTGAAGTTGTTTGTCGTTGATTCATACTTAAAATCACATTACAAGGAAAATAATATGCCAAAGAGCATGTATCTATCTTTGTTTCATTTGTTGGTGTTATATTGTTTATTGACTACACCGACGAGGAACTTGTTTTCTTACCTCATCAATATCTGTACAATGCGTTCCATTTCCCGTGTATCCTACAGGGCAAGGTCCACATAGATATCCCAAATCATAGTCCTCACATGTTACGCCAGGGAAACATGGTTTAGACTTACACGTCACACCTTTACACCCATTTTTCCCAATACCGGTGCCTCTAAAGCCATCGGGACAATTTCCACATTTGAAGCCATTCGCCGTGTCCACACAGGTGACACCTATATTTAGAAGAATTCTCTAATGCTAACAGGCACACGTTTATGCATATAATTCATGTCATGTAACAAACTATTTTCTTACACGGGCCAATCGACTTTAATAAAGACACAAACTAAATTACTAGTAGATTCGTTTTATGGTTAGTAATAAGTATAGTCCATAAAACGAGCGCGATTTTTACCTGGATAACATGGTCCATCAGCGCATACAGTTGCTCGTTTGCAATTCTTGCCATCACCTACGAAACCAGCTGGGCATGGACCGCATGTTGGCCCGCCTGGTGTCTCGTAACAGGGCACTCCTGGGTAGCAGGCATCCTCCTTACACTTGGGAGGACTTGTTCCATCATCTGCAGGCAAAATATATTTTTCTCTTACATGTAACTGCACTGGTTTTTATGTGTCTATACTTTGATGCATTTTGGAACACGTAGTCATTGCCTTGTTTCAATTTTACGTATTCCACATTGAGATTGTTTAATCCACACTCTCAAAGGTTTTCAATGTGGTGTTCAATGGGAGGCGTGTTCAAGGGAGATGCTCCCGGTGCAGATGTGCTAATTTAGTCTGTGGGTAACCTCAATTAGGTAAGAAGCCATAACAAGTTAACATTTGGAAGAGTGTATAATCAAAACTGAACTTTTTAGTTTCTAATTATTACGTTTCACTATTATACTGTACATTTAACATTTAAAGCCTGTTTCATTACATACCTCGACACATTTTACAGTTTGCGAGGATGTCCTTTAACATATTTGTTGCGGAGGTCTGAAAACAGCAATATTATATATGCATTTTTCAAGAAAAGACCTCACGTAATGTGATATAAAATCTGAATCAACGATTTCTACTTTATATTTGATTATAATTTGCCTTGTACACATAAAGAGTTTTTATTTTGTATTGTAATATGTTGTAATATTATTGTACCTGCTCTAGCATTCCAGTCTGTAGGATTTTGATAGCTTTGGTGAGTTCAGCAATACTGTCCAGCAACGCATTTGTATCTAGACCTACATGATCGGAGTGTAAACGAACATATGATTTATCAGTAAAAGTTATGCCTAAACTCTGACCAGTTGTACTCTAGCAAGCATTTATTTCTTATACTATGTATACTACAGAATTTCTACTTGTCACATGATACGGTCAACCATTATGTCACAAATCAAGATGCAACTACTGGGATTTTCTAAATAATAAAATGCATATGAACAAATGCAAAATCATAATACTTTATGTTAATTAAGGCTCATGCCATTCATATACATATGCACAGATGTATGTATGTCTATAAACTTGATGCATGAATGAAATATCTACATTAAAAAGTATATGCGCGCGCACATTCTACACATTCTCACCTCCAGCTAGCGTTTTAAAACCCTGTGGCTGTGGTTCGGGAGCGGAACTACCACAACCACTATTGCGCGAATTTTCCTTGCGCAAAACATCGCAAAGCGTTGGGTATTGTCTATTGAATTTGGTTGAGTCATACACAGGGTCATACACAGGATCTATGGGTATATTTGGCTGATAATCTAAATAATCTACATTAACGGCAGCGTCCGCTACAGCAGCATTCAGGATTGAAGGATCTAGTTCTAGGATATCGACATGCTGGTCCTCACCCTCTGGAGCTTTTTGTTCAGGCTCACAACCCTGCTCCTTGAGGAGTACATCAACAGGGGTGCCAGCATAGACTCTAAACCTCGTGTGCATGCTCTGGAAAACGTGTTTAAATTGTTCCCATCATTAAGCAAATACATTATGTGGTGTAAAATTTGATTTTGTTAATAAGTACTTTAATCAAGGTATAAGAGAAACGATAGTCCTGAGGATCTATGTTCCTATGCCGATGGCCCTACTTTGAGGCTCTTTGGGCTTAATGGTTCCTGAGTTTTGATAACACACTGCGTAATTTCAAATTATAAGTTGAAAGTACAGGTATCATTACATATGGGAAACAGTACTTCTAATAGGCGTACAAGTGTGCAACAAAATGACAGCGTTTTCCTCAATGCTTGCTAGATTGTTTTAACTTACCACTTTCATATCATGTCTCACTACGTCCCTGATGGTTGGAAGTGTCTTGAATCGGCCGGCAAGTTTACAATTCACATAAAGGGAGACGCTACTCTGTGTCTGTTGGAGATCATGAAATTGTATGAGGAATTTCCCCCTTGTGTTCCTTTTCAAAATGTCGGATGGTATTTCAAGAGTCTTAGTCTTACTGCCAATACGGAATGTCACTATAAGAAAATAAGAATCACTTTATCAGGCAAAATCATAGTTTATGTAATTAATAACTTCCCTCTTTGAGTACGCTTATTGCTACAATTAAGTTCATTCTCCTCTCAAGTTTAACGAATAAGACCAGTAGACCTACTTTGTAGGGTCTTTGAATGGAGCCCTATATCCAACTTAATGGAGTCTGCCTGTATTCTTATGATGGACAGTGTCGGTCTTCTTGTTGTCACCATGACGTCACCACGTATCGTCACCTCGTCATAATTGTGAAAAGCTCTTGGGAGATTATCAGGTACCACTGTAACAGATAAACATGTACAATGGATTAAGATCTTTATACTTTCAAAACGAATAGAAATATTTATCTGTTTATGTTTGTTTTCTTAATCAACACATAATTATTTCATTTATGGCTATGTTCTTTGATCTTATGATGCCGACTACCAAAGCCTGAAAGCCATACCCTTATTGGTTGAACACGATAATGTGTGCGAAACACACATGTCCCAATCAAGTGATGAGGGGAGGGCTATAAGACAGTCTTCAATCTTTGTTGCATAGTTGGGATATGGGCTTCTGTTTTTCTTACGACCGATAGTACCTTTTTATTTTCTTGCTGTGTTTTGGCACATTTAGGCACTTGTGCTTAAATATTCATAAATTACCTTGTAATTCGGCAATATATCATACTTGATCCTTCAACTTACTGGAATATACCCTGGTCTGTTCTCATCACAGTGCATCGGTCGGTATCATGACTACTTAGATTTTCATCCAGAGCTGTTATTACCATAAAGTGCACATAGTTTCTCAATAATGTTTTAATTATCTTGAAAGAAAACATTGGACTTATATTTATCAATTTCAAAACGGCGAGCAAGACAACTGTTAAGGTCACTCTTGCATGTTTAGTTTGTGAAATATTGCCTTTGTCTTACATAGTTAAGACTACTCATACACAAGAATGCTAGTAGCTCTCCCTACTCACCAAAGGCATTTCCTGAGACCTGAGACTACAGTACACGTTTCATGAATGTGAAACAGGTGTGGAACGAAGTGGCACTGACATAGAATTCACGATATTTGGGGTTTTATTCTTTCATTTTATTATCTTATCAACTTGTCGGAATAATTCAATTCAAACATTTATGATTCACGTATCAGGAACTTTATTTCAAATTAAAGTTCTGTTTTTATTGACGTAGATTTAAATAAGAATGTCTTGATATATAATCTGATCCCCAAGATTCGCATATTCGTTACAAAAACTCAGGTTGTTTTTTGTGTGAAACGTGTTGGTGTAACTATTAGAGGTCTGGCAAGTGGCACCATACCAGCGTTCTGTTAAATGATATCCTATATCGCCTTAGAATGAATTCGTACTTGTAATAGTGGATGGAGTCATTGCTTTAAGGGTAAACAGTTCCCCTCCCACATCATTTAGCACTCAATCAGGGTATACATTTTCGTGTTTAGAGCTCACCTGAGAAAACGTATAAAAACAAACGAAGTCATTATTCAACAAGAAATTTCCCACGTGGCTTTAGGCCTTGAGTTACACTAGTATCCGATACTACTTAACCCAATGTGGAAAGCCAGAATTGCGGTCTTTGTCTCTTTGTTCAGTGATGTGCTGTTTACTTCATTTGATGTCAGATAATCTTTATATAGAAGAGTTGTTTCACACGTAGACATAAACAAGCCGTTACGTAGTCCAGATATAAATTGTTATTCGGATCTTTTCTAAAAATGATATATTCCCCTTAGCCCTTTAATGGTATAATCACCCACTTGTCTATCCGTCCGTCGATGTAATTGCCCGGTCTGTCCTTTGCCAATTCGCGGCAGGCTCCAACTCTTTTGTAGAATACCAAGTGGTTTCAAGTGAATGAAACTTGACCATCATGATAAAAGATCCTAACTTCTGTTAAAAGTCCACCTGATTTACTTTTTTTTAGAATGGCCATCGCTTTTATGTTGACAATACAAGTGTAATATAGAAAGTAGGCTCCAAAGCACATGGTAAATGCAAAGGCTTTGTATAAAAAAACATTCAAAGACTGTATCATGTCCCAAGTACGTGGGTAGGTGGGTATGAGGTAGGAGGTTTTTTATACAAAGCCAAATGCAAAGGATCGTGTGTGGTATGGCAAGTTAATATGGTCTTTCAAATCTTTGACCGTAAGTATTTTCTGTCCACGAATTGGACAAATGTCATACGTTCTCCACCAAAAAGGTTTTTCGGGGTTCATGAACAGAAACTTTTATAAAATTCAGATTCTTAGGTCCATTGACAATGTAGGACAATATTTGATACATGTTAAAATAGGGTAAAGAAGATCATTTTTTCTGACGACGGTTTCTACATTTTCGCAAAGGTCACGATGGGGGCTCCTTATCCATTGCTTATTTTAAATTCAATTGACATTTTAATTACCTTTGGAGTTGTTTAAAGTACATTTTCTCTGACGAAACATGTTGATTCAATAAGGATTGTGGTATTTATGGTCAGGAAATACACACCGCCTAGGATGTGACAGTAACTTGCTATACCATATGAGTTGCGATCCTTTGGTTAGTCTGTTAGAAATCGTGTATTGAAATGGACAATTTCTAAAACAGTATAACGTAAAAAATATTAGCACATAAAGTCATTCATCAATATAGAATTTCACACGTTCAAAATATTTAAGATAGTTCTAGTAGAGTATGGTCACGGGTGTCTTGAAAACCCTTGAACGGAATTTTCTTAGTTTTTTGTCCAACTTTCTAAGTTGCAAACAGCTGAATATTTCCTGGACCATTGGGACCTCAGAGAAGATAGTTTGTTGGTATATTAAACATTATTCTAACTCTGATTGTCCTCTCAAAAATAACGGTAAATTACTGGTAATCATATATATTGACACGTATATCAACTTATAATTAATTCCTTAACAAGCTACCGAATGGAAATAGCCTAATTGACATTACTGCCACACAGCAAACGTATTGCTTGATAAACCTCGGGATATACTTAGACCACGAATTGACGGAAAACACGATCAAATGATACATTTCTACAAGCGAGGAACATTTCCTGTAGTTGTTTTACTTGCCTGCTGATTTTTAACCTTGTGAGCAATTTAGTTTAGTAGTCAAATTTTTCGCTAAATTCACATTTTTAGCAATTTTTGAATTTTAGAAAGTCATGTGCATTTTTGGATGTATTACCTCTTTTCGTCGAATCATTATTATATATATGTCCCGTAATGTTCAGACAATTCCAACATAATTTATAGAAGCTGATAAGACAGCGGATCATTCGCCACATATCCACCAATGTTATTACCAATGGGATGAAAAACATTCCACAGCTTTCAACATTCCAACCTCATACCTAATTAAGAGTTCTAGACATAATATGCAAAAAATCAAAAAGCTGATTATAATCAAACCTCGATTAAATTTATCAGCTGATATATGTACTGCATCATATCGCTAAATTGCATCTCTATCGCGCTAAAATGTGGTATAATTAAATACCTGTAAATATTTTTATACTACTGATTATGATTGGAATATAACTGGTATATGACAGGGGTATGGAATTACTCTTCTTAAAATTGTTTGAAATGTTATAGAAATTATTTTTCCTGAACTCACATTGAATTATTAGTTATTTAAAAACAAAAATGACAAAATGCCTCCCCCCGTACACTAACACCCACTTACCAGAATGCAACGTAAGTGAAATTATCATTTTGCTGAAAAATACATTCATCACCACTTTATTAATATTCTTCAAAATAAAATTAAAAGTTTTTACCTGTTGTTAATTCTCGGCAGAAAGCAGAATACGATAATCCTAAAATAAATAAAAAGCTACGAAACCTCTCCATGTCGACTTAAATCATCCACAAACTAACTGAAAATCCAACTATCCTCAAAAAATAATCTTGCAGAATTTGATACCCTCCCCGTAGGGTTAGTTTGATTTATGTTGGCTTGTACAGAGATGTTGCCAATTTTCATAATTCAACTTGAAGGCAGCGAACCCAGCAGTTTTTGATGGTTGTTTTTCCTCTGTCATAAATCAGTAATCAGTTTCAGGTGAATCCACCTACGATCTTTTCCTAGTAAAATATAAATCTGTGCACTATTTGTATTCAATTTGGATATTAAAGAGGGATACGCGTATGCGTACTACAATGCACTAAATAGGAAGGTATAGTTACACGTTTTTAAGAGAACCTGTACGCGAGCGAGTAATATTTCGACCCCCGGGGATTACTGTCCCGCTCTCAATTCACTTTTTCAGGGACCTGATTGGAATTATTTTCCGTATACTCAATCGGCCAAGTAAACAGTACAAATGGTAGAACCAATCCACAGAGGACCATAATTCTACACGTTCACGTATAAGCTTTAAAAAACGTGTATCTTAACCTCCGTAATGTCAGTCAAGGTACTCGAGGTGATCGATCTTTTTTTTGTCTAAAACACAACGAACAGAAAAAAACAGACATAAGACAAGAAAAATATCCCCAGACATTTTATGTTTATTCGCATTTATGTTTACTGTTTCAGATCACTGGGGCATATTATTTCGTAATTCAATATACCCCAAACAAGCATATTAATGTTGTCCTCGCCCTATTTTAATGGGAAAATAACACAATTATATACGCCTATTAATTTCACAACGCAAATGATAGGGTTGCCAAGACAACTGGAATTTGGTGCCCTGTGCATTACAAAAAGTCAACGCGGATTACTCAAGCGCACCTTTATTACGCGCTAAAGGTCTTCACAGATTTACAAAATTCAATTTAACCCTATTTAATTATGTGGATTATTGGTATTAAAAAGTAAGACCTCAAACATCAACTAGTCGTGTTGTCCCAAGGGAAGTGTTATTGAGAAACATTCGAAGGGAGTGTAAAGCGATGAAGCAATACGCAACACTAAAGTGTATGGGACCGAATATGTTGTTCATGTTTTTAAGCGCAAATATCAATAGAAGTGAAAGACAAAAATTATTACTAAATGTACGGGACATTGAAACACAATGTTGAAATCCTAAAATAAAGTTCTGACAATTTTGTTTTGTATTTGTTCAAACTGACCGAGAATAGCCTTGCTTCATGACCCTGGACCTCCCCCCTACTTTACTTTGTTAAAGTAGATAATGGGGGGTCCAGCGTCCGAGAATCACGAAAAAACACTGTAAAAGACGCGAAATTCAGCTTGGTTACAGTACACCATCCAAGGTGTGAGAGATTGTTTTCCTTGCCATAAGTGGTTGAAACAGCAGGCGCTGAAGCCCTTAAAACGGTACATCCCATTTGTCAAAATATATATTTCTGGGCCACAAATCCTTTGAGGTTATATGAAGTCATCAATTGACGAGGTCAGTGTACTTTAGCTTCACAAAATGGTTAAACAAATTAACAGCGTGTATAATTGGGAATACATGTACAATACAAACCTATTTGAAACAAAAGGTCTTGAGAAAATCTCATTCCTTATTAATAGTTATCGAACTGCAAATTAATATTTGAAATATACGTTGACTTTTAATATGTTTAGCTTCAGCTTCTCCCGAATATGATGCTTTATTTTCCCAGGGTAAGACAACCTCCGTCAGTCTAATTGTCCGTCTGTCCGAGCTATAACTCAGACAACACTGGTCCGATTTTTCATATTTTCAGAGATAAGACAAAGATAAGGTTCATGCCTCGGCAATTTCAAAATGCCTGTCAAAACTTTTACAAAAGTTTAAAAGCTTAGATAACAACTTCTCATACAGGCATTCTATATTACATTCTGCCCAATCAAAAGTCAAAACACAGCATAGCCATGCTCTCATTTAAAACGTTATGCCAAAACATTTTCTATGGTTAGCTAAATTTATCTAGGTGCCTATGAATGTTTAATGTTAAGAAATGAACCTGGTCGAGGACTGGATACATCCCTGGGAATTATTCTAGCAAGGAATTTTCTACTAGAATTTCAATTAATTTTTGTAATATTGTTCGAAATGTTTCACAATTATGTAAGGAAACCAAGCATATGGCTCAAAGAATTATGCGCGATTTGATGTACTATGTTCTTGCTATAGGGATCGCACGCATACGAGAACTCATTCATTAAACAATCCAATGAGACCTAGACTTAAATGTTTTATTAGTATTCAAATGAACGACATAAATAATATCCTATCATCATCACCTGTGTGTTGTTTCAAACCTTTTTTAAAATGTTGAATATTTTGAAATGAACAGCTCATAATTATTTGAGGAAAGAGCAACATAACCGCAAAATTTCAGATGATTATCATATTAAAATTTTCTGACCATGAAGACGATTAGAGCCATTCAAAGAAAAGTATGCATATTGCATATTGCTGAACCCGTCAAGATATTTTTTCACAAATGTTGATCTAATTTTCACTAAAAAGGCAACCTTTTATTAATCCCAATTTGCGTTGAGACGTAGTATTTATTTTTGGAAAAGAGGATTGTTTTAGAGACTTAACCCTTACTGAATTTGGATGCTCAAAATGAGCAAAAATCAATTGATACCAATGTAATAAACAAAAAATTGACTTTTTGGTAAAATTGAGGTCAGCGCCATTTTAAAAAGCATGTTGATTGGTTGATTGCACCCTCAATATGACAGAGTCCAACTGACTTAATTCATAAATAAAACACACTTTATCAAATCATTAGGGAGTTTAAGCTTGCAATGTTTTTTACAACCTAAACGTGAACGGAAATATTTAAGCAATGCATTTGTATGAGCGATTGGTCATACGTATAGGTTGGCGTTTCGATTGTATATGCAAGCTTAAGAACTTCCTATTATTTGGAAGACGCCCAAAGAATAATTTTTTAAAACAGTGGCGGCCATCGAAAAATGGTGGTCGTTAAACGCTATAACGATGCTGTTTCAGGAAAAGTCGTGGAGCGATTTTGTTCATATTTGATATGCGATTTCTCATAAGCATTGTACACTGTCTTATGGCATTTGGCAAGTAGGCGTTCAAATTGGCCACCATTCTGATGAACGAATTTTCATATTTTAATATAATTTTGAGTGTTATATTATGTTTTTTGCTATAACTAGAAAGATAAAGGACTTCCCTTTGGCACTTTGGCTACTGAGTGACCATTTCGAAAAATGGCAGCCATGGCTGTTCAATTGGGGTTTCTACGCCTTGGCGTTGTTGTTATCTAGTTCTACAATTGACGATTAATGATGGCACCTTCCCCCAATTTACTACTACTTAATCCCCTTCGGAATTGTTTTTTTAATCCAGATGAGGTAATCGAGAAGTGATCTCATGAGAACCTGCTTGTTTGGCAATTAACTCTAATCTTGTTCACAGTGCGTTAACGTATAGCGTACTTCAATGTATGGGCCACGGTTGAGCACACATAGACTATGGGACCAACTCCATGGTATGGGCTTCAAGGGGCTTGAATAATACATGAGTGATAGAACTTCCTTGGCGCGAGATCTGAGACTGACTGAGGGTTATATCAGTTATATTATTCGACTATAAATCATTATTCATTCATTTATTGTGTCGTCGGGGGAAAGAGAGTTCCTTGTTTGATAGACGAAAAGCATTCCAACAACACTGGTACCCACCTGGTCATAAGGACGTTACATACGTCTTTATAACAAAATGGATCAACTTCCGTTGGAGGAAATTTTTATTCTCATCACTTTCACCTAGAATGAGGTCGATTTGTATCCAAATATTTTACTCGTGTGTTAATAGTAACATCCGGTTTATGAAAAGCTAGTCAGTCACAAGCAAATACAAACATAAACCCAGCAGCTCAAATAATCGAGTGAGAACTCAGCATTCAGGACATTATCTGGTAAATTTCATAACATTTTTGTGTTATGGCCTATTAACGTTCTGGTTGCTGAAGTGAGGAATTCTCACTCGATTGTTGGAGATCTTCGATGTTTATAATCGTGACTGGTTCGCTTTTGAGTAGGCCTAACTGTATTGTAACTATTAACATACAGGATTTCCCGAAAGTATGGCTCCCTCCTAGGTAGACATATACAGTGTCTCCACAGTGTGTGTCATATATCATTTTAAAGCTAATCCAAAGAAACATACATTTGCCAAGTATTATGGTTCAACTCACAAATGGGAAAAAGTTGCAGGCATTTCAAAATCGACCTCCTTCTTGGTGAAAATGATGAACATAAAAATTTCCTCCAATAGAGGATCAACGTCTTTATAATACGGTGGGGACCAGTGAACAAAACATGGTAGATAAATGTATGTGTACGATGCATTGATATAAAACAACAACATAAAATAATTTCCTAATGCTTCTCACCATTGAAATCACATTTGAGCCATTTCAGTTGTTGCAAGATTCGGTACACGCTTTTAAAATCTTAGATGTCATGGTAATTGAATTACTAGTATGCTGGCCGGGTGGCCCAGGTAGACATGATAATATTTGTGTTGGTACAGGGGGAAATCTAATTTATTTAGCACAATAAAGTAAAATAATTACATGTCTATGGTGATTTTGAGAAATTGTTTAAATTAATTTTGGGTAACAATACATTTCAGAATTATCTTTGTTATGTATGTGATTTGAGAGGTCTGTCGTAACAAAACTGAATCAAAAATATGTAATCTAGTAAATACAAATATATATGAATATAAACAATCACCTTGTGCCATGAGTTACCGTGCACGGCTACTGATACTAGGCATATCTTTTGTACTAAGGTTATATTTACCCTTAACAAATAGCATACCGTTAAGTAAGTATCCTATCATCTTTGATTTTATGAAAGAAAGTTTTATAATCTCAGAACGTATATTTATATAATTAACTATAGTACATCACGTGTAGCATCTCTATGTCCAACGCATTGTCCGATTGGTATAAGGAGTGAACGGGGAGATATTCAGATCAGAACCTCTGTATACCCCGAATCTCTGCATCAAGTCCAGAGGGTGACCCTGGAGCGGTGCGCATCATGTATAGGATAATACCTTTACTGCTGGTTGCTTTTGCAACTGTGGGTAAGTTATTTTTGTCTTGTTTATTTTTGCAAAAAAATATAATAGGCCTAATCTTAAAGTATTCATATTGAATTATACTAACCATATACGAATATCTCAGTACCAATGTCTTTATACCTATTTGGCTATTATTGAGTATATGTATACTCAATAATAATAATACTCAATTAAAAGAGGCACTCGCTTTATTATTATCTTAATCCCTAAATACGTAAATTAAGTAGTTCAGACGAAATATGGTTTGCTCCTTTTCCCGACAAAAGAAATACTAAGATTATAATTTTTTCGTTTGAAGTTCTCAAAATCGTCCACAACAATGTAATGGCATATTCCCTGATATCGCCTTTCCCCATATAGTCAATCCTTAAAATTGACAAATTGATAGGCAATATGCCTATTTTTGTAGAAAAAAGGATAAAATATGAATACTGAAGTGAGAAAATTACTTGCATAGAAAGCAGCATTTGAAGTTCAGAGATTGAAAAAAGTGAATTTCCATTTTTCACAAAGTATATGCTTTTAAATAACTCTTGGATTAAAAGATGGCGAATTGTTGAAAATTCTATCAAAATTTGGGGTGTTTTGGTGTCAAAGAACCTCAGGAAATACTTTGAAGATCAAAAGTAAAACTTCATTTTGCCGATAATACGCATTTAGTTCCTTTAAGTTACTGTGTACATGTCATATTATGCATACTGTATTGGAGACTTAATTTTCATGCTTTTTAGAACGTAAGAATCTTTCAATGATTCTCTCGATATGAAACACGAACATCTAGTTTTAAAAGGAATAACTTCAATACAATAGAAATACGACCAAAAATAGACGAGAAAAAATGTCACAATGCTCCAAAGAGTCCATATAACGGATTTGAATTAAAGTATAGAAGTAAATTAAAACATATAAAATGTGAATAATGGTTACATCAGATTGAAGCTCATTGAATTTACAACTATTCTAGGTACGTTTGGGTCAAAGTATAAACCAAGAATATTTTCGATTGTTTATCTCCATATTATCATTTTGTCCAAGGTAGCCTTTATCTCCAAAAGTTATTGATATTTGTAACTGGTACCGTCGTATACGAGTAATCTAGGGGCGCTTAATCCACGATAGTAAGCCATTGTTTGGTTGATAGTTTTATCATTTTTAATATATCTGAATACTTTCGCTTTCAAGGGGTGCACCAAACACTAAAATAAATCTATATACTATGGTTTATCTCACAACACTTAAATAATATCGCCTTAACTTCGGGCTCAGTAAGATTGAATTGCCTTATATTTGGTGTCTGTAATACGAATGGTACATAGCAAATGACAGTTCCTTGCAACATGATATAATCAATAAAGCGCCATAACTGGTACATCTTAACTTTTAATTAAGATATAAACCATGCCGTTTCGATCCTCTTATATTTTTACCCATATCATTCTGTCATTCATAGCATTCAGCAATAACGATTCTGTTGTGTCTACTATGTTGGGAAATCAGAATGTGAAATGCATTAACATTTTTTAAAAAGCATATCGGTTCAACTTTTATGCAAGCCATGATAAATTACTCAGATGAGAGTAGGTAGTTACCAGTTTCACCACCTGGTGGCTAATTCGGGGGAAATAACATCGCAGGATATTGCAAAGTTCCCTTAAACATGAATATTCATCAGTTTTAGTGGTTCACTTTTCATATTACCCTTATATATTTCATAGTTATACAAATTAAAATATGTCCAGTACAAGAAAACATCTGCCGAACACAAGAAAAGATATTTCACTTTTTGTGATTTTTTAAACATGGGGTCTATGGGGAATCTCCCCGACCTAGAAGTCACATTTCCAAAGAGAATTTTCAAAGTTGATAATGAGCTCTTTTCAAGACCACATTTTAAGATGTAATTTTACACGTGGATTCCAAATATGACATCAGTTTGACTGAATTTTTAATTTTTAATGACGTTAATCAAGCTTATTTCTACTCGCATCTAGTATATTATACAATGACAACATTTAGTTTTAGGTTTGAATAGTTTTTAAATATTTGTTGTTTTACCTAATTAATTGTTATACAAATGATCCATATTAGGATAATCCTTTTTATTGAAATGTATTTATATTGACTTATATTGGGAAACAAAATTCTCTATTCCAGCTTACAGCCTGGACAGAAAATGCCCAAAAGGCTGGCAATCATACAACTACCAATGTTACTTCTTCAGTGACACAACATTTACCTGGAACGAGGCAAGATCTGTATGCCGTGGAAGACAAGGAGACTTAGTTGGTCTAACTTCCACATCCGAAAGGGTAAGATGAAACTTTACAATAGGTAGTGATACCCTTTTAACAGAGCTAATTGTTACCAAATTGACAACGGCGACCATCTTGAAAGGTTGGGAGATATTTTGCTGAAACTAGACCTTATTGCTAACCTGTGTTTAAGAAAATCAATGCCAATGTAATACTTATTTATATATTTATATATTTTATCAGCCGTTTTAGGTTATAACAAAGAGTATACATTGTTAATTTTATCAAAAATCTTATCTTACAAACTTGACGACGTATGAAAGGCGGACGGCCGACTCTTTTTACAATTACAAATTTTACCTGAACACAAAGTACAGCGAAATATTTGATTTTTGATTCCAGAATTTCTTGAATACTCAAATAAACCAGCGCCGGAAGGAATATTGGATTGGACTGAGCAGAGACCCTCGAAATAAGAACAACTTTAAATGGGTTGATGGAAGAACATTATCTTCAAGCCTGTCGTAAGTTTGTTCTACCCATCCCGTTTTCACCATTAATATACTCCTATATGATTCATTGCCTAGTTTATATTAAAGGGATGATATGTATTCTTGCTCCAATTCATGAAAAATATTGTAATCAGTTTAAACAATTTTACAATTTTACAATTTTCAATTTTGAAAGTTTTCATTGCAATCCTACATGCATTGTTGATAGCACATGTTAAGATGAAAGGCACTTCAATTCGTTGTAGTGGACCTGTCGTCACATATTGTCATGGACGTTTTCATTGCAATCTTACATGTATTGTTGATAGCACATGATAAGATGAAAGGCACTTCAATTCGTTGTAGTGGACCAGTCGTCACATATTGTCATGGACGGTTTCATTGCAATCCTACATGTATTGTTGATAGCACATGTTAACATGAAAGGCACTTCAATTCGTTGTAGTGGACCAGTCGTCACATATTGTCATGGACGTTTTCATTGCAATCCTACATGTATTGTTGATAGCACATGTTAACATGAAAGGCACTTCAATTCGTTGTAGTGGACCAGTCGTCACATATTGTCATGGACGTTTTCATTGCAATCCTACATGTATTGTTGATAGCACATGTTAACATGAAAGGCACTTCAATTCGTTGTAGTGGACCAGTCGTCACATATTTTCACGAACTATGCTCATCTAAATCTTAAATGTACTTCTATTACCTGTATCGATTACATGTCAGTATGTGTTTATTTTAATACTTAATTAACCTATTTATATCTGTGCGTCTGTACATCTCATACACTTCCATTGTTATAACCGTGAATAGCATATACTGAAGAGAGATTTAGATTAGAGAGATTTCGCTACTCACTTTGAGCATGTTTATTATTCCCGTATAGCGTATAACTTATGAAGCATTTGATTACGTCTTCGTTTATTTCGCAGCTGTATACGTCCATACGTCCACAAGTGAAATGTTTTTACGTTTGGACGACGATTTATAAGAATACCACACATATGGACGTATAGAGAGACGTTATACGTTATACGTGAATAATAAACATCCTATAAGTGAGTTGCGAAAACTCTCTACTTTTTTTTATTAAAACTCTCTACTTATTTATATTGTTCACACGTATAACAGTTATATGTTTGTCTGTATGTTTGTCCTTGCCTATCATGTCTGCCTTCTTCGTATGTCTATGTAGTAACTGGGCGTATAGGGAGCCAAATAATGCAGGTGGACGAGAGGATTGCGTCCATACACGAACCAACGGCCAGTGGAACGATGCACCATGTTTCGACAAAGTACGATACGTTTGCAAGAGAAGCGATGGTATGTCCAGCGTTGAAATCAAAATTTAGATTTTGATAGGAGTGGAGACATTATTGTTTGTGTGTGAAACCCCTGATTTAAACCACGACCCAATCTAGTTCTGTATTTTACTCCATTTTTACTCCTGCCCAGATATTATCCTTCACATACCACAATCCTAGATAAGTTGACCTGTGTGTCTTTACCAATTCCAACTTGACCCCTCATCAACACATCTAAAGGATTTTCATTAATATGGCTTCTAAGGAAGAAACCACGTGTCTGTATTGATAACAACTGGGATAGAAGAGCCGAACATTTCTGATGTGGTTGCAGACGAAACACAAGATGTAATGATGAAGCACGTTGAAATGGCAGATGCAATCTTAACTCCCTTTTCAATACTTCTGCTACTCCTCTTAAAACAAAGATAACACTATACCTTTGTTATAGAAAGGGTCTGTATTTGTAGCTACTGGTCAAGGGGTGAACCTAACAATTCCGGGGGTCGGGAAGACTGCGTTCACGCCAGGACTGACCAAAGATGGAACGATGCACCATGCAATGGAAAACGACGCTACATATGTAAAAGAAGCGATGGTAGGAAGACCCAGTCTGTACTGCGCATCCATACGCACTGTTAATCAAGAATCACTTAAGCACTACCTTTTTAGGGCATTTTCAATGTAATATCCCCACTCCCGATACAATTACACCCTTAGGGCACTGCTACTATACCCCATAGACCCTTCATTTTAGTAGAGTGAAACTTCTAGCTAGTCAAAAAGAACTTGTGTATTTCTAGCTTCTGGGCAAGGGGTGAGCCTAATAATAGACGAGGTCGTGAAGACTGCGTCCAAGTTAGGACTGACCAGAGATGGAACGATGCCCCATGTGCTAACAAGCTGCGTTATATATGCAAAAGAAGCGATGGTAGGGTACCATCTCCTAACACCATTGTTCAAATCAGGATGTCAAACGTATGGGGTATACGTTTGATACATCTATGCTAGACTGTGTATATACGGGTATTTAAGGTGTTGCTTGCTAAAATTAACACTCGATGCATAGCATCTCATACAAATCTTGGAAAGCAACACCTTCAAGAAATTGTCATTCCACATTGCACCGAATCAAAAGCTTAAATCCTTAAATATATGAGGGTCATATTATGGGCGGTTTTGGATGTGGGGTATATCCTTTGGGAATATAGATATATTATTTCCCGATGGATATGAGTATGGCCCATATTCAAACCGAGCATCACACAACTTATTTTTCCTGGGACATCCATACCCACGTTTGTTTTTAAGCGCTCTCATTCTCATTATTTTCAAGAAACCCGCATCAACATTTTGGTCAAGAAAATTCTACTTTCTGCATCATCGATTTTGACAGTTTCGCTAAAGCAAGTTATTCTAACAATTGGACTGTTTTTACACTGAACAAAATGATTTCCCTGGAATATTGAAGTGAGTGATACACAGCGAGGGATATATTTATGTCCACCTTCCAAGGGATATCAATTTTATATCCCACTGTTATGTACCTGAAACCCAGCCTGAAACCTAACTTGTCATATATAGGATAAAGAATAATATAGCATTTAATAACTATGATAAGTCACTACTTTTTAATCATTTGCACACCACACGTCCTATTTAACCCCAAACTAACCTTTAAAAACTGTAGCATTACAAAGCAAGAAACAGAATTAGAATTGTGTTTATACATAAGAGCTGATGACCTCAGTCAGTTCACGACGTGGCGTTCTTTTGTCGAACAGTGATATGATACAACATCATTCCAATTCTTTGGAAAGATCTACAGAGACAATTCAAGATATGTGTTTATCTTAATTGCACGTTCATTCACGGAAAATTCACATAGCTAACTATGGAACTTTGCCAACTACAATAAGTTTTTTTCTGGAATAAAATGTAAATCATTTTCTAGTTATTTCATATAAAGTTTATGAGTGTAACGATGCCTACAATGACTACATGCTCGTATTATGATATTTCAGCCATCTTTGACAAATGCGACCTGGATGATGGCTGGCATCCATTTGGAGCAAAATGCTACAAATTCTACGAGACCCCTAACACATTCATGGATGCCCAAGCGCAATGCCAGGAGAAGGATGGTGATCTTATTCAAATCAAAACCACGGATAACCTTAGGCTCGTCCAGGATACAGTTAACTGTGCTAGCGCCCATAACACAATATGGATCGGCGCATCAGATATGGTCAGTTATATCTCATAACAGAATTTTAACCATTTTGTAAACCATTTACCCACATTTGAATAATGAAAGTAATTCAAATATGTAGGTTATGAATTCAAAATTTATTTGAATGCACTGCCAAAATTCATTCATAAAAAATGTTGAATAGATAATCGGTCTGTTGCCATGATTCCAAATTGGTGGTCTAACTTGTGCATATATTCCAAATGCTTATAGTAATTGTCGTTTCGTCTTCAGGTAACACCAAAAACGTACAGATGGATCAAAGACAACACCACTATTACCGTCTCAAATTGGGGATTTAGGCAACCAACAAACTTAAAGTAGGTTAATACCTGTACTAATTCAAAGTTTATTTTATGATAATGTATATTTAATCAATAATTCAAGTCTTTATTTATCCCAGACGATTTTTAAACGAATTTTAATTCGAGGTTTATCCTCCAAGGTCAATGTTGCTTTTAGAATGGAACTGACATCTAAGTTTAGGGAATATAATCTCAATATCATATTGGTAATTTGGTATAGATCAAATTAGACCCCTCTTCATATTTTCCATTGATCTTACTACACTATAATACTGCACCATTTATCACGTTAGATCTCAATGACTTCACACATCAAGGACTGTGGTTATAGCATTACTATAATTATATCAAACGTTATTGCTGGGTATATGAGTTTAAATTCTCAAAACATGACACATGAGAAATTTGAGCACATTGCTGCTTTCTATTTATAAAAAAAACTAAATCCAAATGGAAATGATATTATTTCAATAGTAGTCTCAAGATTTATTTTCCAGATCATTAAACTAAACAAAATTTATTTGAATTAAAGCCCAATACAATAAATATAATTGATACATCTTCCTCTATTGTACATTTACCCAGTAGATGACAGATAGTTTGCAGTATTAGTACCAACAATGATAATGGTATATTCTGTCCAACTTTCATTTATGTCTCATAATCATTTCCAGCGCCCCAGGAAAAACGTGTATAGAGGTCATTTCAGACGACAGCTATAGATGGCGTACTCAGCTATGTTCACAAGAAAGAAAGTTCATCTGCGAACGTCCACAAGGTATGTATTTAACCTTGGTACTTTTACAGAATCAAAATATGAAATCCCCATGCGCTTGATTTGATCATAGATTTCATGTCATGGTTAAAATTTTGTGACAAAAACACATGTTTATGATTATATGTTATTACGATTCAATGGATATAACATAATCAAGCTGCCTGATAAATTACACAGTCACCTACTTAGAGATTACATCGATTTTAACATTTCATTAAAACGCATACGTCGTAGGACTGGAGTCTGCATGAATTTCAGTTGACACATATTTCAAAATATCTATTTGACCTTTAACAAAGGAAATATCCTTGCTTCGGTATTTGGTACTGAGTCATTGATTAATTTGCTGGTGCTGCACAAAACAGACAAGGTATGACAACCGAATTGAGGCTTCCGTTCGGTAAAAGAGAGGTTGGTTCATTCAGATGTAAGCAATGAATCCCGCTGTTCTGTACCGTATGTCTTGCATGAATTGTATCTCCGGTTACTAACTCTAACGTGTTTCCACCATCAGATCCGATGACCAATGAATCTATTAAACCTATAATTTATAATTCAGATATAATAAAGACTAAAAACGTGTTTGAATGCTTGTGTATTTTTATAATTACACTAATATGTTATGGTGAGTCATCGTACTCTGATATTATAAATAGGCAATATAAACTGTTTGCAATATTTGTTTGGTGATGCTCTTTCATATCACGACATTAATATCTTCTAAGACGTATCGATTGTCATGTAATGCATACGGTGTCGCGATTTTTTGTAATTAAATAAAAACTGTCAGAATACTATCACTTGGTGTTAAAAGTTAAAAGACAGTAACTTACCGAGGAAACCGCCATACTTTTCATGCAAGTCGTAGACCACATTCACATTGACGCCATGTTTGCCCCTTTTAACATCAATGTGTTCAACTCCACTATCATCGGCATAAGGCTTTATCTTTATTCCACCTTCATACACCTACACGTACATCGAAAAGTAGTAAATGTTTTTGCACAATGATTTCTGGGGCTGCTTTTTAATGGACTTTTTTGACGCGTCACACACTTTTATTTGAATTCAGTTTCCCAAAATACACCAGCACATTGCAGACAACAGTTTACATACCTTGATATGTCCAGTAGACATGCGATAGGAGCCGTCATCCCATCCACAGCTATATGTCCCATTGTTGATGTCAATAAAATTGTGTTTAACGTACACATTGTCGTCACCGATGAATACAACAACCTCTTTCAGCCATTTTGTACCATCACCAAACTTAACGTTGACTTTGATCTCTGATTCCCCTTTGGTGATATGACTAAACAATATCATGACTTCTCCTTGTGGTCGGTATAAGTTGTAACATAGAGGTATGTCAAGGTCTTTGTCTGGTTGTAGCACATGTGGATCACCAGTAACGCTAATATCTGAAGAAAAAGTACAAAAGTAAGCATGTATCTAATAAAGATACTGATTGATGAATCTTCAGATAATAAACTAAGGGTTGACACAACTTTCGGCTGTCGGCTACAGGATTAACGTTCTATTTTATGGGCAACTCATTTAAATATGAATAGTACCTGCCATTATTCCATTCATATTTAAATGAGTTGGTCCTAAAACAATAGGTTAATCCGGTAGCCGACAGCCGAAAGTTGTATTTGCGAATACAAGTAGAGTATCAAAGTACCCTCGATATGTTGTTTCTGGAAACTAGGTTAAACAAAAACAACTTATCTACTATTTCACATGCCACATTTCTCACCGCAGCAAGTTGGCTCGTTGCAGCATCTCTGCGGACATTTGGAACAGGGCTCGTCAGATGAGCAGTTTTCCCAACCATCATGCTCCCAAAGGCACTTCGGATTTTTCTTCCAACAACAATCAATTGGGCAACTTTCATATGTTTCACTACTTTGACAGACGCTATCCCCGCAAAATGTATCCGGAATATCATAAAGTTCATTGCTAAAAAGATGATATTTAGTTACGCTAGTTGATGACCTGTACTAGAACGTCACTTAATTATAAATCAAATCGAATGTAAGAAACACGCAGAACACCATAATCCAAACATACGAAAAAACACAATAGAGACTTTCAGCTTGCATATAAAATTGAAACGGCAACCAATACGTATTAATCGCCCATATTCAAATGCATATAGTTTTCTCACTTTAATAATCGTTCGGTTACAGTGTTTACTTTGACTACACATCATCGAGTAATATGGCATTGTTATGGCAGGTTATAGCTGGTTTTCTATGATACATATTTTGAACAAGCTCGTTTCTTAAGATGTTTGTAGCTAAAACATGTATAATACGTAAACATCATATTCTTCAGAAAACATTATAATGTGCATCGAAATCTAAATTGCTTGCATAATAGAGATAAATATAATGATTCCCGTTGACACCAACGTAAAATTGCAAATTTCTCGTTTTTAACACGAAATTCTGAAGCTGAACGGGTAGCTGAAGTAGACTAATTAGCGCTTGTTTTGTATGCGCGCTATACACGTTACTATATTTGATTCATGTACTTTCCGTTCACGGTTACGTTGTGAAAATATTGCAAGCTTAAACTCTCAAATACCTAACAGAAACCCCAGTTACTTGTCTGGAGTTTACATATCATTAAAATCCGTAGAATGACAAACGTGTTCATTCGTAAACGGGTACACTCACACATTTATTTTACCATCCACTTCTTTGCACAGTTTGTTGAAACAGATTTGCCATGCCCAACAAAGTCCAGGGATTTGAAACAACCATATATCATCGCATCTTAAAAATACATGCAATATTTACAACAAAACATGCTCGATCCCTAACATAACTGTCGGCTGTCAATAAATGTCTGCAATGGACCAAGTTAAGAACTGTATCCATTAACCAAGGAAAGTTACCAGTAAAAACTCAAAATAGCCTTAATCTGCATTATAAATTATGGAAAGAACAACTTTATATTTAATCGTCAGAAGAATTCAAAAACTTAGTTCGATTACCGTAATTTTGCCAAATCCAACAGCCTGTAACCTGTGATTTATATTTCTCGGGCCCTTATGTATGAGACCGGAATATTACTGAAAATAAAATTCCATGTACTTACTTAGACTTTACCTTCAATTGACCATCGCAGCCCCCACACTTGTATGTTTTAGAGGCTTCTTTATTACATATCGTTGCATTGCCAGCTGCAGTGTCTTCTCCACATGGGCCGCAATACTTTCCTCTACTTGCACCATCATACACTATTTGATCCTGCGATCATTTATATTTTAAGCTGTTGAATAATGCATTCTTTAGGGAAGATTTTAACACACGTCCCAACGTGGTTACTAAGATGGACAGAATAGTGACAATAGGGATCAATCTGACATAGGGATCATTTATTTTCATCATTTTCACCCACAAGGAGATCGATTGTATTACAAAATCATACTCTACCTTGTGAAATATCAATTATAAGACGGGATTTCGATGACTTCTCTAGCCGGAGACCGGTACACGAACTGCAATTTTACTGAACTGAGTGTCAATAATCGCGATTTCAGTTATTTAAAAATTACTGTGCCGTAAGTAATAGCTGCTGGGGTACTAAAATTGACTAAAGTTGATTCAAGTTGTTACCTTTTTGCACTTGCTCTCAGGTTCGTCACAGTTATTGCAACATGTGTAAAAATGAAGGCCTGTCTTGCCTCCCCATCTACAATTCATGCATTTTCCGACAGGCGGTTTATCCCCAGTTCTTCTTTTAACCAAGTGGTGCCAGGTATGGATGTCATTTGCGTATATTCCTTGGCAACTCAGCAATAAAATTGCCAGTAGTACGCCCTTCCTCATTGTTGTCCCAAATAGTTTGAGTAATTTGAAATTGCAGATAAAAAATCTACCAATGTTACTATTTTATTGAATAAGCTGGATGTTTTAACCCACGTACTTGTAATAAAAGCTTCACATTCTAAAGTATTTATTGTAATATATGGTCATTTTTCGTGAGCTGTGATTTATTTCTGAAATTCACTTACAATAAAAAATAAATGATCTGATTTTCCTATTGCAGCTGATTACAATTGTACAATGAAATGTTAAATATTCAAATAAGTTAAGTTTATAATTCATATAATATATAATAATAGTCTATTGCAAGATAAAGGACAAACGTGTGCTTCATCATTTCGGTCCAAACAAGGTATCAATAATATATGAATTGTTGTTTTAAGGTCTGATTTTAATCTCAAAAGTCACACCCAAGACAAAAAGGAGTCAGTTGATTTCTCTCCGACACAGTGAGCAACTGTTCTTGCACGTCACCAGTCAGCTCCCAACAGAGTGTATGTGCTCTAAATGTTTGCTTCACGGCTATTCGTCGTCCATCTCTCACGGTGAGATCTCCACTCGTGGTGCCAGTTATTGGGTCACGTGACACATTGATGACACCAGTTATCTCTCTGTTGACAATACCTACAACATTGGAAATATTTACGAAATAAGTATAAACGTTAAAGTACTTTGATCAATTGGCGAATACATTATGTAAAGAGAGAAACAGATCTTGTGAGCTTAACAGAATTTTTAAAAAAATTCTATAATAATGATTACTATTTTATATTTATTTGGAATAATTTAACATTTTCCCCCATTTTTGCACGTGGAATCCTTCAATAACATCACCAATATCGCGAATCTGTATTTCAAAACCACAAATTGAAGATGTTGGACGTTTTATTCTTTCTGAACTCCCCACTAGGCATAAGTGTAGCTAGTCGACATGTTTTTGATAGTTTGATGTTTCAAATGGTGCTGGTTCTAAATTTAATGAAATCATTTTCCTACTATAACTTTATATTGCTTTTTCTCTTACTTAGAAATCCAGCGGGGTTTGATCCTGTTTGCACTCTGTTAATGATTCCTAAGTTAAGGCCTCTGTCACGTGTACTGTTGTAGCGAACCTTAATGATGAAGTCTCCTGTCTTAACCTCCATATGTGTTGGGTAGATCTACAATTAAAACAAGGATGTGCAATGTATGTTAAATCAAAGAAATGTATGATGGTTTGTTGTATTGTTATTTAATAAAGTTTATGGTTCGTCATGTTGTCATTTTCAAATGACGTTGTCTTTTTTCGCATCTTATAAATAAAGTTAATTACGTTCACGTTCCATTCTCCATATTTCTCACGGATACCAGCTTCATTAGTAGGCCACGCAAAGTTGCCCCTTCTCCTACCATTCACTTTGACAAGAATGGAGGATGTTGTCACACGAACACTGTCATTGTCAGTATTCTTTACCAATACACTACCGACCCATATCCCTTGTCCCCTACGTCCAAGAGTATCGTATTCAACACGTAGATCCAATCTATTTACACTGTCAACCAGTAGGATCTGAGACACCTTTTCCTTTGTGATTAAGTTGTAGCAAAGAGGAATATCAAGATCCGAGTCAGGTTGAAGGAAGTGGGGATCGCGTATAATTTCGGTCTCTATAACATCAATGAAGAACTTATAAATAGTACTGGTATGCAGTGAATTTGTCAGTCATTATTATTATTCATTTATTAACCTGTATTTAAACAGAGTAGTACAAAACATATAATATACAGTTATGGTGGATCGAAACATATTTACAGTTTAGTGACACCTTGTTAATTACAAGAGATCAGATGCATCTATAGTGTGTTTCACTAGTATGTTAATTGCCAGCATATTGGCTGGTGAGCTTTGCTCTTTTGATATACATTACATGGATGATGTTCGAAATACCAGCCATGTCTGAATAAGTGACGTTGCCATTAAAATTAAATATGATATTCTTATTGTCCGTCAAGCCATTGCCACTGTACTTGTCAAATATTTTTGCTAATTTGATGCGTTCATCAGAAAAATTCGTACACGAAAATAAAAAAATGATCCAGAGTTTCAATCTCAAACATGTCACAAAGGAAGCAGGTGCTATTAATACCATCATTTTTTACTCTGAAATCGTGACTGTCCGTCGCTAGGCGCATCATGGTTTTGCATTGAGCAAGTAATTCCGGCTTCATCTTCGCCAAGGTCCACCAGACACACGGTCTCAAGGGCCCTGTTGCCCCATCCTTTACGTCACATATGTTAAGGCAGACGTCATGACGCCTATACGTGTTACATGTAGTCCTGTATATGGCTCTTTGTTTATCATTTACTTCAAGTTTAATGAATCTTTTCCATGATCCTTTAGTTAAGTAGATGCCATTAACAATCATGTTAGTTAGCAGTTCTGTCAGGTTATATTTTCTAACTCGATCCCACATTTGTCGTATTGGGGAATCCCAAGTGGTCTCTTTAAAGAAGATGATCGGTATTAATCTGGTTATAGTAAATTGTTTGTATATATTCGAAATTGGAAGAGTAAGTAGTCCAAACAACATCAGTAACATATCGTAATCAATTCTAAGTGACATGGAGTTCATTCCTAATGGCATAGTTGCGGATGGATTGCTACTGTGAACTGGGAGAGATTGCAATCTTCTTCCTATCTGCCTCTGTGCTACTTCTAGCATTTCTACGTCACTTGGCTTGTAGTTTATCAATTGGTCTCCATACAACATCGTGGGAATACTATAACTGTTGTACAGCTTTGTTGCTACTAGCGGTGACAGTCCACCTGTCTTGTGCCCAAGACCAAAGAGTGAGAATAGTTTCCTCTTTCCATTAACGATGGCCTCTTTAACGTGTCCTGAATAATTGTTCATTGTGGAAAGGGGGATTCCCACATGTTTAGCTTTCGTAACGTTGGATAAAGTTTTTGTGCCTAACTTGTATGCTTTTGTGTAGTTTTTCATCGACATAATTATATCGTCCGTCAATGCATGTTGGAAATAGTGCATTTTTGTTAATAAGTCTATTCACAGTGAGATGACTCTACCTATTGCCCTTGATTCCTTTACGAATGATCTTTCACCAAATCCGTTCACATCGAAACAGTTATCAATAATATAGCCTTTCGCTTTAAACTTAAAGGCATTGTTTATTGTTCCAAACAGAAATTTTGGACAGAATGGATTTTCAATACAGAGAACAATGAAACAAATCTAAAGACCTACTTTGAGGCTAAAACTGATTGACAGATGCTATCACCTGATAGCAGGCACAAACGCCATGAAGGTCTCATTGCGCAACCCTGATACTGGATTTTTGACATACATTTTTGAAATAGTCAGTTCTCACATAATAGGAAATTTAAGCTTACAATGTTTTTCACAACCTAAACGCGAACGGAAAATATTTAATCGTGCATTTGTATAGGCAATTGGTCTTACGTATAGGTTGGCGATTTTACATGCAGGCTTAAACTCCCCAATATGTATCGACCGATTTCGTGTATATTTGTACAACTGGCCAATGCTGTCCTTAGGCTAAATTTTCAACAAGTTTCTTGTCAAAAAGTGAACTTATTTTGGGACTCAAGATACATAGTTTCACGTGTCAGTATTTATCTTGTTTTTTAAAAACGCGATCAGCTTACCACAGCAAGTGCTTTCACTGCAACATTTTGGAAGGCATGACGTAAAGTCCGTCCAAGAACATTGTATCGGATTTTTTACTGAACAGCAATCTAGTGGACAGGAATCGAATGTTTCAAGTCCGTTGCATGTTGCATCACCGCAAAACGAGGGAGGGATTAGGAGATCATTATCCAGAATTGCCCTAAAAATTATATGAAACAATTAGTATGATAGAAGGAGTGACGTCTGGACGTATTTTGAATGATCACGATTTATCCCAGAATGGGCTCGATCTCTGCTTACAAGCATCTTATCAAAGTAATATTACCAGTGTTTGCATATGACGTTTGAACGTTTTGTCATGTCTTTCGTGAATTCCGATTACTTAGTAACGGTATTTCTGATTACTTAGTTACGGTATTTGATCATGCCCTCTGATGTCATGCTATAACTCATACGACTGGTAAATGCGACACCTATCTATTAGTCCAATCCACTTCCAGCATCTTGATTAACACAGGCAAATTAACAATTCAAATCTAACTCAAACCAATTCGAATATTCTTTTCATGATATGCATAATCTGACAATGATATCTACAAAATCAACTTTTCCTACCTTTGTGACATCAACTTTCCTTCATCAATAGAACGCTTCCCCGTTCCACTGTTGAAGGCTGGATTGCGAGGTGCCTGTTTACACAGCAATGTGAAACATTGCTGCCAAGCCCAACAATTATCTGGTGTATTCAACCAGACACTGTCACACCTGTGAACGTAAAATATATATAAATGTATAAGCGCATGTGCTAGATGGAACAAAACAAAACATATTTTAAACAATAAGAAATTAAACTATCATTCTGACATTTAAGACTAGTACTACTGATCTAAGAAAAAATCACAACTTAGTTTTAATGGATCATTTTTAATTCAATGACGATTTGTATTGTACATGGCTCAATTACTTCAATTGCGTCAGCTTAAGTGTATCGTATATACTATAGTTAATTAAAAGGTCTACATTATCATTTATGAAAGGTATTGAATTGCACTTAAATGGTATTTTGAAATACCAAAAATGGCATGCGCAAATCAAAAAAGATATGTGATATTAGGAAGTACATATTTTGCGTGACCAGACGTCACGTTCTGCAAGTTTTAATTTGAATCTTGTAAATGTTATAATAATTCTTGCACGTTTGTGGAGTTCACTACAATAATGTTATAACAATAATGTTGAGGTTAAGTCACACTTTTCAAGAGAACCTGTACGCGTGTAATGTTTCTATCCCCGGGGATTTCCCGCTCTCACACATAATTCTTCACGGCCACGTACAAGTTTTTAAAAACGTATATCCAAGTCTCGCTAATGTTTTAAAACTTACGCCGATCTCACTTCAGTTTGTCCATTACACCCAGCACAATCGTATGTGCTAACAGTGTCACAAATCAAAGCATCTCCGCGAGAACCGTCTGTTCCACATACATCGCAAAAATCTCTATTTATATTGGCGATTTTAACACTGCTATACTCTATCTAAAGTTTTAAAGAATGTTAATGAAACATTTATTTGCAATATGGTAAGACCAGAATGTTAATGTGGGTATTTTCATTCTCAGCAAGAAAACTCTTTCCTTTAGGAAACGTAATACTAGAATTGGAGAAACTTCTCTTTGGACAGATCATATTTGAAATCCCAAATGACAATTGAAATCAATCGTTTTTTAATGATTATCAAAATTTAGAAAATTGTTTTACCTACTTTACATATATGTGATTTCTAGTTAGAAATGAGACGACTGTATTTTCACTTACTCCTTGGCATGTATCGTCGAGTCCATCACAATTGTTGCAGCAAGTGTAATAGCGGTCATTACTGCGCCCCCCTCCTTGACAGTTCATGCATTGCCCGAGGCTTGCTTGTTGTCCAACCGCTCGTTTGATTAACGGATGGATTGAACGGGAAATTTTAGCCTCTGTTTCTTGTGTTCCAAGACACAAAATTGACCATATGAGAAGTCTATGCCAAATGGTCATGGCTAGTCTAAAACTGAAAGTTAAATATGTGAACTTGTTAGAAGTTGTTAATCAATGGATTTAATATCAGTTAAAATGGCTAAGTTGTAATTAGCTATGTATTGTTCTCTAACATTACCAAGATCAAAAGATAAAAAACAAGTTAAAATGACGATAGCTCCTGTTTACAGTGGCATTAAATCGATTCGTTATATTCCAGGAACATGTCCAAGGGGATGGCGGGAACGCAACGCAATGTGCTATGGAATCTTTAGTCAAAGGAAGGACCAAAAAACGTGGACAGACGCTGATAAATATTGTACACAGATCGGTGGGCAGTTGCTGAAAATCACATCGTATGTAAACTTTTTTGACTTATTTGGGACACAATCAAATTTCTTAATAAACTTATAGTTTAATAAATCTTATATGATTTATTTATTTACCATCGCATGGGGTTGGCCTATAGGCGGCCATACCATTCTGTATCAAGGTTTAGATTAGCCATTGTGTTTTTATAGGTTGTCGGAACACTTCTATATCCGAACACTAACATACAGCATCAGAACGCAGGGTCAGCGTGCCTGGATCGGAATTTCAGGTGAGCCTAATAAGATAGCACTACCATCATGATAAACCATGACATCTCATTTCTTCTCATCCCTGAGAACGTGAAACAGAAAGATGCTATGGGTATATCAGAATGTAGCACTACTTATAACATGCATAAAACTAACGGTATTCTGCTCCATTCTATATTATAAATCGTATCGTCCAATGCCATTACCAACATTGCAAATTTAATGCAGAACGTCAAATATGATTGAATATAATCTTTTCTAATTTTTAGATAAACTTAATGATGGCAAGTTCACATGGGCCGATGGTACAGATATCAAGTTCAAATATTACGACACCAGACAGCCTGTATCAAGAAGGGGCAAACTTGATTGTGGATATATGATAACTAGTAAATACTTTACTTATGTAACCATTACAAAACATAAAACTGAAATTAAGTGTAATTATATGCACAAGTGTCAAAGAGACAGGACCAAAATTGTTACAGAATATAACAAAAGAACATTTAAGAGTATACCAGTTATAAGGAAAACAAATAGTCCATGGTATGAAATCTCTAGGACGTCTAAGCAATATTTGACCTAATAATTGTTATTATAACCGTTTAATATACTTCCAGCTTTTAAGCTGAATTATGCCTTTCATTAGAAGAGGTCAAAAAAATAGCAACAACTAAAATCCCATTTGTCACAATTTGGAGTACATAATGCGACAAAGAATAATACAAATGATTTTAAATATAAGCTTTAGGTTTCTTAGAGCTATAAGTTTGACGTTATTTTTCTCATCAATACCAAAAAATTATGTAATCAGTGCATCAACGTTTTGTATTGTTTCTCAGCTATTTATGAGATAAACAGTACAAATGAATCACTTTTATATTAGAATGACAAATGCTTAAATTATGCTAGTTCTTCACAAAATGGGTCTCAATATGTTTTGAATTATGGACTTTTATTCCGCGGTGAAGATTATCAATAATGAGGGCCTATTGCTCTTTACCCTTTGCATTCGTTTGACTTCACTTCTTAAAAGAGAGCTTCTTCTTCAGCAGTAGTAGTAGTTTAACTAGACTCTGCACGCAGGATTTATCCCAGATGCGAGTAGAAATAATCTTGATTTACGTCATTAAAAATTCACAATTCAGTCAAACTGATGTCATATTTGGAATCTACATGTAAAATTACATTTAGAAATGTGGTTTTGAAAAGAGTTTATCAACTTTGAAAATTTAATTTTCTTTGAAAATGCGACTTCTAGGTCGGGGAGATTCCCCATAGAGCCCATGTTGTTAAACCACAAAAAGTGAAATATCTTTTCTTGTGTTGGGCAGATAATATTTTCTTTTACTGGACATATTTCAATTTGTATAACTATCAGATACATAAAGGTAATATGAAAAGTGAACCATTAAAACTCATGCATATTCAAGTTTAAGGGAATTTTGTAATACCCTGCCATGTTAATTCCCCCGAATCAGCCACCTGGTGGCGAAACTGGTAACTACCTACTCGCATCTGAGTAATATTATATTTCTTGTAGTTAGATATTGCACTGTTGCTAATAAAACAACCATCAATACTTGGTGGAATTCATGAATCAGTGAGAAAAATCGTTATCATTATCTTGTGATGATTGCAGTAAGGTCATAGAACAAACAACCATAACAAAATTTGATGATAGCCAGCAGTAACGTCGAGGAATAATTGTAAAGCGTTCCATTGCATATGACTCAAATAGATTAATAGACATGCCCTTGGAATATATGAACATTCCAATACCTCTGTAACATTTAACCAGATATAAATCTTACCTATTTGTTATTGTATTCTGTTTTATAAAACACTGACAATAATTTGTTGTTCGACCCCTTGAGATAAAATGGATGAATTCTGGTAAAAACTGTTTTAAATGGTAAGAAAACTAATATGTTCGGAATCATAAATTACCTAAATATTCCACTCGATTTTGTTGAATCTGCTTGGCTTGTATTTGAAAAATCAAACAAAATCTGACAAGCACACTTATGTATTTATACTAATTAAACACCGACATTTACCGTAAAATTATAGTAAATTTTACATTATGATAATCTATTTTTGTACATATGTATGTGTCTTATAAAATGTATAAAAGTTCGTATCAAAATATTTACGTTTTTGACCCCTTGTGATGAGCGACATATTTCGACCCGAAAGCTGGAAGTTTTTTCAGCAAATGGTATTTAAAAAAATCAAGTCATATGCAGTATGCACCTCCTTAAATATTGCTTCAAATGTTGCTGCGCTATATTGTGCCACGGATCCTACGGAAGTCATACCATGGACTAAAACCCCAACTATGCCAAACTATGATCTAAGGTAATAAGAATCGCCGCAACACCAAGATACATTGCATTCATACTTAAGTCATAACACCTGCATTATTTCACTATAATGTGTTAAAACAACAATATTGCATGAATACATGCTGATTGAAAAATATTTATAATTACAGCAACAAGGACCCCAAAATGGAGGACAGCATATTGCTATCAGATCAACCCCTTTATGTGCAAGATGCCGATCACCAGCAAATTGATGTCGATCCCCCCTCCCCCAAGTACGTTTCTAGCAAATTATCTTCATCGCTAATTTCTACATATGGACACTGATCATAAGAAGCATTGCATGAAACCATGGGCTCTATCATGGGTGGTAGAGCCCATGATGAAACTAAAGAAATCCTTAAACTCTGGCATTGGCGTATTTGACACTTTTCCATAATGTTCATTATAAAATCACTTCTGACACGAGAGCGGACCACTGGGCGGGTTTTCAAATACTTGGTCTGTATAATCTGAAAGAGATAAATAGATTTGGTAGGAGTAATGAAAAAATGCTACTTTGCAGCTCAATACAAATGTCCAACTGGTTGGAGATTGTTCCAACAGTCATGTTTCTGGTTCAGTCGAGACAGGGCAACGTTTGCAAGTGCCAAGAGCAAGTGTATTGCTGCAGGAGGATGGCTTGCCAATTTGTACAACAGCGAGGAACAGTCCTTCATCAGTGGTATGTTTCAAATAGTTTATATCTCAAAAACTCGTATGAGGTTATATAAAAGTTATTAGATGCTATATGTAATTTATGCACATCATTGACTATCTATCGATAAATTTATTTAAAATCGTATTTAAAAGGAAAGATTTCGTTCCAATAGACTATACCCAAATATATATCGCATGGTAATGACTTATATATAGATATCAATACCATGTGCCCGCCATAATTCTGGGGAAGAAACCAAACTTTTAGACCGTAGTTTAAGTGTAAGTTTACAATAAAATAAGAACAGTGTGAAACACAAAATTGCTCAAGAACGCAAATTTAATTGTCCTGAAATTATATTTAGGTAATATAAATGCTAACAGTTGGATTGGACTCGAAAGGAAAACTGGAACCAAATTTACATGGGTCAAGGGAACCTCAAACGTATGTATATATTTCCTCCAAATCAAATAATTTATTTTTGTTTTTATTTATACAGTAATAAGCTACTCTGTTTTGCTTTACAAAACAATTTTTCTATATTATCACGTGATCCTTGAAATTCTCGGTTGAATCTCGTCATATATTATTTTGAAATCGAGGCTTGAGGACTTTTCAACAAGTCTTTTTCTTAGGATGTTTTGACCTTTCAACCTTGCATCCGTCAAGTACAAATTAATACCATCTGAAACATACTAGTATGTATTTGAATTTGGCTACCAACTGGTATGCTAAGGTTTCCAAAACTACAACTCAGTGTGTATATGTATGTATGTATATGTATGTATGTATATGTATGTATGTATATGTTACTAAACACTTGAAGATGAACAATGTTTTTAGATTCCAGACTTTCTAAGATTAGCCATAAAAATAAATTTCTAATTTGATATTTGGACATATAATGAAATGAAAATTAATTTTAATCAGTTTCAACTTTCTATCTTCCGATTGTCAACTAAATGTCATAATTCTGATTTCACATTTTGACAGCTTGAAAGAGGAAGTATCCGAATCATCTATTTATACTAATATATGCACAATTCACAACGATATGTCTATGTAAATCTTCTTCAGTTTACAAACTTTTGGACTAACTACCCAAACACAATATCGACTTCGAGATGTACATTGGCTGTTAACAGTATATTCAAAGCCTATTGGATCAACACAAGATGTACATTATCATACAACTACATATGCAGAAAAGATGCTGGTAGGTCAAGACGAAAACCACAAATAGTTTATTTTCAGATTGGAACTTTACCGAGAGGATGCTTGCAGGTAGTCAGTGAATCATTTTCGAATGATTGATCAAGCATTTGATTATTCCATTATTTATGTATACGCTGATTTCATATCATTACAGTTCACGAACTGGGGTAATGGACACCCAGTAAAAGGCATAAATTGTGTATCTGCTGATAATGTCGTGGACAAAGCAGTTTGGAGAACACCAACTCAGCCGAAAAATGCGTGCAATAACAAACGCAATTATATATGTCGACAAGATGGCAGTACGTATTTGCCCAATCGCACGAGCACATTTCACAGCGGTCAAATCACTATTTTCTCTACACATAATTGTTTTATTTATCCTTATGGACCAACAACCCAGATACTATCAAACCCAGATACTATCGGATGTTCAAGGCCACCTGATTCGGCCTACCTATAGATGCACATTTGCATACTATACAGACATCGGAAAGCACGCCGGTAGTTAAAGATGAACACCAGAGAGTTCAATTTTAGATGCAGACTTCACAGAGAATGCTTGCAGTTATGCAATAAATGCTTTCCAGATAACTGATCAAGCGTTTGGCCATACAATTATTCATATGTAGATAATTTTATGTCATTACAGTTCACGAACTGGGGTAATGGACATCCCAAAAAAGGAATAAATTGTGTCTCTGTTATTAACACTGTAAACAAAGCCGTTTGGAGAACTCCGACAAATCCCAAAAACGCATGCAATAACAAAAGAAATTATATATGTCGACAAGATGGCAGTACGTATTAACCAACAAGCACTGTCACATCTTGTAAAACACACAATGCTTCCGTTCACACTCGTTTTGGTCAACTTCTCTGTGTATAGATGCATATATACACATGTGCATGCTTTGCTTCACAAACCGACACACATATTACTTGCGTAGTTAGTTTGTACTAAAAAATGACGACACGTCTATGTCTCCCTATACGCATGTTTCGAATCACTTGCGTGCACCAATGCAATTAAAATAACTGAACTGAACTTATATCATAAATTTTGCAGAGGAAGTACAGAGAGGTGGTCACGTATGATCACTGCTGGTTATTTTTTATGTCGCCAGCACTTGTCTGTTACACTGTCTGTGTACGTTTGCTTTTCATGTATAGTACATTAATGCATATTATGTTGTGTTGTTTTGCACATTCTTTGGTACTCTTAATATCTCACACAATAGTGCTATCTACATATCTATTTACTTCTAAAATACGATTAATATGACAACATTAAATGTATGATTAACTGGAACAAGTCACGTCAGCCTGCTGATCATCTCGTATATTATTTTAGAGAGTTTAAATGGGACTAGTACATGCAATAATTCACATGACACTGGTCCACATCAGAATGACACGAGTTTAAGTTAGTATCATCCAAAATGATACTCAAAATTCGTTTGATATCGATTCACCTAAGATTTCAGCTAAATCAAGTGACATTTTGATTCCAAATATTTCGATTGTAAAATTATGAAGTTTCGATTGTAACAGATAGAAAAAATACTTAAACAAAAATAAAACCAAAAATTTTGGAATCCAGACTTAACTTGTTTTAGCTGAAATCGAAGGTTTATTGGAATTCAAATAATTTTGATCACAATCTTGGAGGAAATGGACCCCAGTTAGTATCATCCTGATATGGACCAATAATGATGTTCTGTTTGTTCACGCCAATATGTTGCTCCAATTTAACACATATTTTTTTAATTTCAGTTGATACCCAGAACCCACCACCCACAACAGTAGGATGTAAGTTATTTTTATAACAAATACCTGTATCAAAACTGAATCATTACTATGAATGCACAAAACAAAACAAATATTGGATTGTCAACCACATAAAAACCATGCCATAAAGTAATTACACACAACCATTGTGACTCATTATGTTGTTTGTTGCTTAATTAACTAATATTGTATTTGTTCTTAAATTGCAGTACCATTTTACCCGTTATGTGGCGCAGGGTGGATTCTAGATTCCGTTGCCAACCAATGCTACAGACTGAAAATATCGCAATCATCTTGGGCCCAGGCGAATTCAGACTGTAAACGTAACACAGGGGGTGGTCTAATGAGTATCATCGACCTCCATGAGCAGTCTTTTATCTCAGGTATCATCAGTTCTAAACATGCATTTTGAATATCTATTCCAGTGTTATGCGATATGCTATTAATATCAAGGTCAAAATTAACAATGAATTTAGAGAGTTACACTTGAATACAAATTATTCGGATTAAAATGAATATATTTAAAAATGTAATGTTTTCGTTTATATCAATCGATCGTGAAAAGATCTGCTATCAATCAGATGAGAATTTATTTGAGAATTGATTATAATATCTCTTATATGTAATCACAACTTACATGGAATCTTCAGCTCTGATGCTGACCAGTGCAGGAGCTGGGCAGACTCAATTCTGGATAGGTGCCAACCAACTAGACAGGACCAGTGGTTGGAGATGGTCCGACAGTAGACCGTTCAGATATTTCAACTGGAAGGAGGGCTCTCCAGTCAGGTTCAAGAATAATGATTGTGCTTTTATTTCTTCACGTTTCGGAGGCATGTGGAGCAATGCACTTTGCTCTAGTAAAAAATCTTACATCTGTAAGAAAACTGGTAAGATATACATTCTTTACTATGTTCAGATTCGGAAAGTTTTATTTTAAGTTTAATAATTATCACTTTATTGTTATAACATACAAAGGCTTTTTTTAAAGGAACAAGTGCTTTATGACTTGTTTAAGCGAAGGCTTTTAGTATGTTCCAATACAAAACTGGTATACTTTGTACATGTAAAAAGTACTATCATCTAGATATCGACCCTATGGAATCCCAAAATCTTGATAAGTTGAAAAATAGAATAACACTGTCCTATAACAAAACTATAATGTTTCAGCTGCTGGTGTGAGTACAACTGTTGTAACTGGACTCCCAACCACTCAAACACCACGTAAGATGTTCTTATAATTTTTAGGCTCAATTAATATACATTTATTTGCAATGTCTCCATAATGAGTTTGCGATATGTACAGTATATGATAGGTTAATCAGAAAAGAAGGTAACACATCAGACATTAATATTAATTGTCCGAAGTTAAAAATAATCATATAGCAGATATCTAATGGTATTATAAAGAAATATGTACTGACTTAGAGTTGTGTTTTCTGCATTGTCCAACGAGCTTTCGTCAATGGGCGTTTTTAACAATGATACCATATTTCCAGCAAACTGTAGACCAGAAGCAATGATATCCGGCAACCACTACATTTCCCCAAGACAGTTGACTGCCTCATCACAGTTATCTGCACGAGCCTCACCATACCTATCAAGACTGGACCAGAGATCATCCGGAATTGGAGCAAGTAAGTTTCTTTGACATAAAATATGCAGATGGTCGCTATGCGAATTGACAGCATACTGACACATTGATAGCATACATACATGATGTTGATTACAGCACACCGGAATAACCTGACTACGGTAAAGACTTTATTTCGATGGTAGAACATTATTAACTGTACAATGAGTATTAAGACACTTTGATTGATTGTTGTTCCAAAGGAATTTAGTTTAGGTGCTCTATTAAACATACAGTTCATGAAAATCTAATTGAAGCGACGGTTATGTCCGCCATTTTTGACAACGGTATCTGGCTATTTCGAAGTGTTACAGCGAATAAAACGAAATAGGCATGGATGAGTTTGATTTTCTTGATGTAGAGGCTGTGCGAAATGGCCACATAAATCATTTTGTATATTGGAATGGCAATGTATGTCACACGTGTGTTCATTATTAGAACTTGGAACAATAATCAACAAACCATATCAACAGAATTTCAAATGCCATCAATATAAGCAATAAAGTTGTAATATAAAGGGTCTACTTCTTTGGAATTGACTATTTCTTTACAGGTAGACTCCAGGTGGATGGAGCCCTAGTTCTACTTCTTTGAAACTGACCATTTCTTTGCAGGTAGACTTCAAGGTGGATGGAGTCCTAGTTCCAACAACAATAGGCAGTGGATCCAGGCAGATTTTATGACTCCTATTCTCATAAAGGGTGTCGTTACACAGGGTAGAGCGGACGCGGATGAGTGGGTTAGGTCATTCAGGATAAGATACAAGTATGACGAGCAAGCAAACTGGATATATTACTCCGATCTTGCCTCTGGATCACCCACAGTGAGTTAACACCATATATGTATACCTATTACCGGATTTTCTCGCATATAAGCCCTGGGCGTATAACTGCAAGAAGGGGTAATTTCGTCTGTTATTTTACCTCTTATTTTTCGCATATGGGCGTATAAGCGTACTACATTCGATTTTTGCCCATGGGCCTAAATTTAGGGGGGCGAGAAAATCCGGTAAGTATTATATAACATCTGTCATTAGACAAGTGCACTATTTTCCTGTCAGTCATACGTAAATTACATTTGAAAAGGTATTAATGTTCATGCGCACGATTCATTGACTACATTTACAAGTTATGGTATAGTTTCACTTTACATGTACATCATTAGAGCTATGAAAATGTGTTTTTCTAAAATATATTGATCCCTGATTGACCCCACTAAACAAAACCTGGTGATTTTGTAGACATTCTCAGGTAATGCTGACAGGAATACAAAGAAAACAAACAACTTTAGGACTCCATTTCAAGCCAGATGGATTCAACTGTGGCCAATATCATACAACAGAAAAATGTCATTACGTTGGGAAGTAATGGGGTGTTTGGTTGGTAAGCTTACCTTTTGAAAAGATTTTAGGTTCAATATCAATTTTTACAAATATATCATAAAACCGTATATTAACCACATGTTTATCATCTGAGGCCCGGGTATACTGTCATTAATAAAAAAATCCGTTTTATTCTTTTCCATTAAGCTTCATGATAAAAATCAGTCTAATTCTTATACATGTAAGTAATCGCATATACATGTATACACCACGCATTAACAACTCAGTACACTAGCGAACATTTTAAACATTGTTAACGTATTCCTGGGCCTCAGTTTATCATCGTTCTCCTAGATTATAAAAACTCGTATTCTTATACACATTTAACGAAATATTAATTCAACATTATATTTTTAACTTTATGTCTTATATTCTTAGCTGACTGTACACCAGAACAATTGATATCCGGAGCTACAAGTGTACCCGACAGTGCACTTAAGTCATCGTCTGATTGGAACAGCGCACATAGGGCTGCTAATGTACGAATCAACCAACAAAAGGGTGGTGGTCGAACGGGTGCATGGTCTGCTGGTAAAAATGATAAAAATCAATGGATTCAGGTCAGTACGATTCAAATCTAGTTTAATCAATTGTTGAATAATGAAACATAACCACAAGTGCCAAAAGCGAAAATACCAAAGATCATTACAATACATGGCAGGAAAAATGAATATTTCAGATGGAAGTCATGTAATGAGAATAACGAATCTCGAGAATCCCAAGCTATGATCTTAAATATACTCTTTACAACGCACAATTTTCCAAATAGCCACACACCACATTGTAAAAGTGTTCTCGGATTCATTAGCTTAATTTGCAATATAAAGTTGTGATATGATTAAACGATTTAAGCCAATGATGAATTGAATTGTATTGTAGATGATTTAAACAACGTTTGGCTTGTTTAAAGACTGAATGAAGGTGGCATCGCGAATTGAGAGTCTAGGATACAAGACATGATTGAATTAAATCATCCTCAATTTTATGATGTTAAGTGGTGGTCTTCACCATTCTAAAGGATATTTCCGTTGGTTTTGTTGGTTTTAGGTTGACCTTGGAATGCGGTTAAGGATCAAATCAATCGTAACAAGAGGAAGACCCGATAGCAGACAATGGGTAACTTCTTACTTTGTTCAATACGGCGATGATGGCAAGTTCTGGGAGGATTACCAAGAGCCGTATAAAACAAAAAAGGTACTTTTTTGTAATTCATTATATATAATTCCTTATCTATCATCTGTTTTAAATGACTTAGAGCTGTAATTCCATTCCTCAATTAAAAAATTATAATTGATCTTGATATGAATAATAAAATAGCTTACACAACCAAAATATTTGAACACACATTTATCTGGTAAGGCAGCTTAAAATCATTCGTGCAGTAACTGATTTAATTTAAGAGGAGATTTTTCTAAAACCCATGTGAAACCGTCTACATGATATTTTCTGAAATCACACAGAACCCCTACTATAAGTTAGTATATATAATATCTCTTTGAATTTCAGCAAAATTTTCGCTTCAATTATTTCAGTTGCCATAGCAACCAATTTTGTAAAAATGGTGTTTTTCACTAAAAATCAAAGTTGAAATACTGGTCGAAAACTATAAAATCTGCATTTTTCAAAGTTTTTTTTTTTTTTTTTTTTTTTTAATATTTTTTATTTCATCATTTACTTATATTACATACAATATATGAGTACAAATAAATATGAATACAACCGTACAAAAATCAAATTACAAACAATCAAAAGTATAGGCATATTGAATTAAAAGTTTTTGATTAAATTTTTAATCCATAATGCTAAAACAGTTTCCCTTTCTATGACATTTTTCAAAGTTAATGTTCATTATATTGGTATACAGGAAAGAATATAACTTGTTATATATATTGAGATAAGGTAATAATGTTTTGATTTATGTATTGTATGACATGAAATATTTTGATTTAAATATTGAAAATGTGCAAACTTGTACAGATAATTAGGAAAATAATTCTTTCCATGCTTTGGTATTTTTAGAAAAGAGTGTATCAAATCTATGAATTCTTACATGTAAATATAGATTTAAAATTGTCAATGGTTATTAAGAATGAGGATTATAGATATTGCATCTGACATTAAATATACCTTATGGGCGAATAAATGTTCGCTTGACTTGAATTCATTTCGTTTTTTCATTTTCAGCTTTTCCGAGCAAACAAAGACCAAAATAGTCCAGTAACTAATAAACTTAGATCACCATTCTTGGCTCGATACGTGCGTATCCTACCACAGGGTTGGTTTGGCCATGTCTCAATGAGGATGGAAGTCTTGGGCTGCCCCATTGGTGTGTACATATTTTAATCATGTGTACCACTAAGAGCACTCGTTCAGAAAGCAAGGGATCGTGGGTTCGATCCCCACTTGGGTTGAATTTTTCGCCTTCAGCGCAGAATTTTATTAACTGTTTTCATAAACTTATCGCAATACAACATAATGATGCATTTTATTAAAACACATTTTTGTTATTTATTCAAAAGTGTAAAATTTTGTTGTACTTTCACACAGGATGTCAGCCTCAGCCAATTATAGCAGGACCTAACAGGATACCAGGGCGCCGTCTTACAGCAACAAGTTCATACTCTGTATACCATGGACCTGATCGATCTAGATTGTGGATAAAAAGAGAAGGGGCCCTGATGGGAGCGTGGGTACCAAGAGTCAATCAACTCAACCAATTTATACAGGTATGTGCACGGGAATGCAAATTGTTATTGACGAACTGATATTATTAAGGCAAGTTCTACTGAGCAACCTTTCGGAAAAGCGATTCATTAAAATAACATTTGGCCTCAAATTAATTTTTCATATTTCATAGAATTTCTCACGATTCAAACTTTATAACAGGGAAACTTATTATACGTCTATGTGTTCATTTTTCTTTGTATACTCTCGGATCATAAATAACATCACAAATAGATATGTATTTTATATCTTTTTCGAAAAAAAACTTGATAATTGGATGATTTGAGATAGCAAAGAATGCCCATGAAGATCAGTTCAGTATATGGTGACTGGTGCTGCCATCTTAGGGATATCTGACTTAAATAACAGCACTATTTATGTATTATAGGTTGACATAGGTGTGGTAATGCTTATCAAAGCTGTAGGAACTAAGGGTCGACAGGATGCTGATGAATGGACAAAAACATATGTCCTAACTTTCAGTACAGACAGATCACAATGGTTTACCCTAGTTAGAAATAAAAAACAGATTGTAAGTCTATATACATTATATTCATTATCTCGAATTATAACTAAGGGTTTACTCCACGGAGGGCATTGGTGAAAAGGTAGAAGACAAAAATCTTTTTAAATCGAGTTGATGGTTGATTGAAATCAAGATTTATCAGTGCAATCAGACTTCATATTTCATTTTGTTTATCTTGTATGTATATAATTTTGCAAAAAGTACAACGAAATGATTCGGTTTACTTCAACTATTTGACTTTTTGTGATGGTGGTCTTGAGTTTGAAATCTATTGAAACTCGTTCAAAATTCGGAAAATCCTCGTTTTTCATAATTATTCCGAAGATTTCAATGTTTCCCCACTGGATTGGATTAGAGCAATTGTCTGTGGAATTAACCCTAAACTTAAACTAAAAGGAAAAATCAATCATAAAACATTCTTCAGAGCAGCATTCGGAAAGTAACACAACTTACAAAATTTGAAAAGCGTAATCATATGGAATCAACAATATCTTATTGTCAAATGTAAACCACATTTAATTCAAATGATATATCAGATATTGTTTATATTCAGATATTCACTGGAAACACCGATAGAAATTCCCTTAAGAAGAACTGGCTTCCAGCAACAATATCTGCTCGATATGTGAGACTTTGGCCAAGATCATGGAACTCACACATCGCCCTCCGATGGGAAGTGTATGGATGTGGAGGTTGGTTGTCAGTTCAATAGTTAATGATTTTTAAGTTGGGTGATGAGGAAGATTTATATCAAATCTCTTGGTATAGATTGTGTCTCTACAACACGGGAGATACGGGAGATATTTCACACTATGCCAGTTGATATTAGAGCATAGTTAACAGGAGATTCTATTACTATATAGCCTTTTTGCCACAGTGTAATTTAGTCCATTTTCAATCTGTATACATGCAGAATGCAGATGAACAGGTACTAGATATGGTTGTGATTTTTTTCCTCACAGTACAACTATTAACAATTCAATTAATTCACTAGGTGCCAATGCTGCTCATGGTCTAGGATGCTTCTCTGACCAAACCCGTGACCGTGATCTCCCAAATGCCGTACTGACAAATGTCCCCGGTGGGATGACACAAAGGATTTGTGTTAACCATTGCTTTAACAAGGTTTGATTTTATACAATCTCTGTTCAATACAACATTCTCTTCAATAGATTATCACTCACTTAAATACATTGATGGGACATACTAACATTTTCTCTATAATTTAAAACCACTGAAAGTGATGGATGTATTGTGGTTCAAAAATGAAGATATGGTAGTACTATGTAGAGTAACAACTATTTGAAATATAAATATATTAAATCTTATCATCATTTATTACTACAGGGTTATGTATTTGCTGGTCTACAGCGAGGATCATACTGTTATTGTGGTAATGACTATGGAAAGTACGGCCCTGCACCGGCTAGTCAATGTAACTACAGATGTAGTGGAAACTCAAGATCAACATGTGGGGGAGCAGCAGCAAATACAATATTTAATACTGGACTTGGTGAGTCGATGCGTTTCAAAAAGTGGAAGTTTCTGCATACGTATAGACTATATAATATATGGGGTACATTTGGAGTATATGAGAGTAGTTGGATGTATCTGTACTTTGGTTTATGTCATGTAATGTCATGTGGATGCCTTTGTAATATATCTTACATACATTTTATGTTCATGCAAACAACATATTGTAATCGTAAAAATTTCAACATAATTTGTCTATCAATATAGCACCCGATAATGTCCGTTGTCCCGATGGATGGACAACAGTTGGCACTAGATGCGGGAAGGCTATTTCAGCAACATCACAGATTGACACATGGCAGAAACAGCGAACAAAGTGTCAGAACATGGGAGGAGAACTTGCTAGTATCCTTAATGATGCTGAACAAAGCCAAGTTCTTAGTTATCTCAATAGCGGTGAGTTCATTGTTCTGTGGCATGTACAAAGACATGTATTTCAGCCTTGTTTTCTATTTCTAATGTAATGTTTTAACATGGTAGGCACATAAGTCACTGTTGAGTTATCACAATGATATATCTCACAGACAGTATTGTTATTTAAATTCACAAACAAACCACCACAAACTTTGATTTTTTAAACACTGTCTTTTGTTCAATCAAAATAATATGTTTTCTCGGGCATTTACAAATGCGTTTAGTAGTGTTCATGGTGTTGCTAGTAAACGTTAAATATCATATGCACGGTTTTGTAAAGTCTATGTCTTCTTTAAAATCAAAGTTGTTCACTATGCACTTTAGATTGGGAACATTTATAAATAAACATGATTTTGTATTATTTATATGAACACAGCCAACATATTCCATGATTCTCATAAATAACAATTTAAAGAAGAGCTTTTGTCTTTTGATGACTGTTTTAGAGGGCGGACGTAGTGACATCTGGATTGGCATGAATGATCTAAGCAGAAGCTTCTACTTTGATTGGACTGACCAGAGACCTGTGTTATATACAAAATGGGCAAGAGAACAGCCATACAAAGTCAACAATAGGGGCATATCTAACTACAATTGTGTATACATGTCTAGATTTGTAAGTTAACTCAGCATTTATATTATACTAAAAGCATGAATTATAATTATTGGAAAGCATTCATGTTTCGAAACACCGCTCCTTTTCATTTCACAGAAAAAATAGCAATGGAAGCAGCTATATCACGTAAATGCACTCATTCTCGATATTTTCTAGAGTGGTAAATGGTATGTGACAGCTTGTACTATAAAAAGAGCAGCCTTGTGCATGACAGAAAAACAGAAGCATGAATTATAATTATTGGAAAGCATTCATGTTTCGAAACAACGCTCCTTTTCATTTCACAGAAAAAATAACAATGGAAGCAGCTATATCACGTAAATGCACTCATTCTCGATATTTTCTAGAGTGGTAAATGGTATGTGACAGCTTGTACTATAAAAAGAGCAGCCTTGTGCATGACAGAAAAACAGAACCTTCCACCAGCAAAGACAACACCTTCCCCTGCAGGATGCCCGAAGGTAGATTTTAAACTACTAGTAATTAAAGGATCAATTTTTAATCTCACATACAGGATATTCTTCTACATAAATTATATCGAAATATAAATCCACTGCTGTTACATAGATATTGTAGCCTATGTAGGTGACGTAGGCAGGTTATTACACGGCTATCCATTTCTAATGTCTGTACTTTTTTGTTAAAAGCAGATATGAAATGGTATTTTTAACCTAAAGGAATCAATATGATTTTTTGATAAATGTATTTGGACATGTTTTCTCATCAGAAGTGTGAAAATTATTTCACTCCTACCGATCGTATAGTAGCTGCTAAATAAGCAATATTCGAATTGGTTGTGACGTTATTGGCCCCCACGTGATCTCTCACTGGCCCCCACTTGGCCCGTTTTGGTCCATTAGATCATGACGTCAAAATGCCAAGATGTTTTGTTATTTGTTTACACAACAACCCTATGGTTGCCGTGACGTTGTGATTACTAAGGAACCAATAAACCAAAGCTATATTTGTATATGACGTTACTAATCACGTGGGGGCCAATTTGATCGATCAGTTAGTTTTATGACCGTTAGCAGTTATCTAACATTTATTTTATAATGGCTATCGCAAGAACTCTACGTTGGGCTTACAATGGAGAAAACCGCATTTTTGTAGCTGCAAGTTGAGAAAAGCTATTTCAGTTGTCCTTTAACTCATTTGGCGTTTCCTATTGCATTTACTTATGTTTGTACTTTTTTGTTTAACTCATATGGCGTTTCCTATTGCATTGGTCAATTGATTCTTGACTTGTTGTTTATCATTTTAGGGATGGACATCATACAGATACAACTGTTACGTTTTCCTACCAACACCACGTACATGGTTAAGTGCTAGCTCAACATGTAGAAGCTTTGGTTCAACACTCGTCAGGATAGCAAATAGGTATGCCAGTGAGACAGTCAATGTGTGGTTTTTATTGATTTTAACAATAAAATACTGTATTTATGATTTACATTATAATTAAATTATTTTTTAACCACTTTTCAATTTCTATTTTTCGAATATATCTAACCAAGGTAAGAATGTCAATATACGTTTTCTATGAAGTAATATAAGGGAGATTTAAACCCTCTTTTCCTCTCATGGTTAAACTTGGTAGTTATTGACATATTTACCCTTTTTAATTTCAATGTTCTTTTTAAATTCCCTGCCTTGTAGATATGAACAAGCATACATCACTGGCAAACTGAGCACCATGAAGAGTGAGTTCTGGTCTGACTTGACTGACAGAGTCAAACCAGGAACATACGCATGGACAAATGGAAACACTGATATTCGCTATACCCATTGGGCAATGGGACAACCAAGTAAGATATAAGCTTTTTCAGACGATGCATATATTTAAAGAAATGATCTATATAGCCAGAATGCATCTTCTCTCTTAGATATGAATAATTATATTATATCACATTATTATCACATATTATATCGCAGTAATATCAACTTTTTGAGATTATGATACACAATAAATGAATGTAACATTGAGATTCGATCATGTACATTCTTTTTCAGATGACAGAACTAAGGGTCAGTGTGTTGCCATTTCTGCTGGTCTAAACAACGGATTGTGGTACGACAGACTATGTACTTACAGAAGAGGCACGATATGCCAGAGAAGACGTACTGGATACACTACCCCTATGCCAGAACCAACATCACCTCCTTCAAACCAGGCTTGTGAAGTTGGATGGATTGGCTGGGGTGCAAACTGCTTCCAGGTAACAATCGATACTTAGGACCTTATATTCCATAAAAGCGTACAAATTAGAACATTACTTTGGTTTCATTTGAAAAGGTTAGCTCCCCAAGCTAGATGACAATTATGCCTGTACACCCGTAAGCACTGTTGTGTGTATATTACAGTGACATCCTTTTAGAGGCGATCACATTCATAAATGAATTGACATATTTCAATATTGGTCAATCTAGGTAAATGAAGTAGAATCTAGACAGAAGCTTACTTGGGTACAATCCTTGGATGACTGTAACAAGAAGGGAGGGGACCTTGCCAGTTTCCACAACAAAACAGAACTTGACTTTATTCATCAGAACTTCATGTTGTAAGTTTGTCATATAATCACCGTCAGTAATAAGCGTTGTTTGAATGATCTGCCAGATTTTCTTTAAATGTCATTATGTTGATATTTATTGTCCATTGTATTCTTTTCAAATCTTAGAGGAAAGAATGGTCATTTCTGGATTGGCCTAAATAACAGAGATACGAAACAGGGACATGTCTGGACTGATGGATCTTCAGTAGCATTTACCAACTGGGCTGAGAACGAACCAAATAATGGAGATGGAGTAGAAAACTGTGTTGAAATGTACTCAGATAGTGGTCTATGGAATGATAATAAATGTGATAATACAAGGAATTGGGTGTGTAAGATACCAAGAGGCAAACCAGTGCTTAACATTGTCACAACACCCGCCCCAACACCAGGTCCAGGTTAGTTAACATTTTCCTATTTATAAATTAGTATATGAATCATAAAATATTTGTGATAAGTGACAAGTATAAGTGATACATTCATATATCAGTTGGAAAACCGAACCACAAAGAGAATCCTTTTACTATTTTAGCTGGAAGCTGTTCACCTGATGATGATTCCTGGAAGTTCTACATGGGCAACTGCTACTTCTTTAGCAACAACAGTGGAGATTGGTCACAAACATGGAGAAAAGCAGAAGCATGGTGTAGTCAGAATGGTGGAAATCTTGCATCAATCAGAAATCAAGGAGAACAAAACTTTATCCAGGGACAGGTAAAAATTGATTTGATAAATAATACTTCTGTATGAGAGGGTCTTTATTTTTTCAATGGGCAGATAATTCTCATGATTGTTCTTATAATTACTTTTTATTTGTTATTGATGTATTATTGTTATATTTGACTACTTCATTTGTATCATGTCATCTTGTAGATCAAGGATCTTCAACAGAATCAAATGTGGATTGGGTTGAATGAAATTGATTACGCTGATGGCTACAAGTAAGTAATTATTACTCATTGTTATTATAGCACATGAACATTTCTGTTATTTTTGTGACAAGTTTAAGTAGTTTAAGTAGCATAGTACAAATATTAAAATAAAATAATGTATAACTATACATTGTAAAGGAGTTAATAACATACAAACAGTTTTACTTATAAAATATTTATCATATTACATACAATAGAGATATATGTAAAGTAAATAAATAATATCAATCATATAAGTTCACCAAAACTAATCTCAAATTGTGAAAAATAATGAAATATATTAGAAAACCTAAAGTTACATCATTGTAGTGTTTGCCCTAAATGTTTTATACTCATTTAGGTGGACAGACAAATCTCCTTTGAATTACAAGAACTGGGCCCCTAATGAACCTAATGACTGGCAAGGTAATGAAGAATGTGTCTCAATGTATGCCACTGATGGCTACTGGAATGATGAGCACTGTGGAGTTTCCCAAGGGTTTATCTGCAAGAAAAACAAAGGAGGTATGCACATTAAAATATGGACTTGGTACATATCATATAAATATATTTAGTATTTTAAATCTTCTTGATAGAAAGAATAAAAAGGATATGTTATAGATAACGATGTTTTATAATGTAGAAATGTTGACTTATCGAGAGGTTGATGGTAAAATTAATATCTGGACACTGTAAACTAAGACTATATGTCAAGGTTAAGACTAGAGTAAAAAGGCTTATATTCCAATACCTTCTGAAATAGTCAGTATTTTCCCTTTGACTCGTTATTATGATACCATGATCTAATTCCATCCCAAAACAATTTACTTATGATAAAATTGAGTGGCATATAGCTTTTTGACAAATCTGAATCAACTATTTCAACTGACTTTTAATATTATATTCTGGTTTAGGAACAATTCACCATATTCAACATGATGCTACAAATATATGCCTTTGGTATCTTTATATTTACCTTGTTACTATTCGCAAGTACTTTTAATATAGTACATAAATGAATGATTCCTACATTACATATTATATATATTATAATGCTTCATAAATATATGAAACTGAAGTCATGAATTATAATCTTAATGAATACATGTTCCCATTCCAGTCACTGCAGCACCACCAACAGATGAGCCTGACATGCCAGGCTATTGTCCCAAGGGTTACAGCACACTGGGCAACAAATGTTACAAGTTCTTTGGACAGAGCTACTTTGATAAGACTGACTGGGATGGGGCCAGAAAGAAATGCCAAGATCAAGGGGATAATTTCGACCTTGCTTCTATTTCAAATGTAAAAGAACAAGGTAAGTTGATTCATAACATAACAGAGTCACAGTATGATCATATTTTATATTGCCTAAATGTGAACTTATTTCTTCTTTTCTTTATACAGCAGATTTCAGAAATCATTAAAAATTAGTATAATCTATTCTTTTTTACAAATATTTGAACGTGTAAAGTTATTGTCTGGTCAAACTGATATATGTTACTGAAAAGGAGCTGCCATAACACTCTATTTTCTGAACATTTCCAGCATTCATTATATCCATGATGAAGGACAATGACTACCTTGCTTGGATAGGTCTAAGATATAGGGGAGGTCAGTTCTTATGGATCGATAACAGTGACTTTACCTACAGCAACTGGGACTTGGGAGAACCAAATGGAGGCAATGATGTGAGTCTGTGAGATTGCATCCAGCAACATGTTAACAATCATTTCAAGAATGACTGTAAATGATAATTCATGTTATATTCAACAGTGCTGTTATTCAATGAAAAGTTTATATAACGTAACAAAATGGTAAATATATAAGATGTGAATGAAAATTTATTCTATAAGATACATACATGTACTATCTAGTACATTGCTTTCAATATCAAGTTATGGGAGGTTGTGTAACTCATCGATATTTCATCGATATTTCAGGAACCATGTGTACATCTCCAGAGAGACATTCATCACGTGGGTAAATGGAATGACATTAGATGCAATAGCAGATTTGGATACATATGTCAAACAAAGAAACGTAAGTGAATATCACAATAGTTTAATCGTTGTAAAACAGTTTTAGTTGGTAAAAAGAAAAACTTGATTATATTCATTCTACATTAATGAGGCTGATGTTTGCAACTATATCTGAAATGATTGTAATATTCAAGTAAAATGTGAGACTAGAAAATGTAAAATATCTTAAATAATAATTTTGTTATGGACATGTCTACCATATCTGATACCATTCCAAATTCTCCCATTACTTATGCATGTGATAGAGTAAATGGTAGATTTGACACCACAGTTGGAACAGAGAAATGTTTGATATGATTGTTAGCAACAATGCAGTATGTAGTGACATAGTTACACTTATGCAGTGAATGTAAACATATATTATCATATTTAAATTCAGAGGACAGCATTCTGACACCAGAGCCTACTGCAGCAAGTACATGTGCAAACAAAGACTTTGTGAAGTGGGGAACGTCTTGCTATCTGCTTGTACGATCAGCTAAGACCTGGGATGATGCTGATTCATACTGCAAGAACACTGGTGCTAATCTGGTGACAATATCTGATGAAAAAGAACAATCATTCATCTTCAGTCTTCTCTCGGTTGACAAACTGCAAAGCCCAGCATGGATAGGTCTCAGTGACAAAATGGTAAGTAAGCTCAAGTATAAGAGTCCAAATACAATTTAATGGCAAACATAATTCTAAATGATGAGTAATAAGAAACTACCACTAATTCACAGACATGTAGACAAAGATCTTTGAACATTTACATGTAGTTAGAACCCAAAGTTTTAGTGAAGTTGTTGTAACAATCTTGTTGATTGAATATTGTTTATTTTTGATATGCATTTAGGAAAAGCTTACCCCAATAGCTATCCATTGAGAGTGTCTATATTCTATAGGTAACATTGGTCAATACATGTGTATATATTAACATACTAGTATTATAATCCATTCTCAGGTACCAGGGACATTTAGGTGGAGTGATAACTGGCCAATACAGTATGCTAACTGGGATAAAGGACAGCCATCTGGCACTCAGACTGACGATGGCGATGGTGATACTGATGGTGGTTGTGTCTACTTTGACTCAGAAACAGGAAGATGGAATGATGTCAAATGCACCACAAAGTATCCTTCAGTATGCAAACAGACAGACGGTAAGTTTAAATACTTTTTCTACAACCTCATAACAAAAGCTCTTTTGTACACACAGCATATCCACTCATATTGTATATCCACTCATAGGTTAACATAAATTATGGGTACACCAGTGAATTCAGGAACTGATTGGTTCTTGTTTGAAATATCTGGATAGCTTAATGAGGTTCTTTAAGCACTTAAGTACTTGCAGTTATATTTTAGCCAACCTAAAAATGACTTCAACTACTACAACAATTGAAATCTCTTGTTTTGTAGACCAGCCACCATATACCCCAGCCCCAGGTAATGGCTCCTGTCCTGATGATTTTGAGGATGGAGTATGGCTACCCTACAAGGGAAGCTGCTATCTGTTCCAACCAGACAAACAACTGACATATGCAGAGGCAGATTTTGCCTGTCTTCAGAGGGAGTCATACCTAGTATCAATACATAGTGATGATGAAACAAACTTCCTAAAGGCTCATTTACCCACAATAAGTGGCGAAGCCAGTTGGATTGGTCTGCTGAAACAAAGAACAGGTGTGTATGCAACGTTGTATTATTAGCATGTGCAACTATTACACTGCCAAATTATTGTACATAAATTATTATATACATATACTGTTTATATATCTTTTAAGTCTTATGAATTATACATCTATTTTAAAGGTGGATTTTTCTGGAAGGATCTGTCACCAGTTGACTACACCAATTGGAACAGGGGTGAGCCATCAGACAAAGATGGCACCCAGGGAGAAGACTGTGTTGAGGCCTACAATAGTGGAACTTGGAATGACATTGCATGTTCTGCAAAGCGTGGATACATTTGTAAAGTAACAGCAGGTTAGTGTTTTGTATATATGACATGATACGTGCAGCACATTACTTAACATACCAATTGCTATTTTGATTATATTATTGTCCTCATTTGGATCACCTAAATGATGTGTTTAAACAATGTTTACTTCAGCCATTTCTGGTTCAACCATTATGCCAGCTACAGGAGCGCCACCAAGTATGGCCTCTACCACAGACATCGGAGTTCCTCAAACCAATCCTCAGACCAATCAACCTGTCACGGGTCCAGGTAAGATGTGTAATGATATATCGGTAAACATTATGTTGTTACTCGTTGATTCATTTAGATTGAATTATACGTGTCGGAGATAGTCACCTTTTATACAGTCAGAGTCCTTTCCCAGTTTCCATCTACATATACGTGTATGTCCAGACAGCCACAATGTTCTAAACCCAATGTTTTAATCAATATTGTTTATTGGGGATTTTATTGTTACATACGTAACCCCAAACAGTTTTATTCAGAGCAATAATGTCAACATTTCAGGAGTCATAACAACAACTAGAAGTGTGATGACCAACAAACCAGGATCCTTGAAGCCATTCACTTGGCCACCAGCAGGAAAAACAACCAAGCAAACATTTGTACCACCAACACCAAGAGGACAGACAGCCACAAAAACAGGTAAAAACTCATATACAGTATAGTGAATGAGATGCACCTTGGTGACAACACAACAAACAATGATGTTGGCATATACTGTTTACTGATCAAATGTACACAACAAAATAGCATAGGCATCATATACGCTACAAACTACATGTATAATGAGGAAAACAGATTTTTGTCTAAGTAACCTTTTGATTATGAAAGACTTGTGTTTTATTTTGTGAGCATTGTAGTTATAAATATTCCATTTCCGGTGTCCAAAATTATGTGTAAATCCTTTCCTTTTCAGCCACTGCGGGAATCAATGGAGGTGAAGTCGTTGCTATAGTAATCGGTGTCGTTGTTGCAGTGCTGCTAGCAACCCTTGTTGCTATGTTCTTCAGGAAGAAAAACAGTCAGGCTGCGATGAAGGCTGAGGGAGGTTTTGATAATGCAGTATACTCAACAAATAGTGACTCTGTACAAGTGAATAATAACCTTGACAGTGCTAAAAGTGCCTTTGGAAACCCACTCTATGATGACGTTAATAAAACCAATGCATAATGACCGATCATATGACAAAACCTTTGCAATGCAAACCAATGCAATTTGATAAAATATAGTCTATTGAAAAACCGTCCATGAACATTTTATAAATAATTGTTTTGTAATTTTACCTCTTGATATTATATCATGTTTTTGAAATATATAAATGTGCCAATTTGTGCAATATGTTTGTGTATAATAAAATATCTGTAAATATAAAAATCTCGTACTTTTTCTCTGATATATTTAAAAAAAACAAGATGGTACAAAAGATGGCAGCTCTGTACAAACCTATCGTTTTCTACTAATTAAAAAGTGATAAGATAATGTACGTATGCATTAGCAAGGAACCGTATAATGCGTAATGAATTGTTCTAGAGGTTAGTTCAACGTAGTAACTTGGCTTCATATTCAGCCAACATGAAGTAGAGATTGTCAAAATTACATGCGCCATTTTTAATAAATCATTTCCAGAGGATTATTCAGATCGAGTATAGATCAGATATACAGGAATAAATGAAATCTTCACTATCTATGGTTGCGTTATGCCCGAAAATGTATTAAAGCACCATTTATAAAGTATAATATCCACATCATTCATGGAAGAAAATTAAACCCTGTGTAACTTCTATATTTCATTATGTCAAAGTTTGATATTAGGTATGAATCTTATGTGGGACTATAAGCCAGTCTCTGTGTAATATTAGCTTATGGAGATAACGCTAAAATTGCGTAAACCATGATCAGAAAGCATGTACAACATTCTTAAACACCAAAACAAAAAATGAAACGATACACTCCTCTTATAATAATCATATACCCCATAACAATATAATAAATAGATTTTATGACTAAATTCTACAAATCCTCTGCAAATAATACCATACGATTGAGATTCTAGAACTGGTGTACATACTGCTTTTTCAATTGTGACTATTTGACGTCGATCCCGGTCCATTTGTGTTGAAATCTTGATGATTTGTGTCCTGGGATTACGAGGTATATTCTATTCGAACAATAAACTTATATTAAATGAAAAACTGTGGGTAATAATTATCATCATTCATATAATAATAATCATAAGATTACCTCAACGAATATCTTAGAGAACCACTCAGATGACTAAAATTGGCCATGATATCGTCCTGATGGAACAGAAATTTTGTCCCCGGAATTATAATGACCTCCTCCAAAATGCTTGCAGGTCAGGTTTGAGATTATTGGCATAACAATTGTAATTATGTCACTTTATAAACCAGTGCGATATACTATGGGGTTATATAATGGTTGATTCTGTATATCGTGTTTATACTAAAGTGAGTATATAATATGATGATATGATTCCCGAATGGAACGAGTGAATATATCATATGACTCACAAGAGTATAACAATATACAGAATTATTATGTCATCATTAGAAAATGTGTCATATTGTTTGTCTCGAAATTGTTTGTGGACGGTGTTCGGAATTCGGCGGTTGAAGTTCGGCGGTCTGCGTCTGTAAAAATGGCAGGGGATGACATTTCTCAATTCCCAAATTAAGAACTCTATCGTTTTTTGAGAATTTCAAAGAACTGGTTTTCTACGTTTCATTTCTGATAATTGAGATATGTACACAATGTAATCCAGTTCAATTAAGCTTAAATATATGTTTTGTAAGCGGCAAAGCACTAAGCGTGCGCATGATCTTAACATATATGATATATAAAAAAATATTTCCTAACAGTCAAACTGTATATAAATTGCGGAATATAACCAAAACGGTGAATGCATAATCCTCTTGTTAACTTTAAAAGTGCAAACAATAGTGGAGATGGTGAATCAACTATTTCTTTTGAAGACAGAGATATATTGTAAAAAGTTTCAATTGCCTCTCTCATGTCTCAAAGAATCGACAATGATTTATATAAAATCGAGAGCAAGTTATTTTTCATAACTCCATTTTGTATTTTCTAATTTGCCATATCAAATGAGACGAGGTTTATAAGTCATACTCGCGTTCGTCCCTCGATCTAGTCTTGTCTTGATTGGGGCAAGGGGAAGCGTGACTTGATACACCCCAGTCGACTGTCTTCGATTCCCTCATTTTGAATCATTTTACGGGGCTAATTTAATGAAGACGCATGGCTTCTGAAACGAGATATTGCGTTTCGCTTCCTTATAATTAAATTGGATTTTTTCTCGTCTAATGCGTAATCGCATACAGGCGATTGAGTTTTCACAAAAAATGATTTTTCATCCTCTACTTTACATCCTATCTACTATGATAGTATAGCGGGGCTAAATGTGGGTATTTATCATCGGGATTAAGTGTAGATTATTCTGGACGAAGTTGGCTTTACGAAAATTGACAGAGTTCTGGAATGGTAATCCCCTTTCACTTTTGGAATTTAATGTTTAATTAATTCAATCGTTGCCTTGATTTGGATGGATAGTCAAAATTCATAATTCTTTCAGAAAAGGGCACGAACCATGTCAAAATACTGTCATTTATGACCACGTCTTCGTCAGTCTATTAAAATGGGTCAAAAGGAGCAATTGGAAGTGGATTGAACCATTGAAAGCGTAGGCCCTCAATACTATACCGTAATCAGCCACTGATTGAAAATTCTCAAAAAAGGAAATATGATAAAAGCACATAGTTTTGAACTTAGTAAGAGCCTTGGTTCCTTTATGTAGCCATATATCTAATAATGATTTGAAATATTTGTCATATTAGGGTCGTTTATTTCGATTTTGGACACCTCGTATTAATCCCCTGTCCTTGTGCATTCTCAAGGGGGTATGATCATTTTATTTTTGTATTTCAGAATCAATTATTTTGATAAATGCATTCTGTGCTATATATATTTTTTTATTATTCCGCGGTTGTGTACTAATGAAATATTACTGTTAATTACAGTTGCATAGCGTCAGAACTAAAAACGACAAGTTAAAATACTTGAAAATCTGGTCAACCGTTGAGAAAAAGTAAAATAAGAGATAAAATAAACATTTTCTCGCTTTGAAGTTTCTAGAGGATTAACATACTGCCATTAGGGCACTTCCTTGATTACGTTATATATTTCATTATATGATTAGGACACGGCATACGCATCGGTGGCCCTTTGGAAGTGCGATTTGTATTCCAAAATACTATATATAGTATAGAATGTTCTTACTTGAACAAAATTGATTACGTTTGAGAATAAGATGTTGCCCGCTGTTCTTAGTGAAGTGTATGACACGGATACTGTCAAAGAATTGTCTTATTGGAGTAGAATATGACTTAGCTTGATATTTCATCGCTTTTCTATTGTTATTTTGTGATCTACTTTAAGAAGCAGTCGTTGCCAGGGTCACACAGGAAACCATTAGCTAACCCGACATCAAGATAAACAATGGCGAGTTAACGCTTAAAATGTGTTTAATTAGCCCATGACTTATTCTTAATCAATGCAGCGAGGCACTTATATGTGCTTAACAAACGTGAAACGTGGAAAGGCCTATGATGGGTCATTCTTGAGGAACACACAAGAGCATGAGATCCCACTCGATGGCATGCGCATGCGCAATCATCATCGTCAACGTGGTGATCTATCGGTACAGTCGCCAATGCTACAAATCATCCATTACCCTTATTATCTTCCAGTGTCATAAAACATAAACTTCAAAGCACTGAAGATTAAAGTATCTGTTTTGAAATAATGAACCAAAGTGATCTAGGATTTTTTTATATCTCACTTGTCGTATACAATTTCAACTATCATTTATAAAAGGTATGGCTGTCGTTTTGAGATAATGGTAGCTTGCAAAATTGTACATCATAGACCGTTTAGACCATTTCAAATCATTCAGAAACAACATTAACAAATGTGTCTCCTATTTTCCGCCATTACAATTCCAGTATTCCCGCAGTCCACGGAAACTTAAAATACATTAGGGACGACAATTTACATTACCTTTCATCGCAAAACATTACCATTTTCATATACATTTGGTTAGAAATCATACATTGAATACATAATAAGATGACATCCCCGTACTCCAAAGTGCTACGATCAAAGCGAATGTCTCATTACCCTATCTATATCAGTGTGCTAAGATTACAGAACATGATTTAGTAAAATACTTGGGGAAACTAATAAAGTTGAAGGGGAAAAATGGCAAATTAAAGCAGGGTTTCGCTTTCTACTCTACGATAGCCGAGAATATAAATGACAACGAGGCCAACTGTCGGGCAAGAAAAAACAAAAAATATTTGATTGGGAAATAAATTTTGTGTCTTTTGACAGACAAGATTTACTATAGGGTTCTACGCCAAATATATCTGTGCAAAGATAGTAATCTTCTAGAGAGATTGTGCTTCTTCTGGCTAAAGGTCTTGGGTTCAAGTGATTTCAGAACAAATTAGACAAATATCATATCTACTGCGGAGTCATTCACTATCTTCGTTTATTAAATCATCCAATGCTTCCAAATTTGGTATCATCTTCCTTCAAATAACAGCATTTTCAAAATCTGTTAAATGCTTGTTGTTAACATAATTAACTATAATTACGATGCTATTTGGATCAAATTATCTAAATGACAAAGAACAATATGACATTTGCAAAATACTTCGCAATATACTGTTATGTGACCTAAGAGAATAGGTCAATAAAAATGAATTCCAATTTTTCAGACTAAGATCACAATATTCCCCATCGAAGCAGCTCTATCTGTATTTCCTACGTCCTATACTCATTATAATTTTCAATTAAGCTTAAAAGTCAAGTCTGAGTGAAAAATGCTAGTTGTGTCAGAGATGTGATTACATTTGCATACAGAGGCCAACTGAGCTATGCTCCCGGGGAGTGATATAGTGTACTTTTTTCTTCCGCGTAGTATGACGAAGTGACGTAATGTGAGTAAAAATGTTCTATCGCTCGTCTGATTTGCTCCTCCCATTGGCCTCTACGGGGTTGGGATCATACGAAATGAGATGATAATATCATTCGCTGTAGCATCGCTGAATCCCAAATTTAGTAGTGATCTGGAGTCGTTTTATTGATCGAAGTTTCAGAAAGAAGCTGTGCTCTTTGCTCCCACAAGTCTCGTCTCATTACGAAACATGTCTATTCCAGGGTGCTTCATTAATCCAATGGTGTCCTCATTAATTAGATTTTTCATGACTTTTGATCTGTGAAACAAAAACTAAAATTGAGATTTACTTCATTTAGCTCAAAGTAATTTGTTAAGGCATGGTGAAAAGTCCGGATACGATAGTTTAATAACCACCATCAATAATGGTGAAGAAAATTCTTACCAA